CGCACGGGTTCGTAATAACCCCCTCCCCCTTGCGACCCCCACCCCCTGCGCCCGGTGGACCGCTGACTTTTTCATAAGCTCCACTGACCCAATGCCTCTCGGTCGGCGACGAGGACTGTCGGACGCTTTGCTTCATTCCGGGTGCTCCACTGTGAAACTTGGATGAGCACGGCACGTGTCCCCCGGGAAGGAAGAGACAGGACACGCCGCCAGATCGGAAGGAGCCGCGAGGCCGCATGCGCGGCGCGAGTCACTTAGCACCCCGAGGTACCTCGGGCCGGGGGGGAACTTGTGGGGATACTCTCGCTGAAAGAAAGATGATACAGTGGAGTGGCATCGTAGGCAGGGCTAAGCAACTGGAGTCCCAAGTCCCACACCTTGTGGATGGTAGGAAACAGCCACCAACTATCGCGTATTTATTGATGAGATGTGCTCATTTTCAATTTGGTTATCAAGGAAAGCCTAATTGTTTGGTTGAACATGATTAAAACCTGCCAAAACTCAAATAAGGGGGGAAAATGGTTTCTGGAACTGTTTTGGTCTGTGCTTTCCCTGTTCCTCACCTCAGACTCCGCTATAAATGCCCATCGACTGTGTCCATGTCCACAACGGCTGGCTGGCAGAAAAGCCGTTTCTAGGCGGATTCTTTAAATGCGTTTCTAAAATCGTTAAAGAATTTCTTCAAAAGCCCTCATTTTGAAAACGCAGATATTTCCTTACTGGTACAACTATTGTCGCCTTCGCCGCTCTGTCACATAGCGGTCCGCGTCGAAATGCACTTTTGTACCCGATTTTTACCCATTAGCGAAGTGGTGGCAGATGGGGGCTCTGGAAGGAGGCGTCGAGGGAAAGACAGACGGAGAAACAAGGGAGGGGTGCCTCGGGGGTCAGGTGGAACGAAGAGAGAGAGAGAGAGAGAGAGAGAGAGAGAGAGAGAGAGAGAGAGAGAGAGAGAGAGAGAGAGAGAGAGATGGCCGAGCGGCACCAGATCGATATCGTTCAATCAGGAGTGCTTTGTCGTCAGCAGGGAGGTACAGTCTGTGAGTGCAGCGCGCTGCAGCGCATACAAACAAGCGCCGGGCGACATCATCAGGCCAGAGGGAAATTAGCATAAGTAGGGCGCTTCGAGCGGCTTCGGTGCCGCGGGCCTGGACGGCCCGGACGGCCCGGACGGCCCGGACGGCCTGAGGCTACACGCGAAGAAGAAAGAGGCGTTTCAGGTCTTCAGCGGGGACTTCCAAGCCTTCGGGGACCTCAAGGACCGTTGAAAAAATATCAGGCTCCTTCTCACAGGGCAAAATCAGTTTTTGACGCCTACTTTCCAGGCGGCCTTAGTACCTAAAGTGGTCAATTCCCCCATACCCCCTTCCCTCTCTCTGTCGCTCGCCTGCAGGTGCAAAAGTATTGAGGTGCAATAGTATTTGGGTGCAAAAGTATTTAGGTGCAAAAGCATTTTAGGTGAAACCGGATTTTAGGTGAAAAAGTATTTAGGAGTAAAAGGATTTAGGTGCAAAAGTACTTAAGTGCCAGGGTACTTTAAGGACAAAAGTATTTGGCCGACAAGGTTCGAGCAGGTGCCGGACTATTTCCACTTGTCTGATACCAGTCAAGCCCTTTTTTCTCAGAACGCGGATTATTTCCCATTTTTTTTCGGCCCGCGTCGGTGCCGGACTGGGCGATCCGGTCCCATCCAGCCGCGTCCCTATCTTGTCGCCAACCACGGGGCGCTCCTGGTGCAGCGGTGCAGCAATGGCAGCATGCTGGCAGAGCACTCCCTGCTCTGCAAACTCTACAGTGTGCTCAGTACTACACTCTGTTCAGCGTGCACTGAGCACACTCCTACGAGAGTGTGCTTAGCTGAGTACACTGCAGCCAGAGTGTGCTTAGGTCGGTACAATGCAGCTGAGTACACGTTCGTGGGAGTGTACTCGTGAGTACACGTTCGTGGGAGTGTACTCGTGAGTACACGCTGAAGAGAGTGTACTTATGAGTACACGCTTAAGATAGTGTACTCATGAGTACACTCTGGAGAGAGTGTACTGAGTACACTGTTGAGTTTGCAGAGTGCACGTGGGCCGCGAGGGCCGTACCGCCCCACCGAGCGACTCAGAGAGGACTCGTTTCGTCGCTGCCTCTGTCGCACTTGTGGACTTGAGGGTGCGGGACAGAGAGAGCGGCAAACCGTTCTTCAGGATCAGTCGACTGTGGAAAGCCCGGCCCGGCGCGCCCCCCGCGGCCCCACCACCGTGGTGCCCGTCGCTCTGTCTCTGTCTCATTCGTGGGGCGGCCCGCGGGGTTCCGACAGAGGCGGAGCGACGTTTCGGATTCGCTCGGTGCTGACGAGAAGGGCCCGCCGCGCCGCCGCGCCTCCGACTAGACCTCCTCCGCGAATCAAGTGTCTGCAGATTCCCGCGCTAATCTCTAGTCTCTGGCAGTGTGGTGACATTGTCGCACTGTCGCAGTCGTAATCGGACCGACAATCGCACAGCCTTTAATCTCATGCCGCCCGACTGCAGAGCGATTCCATCATCGCTTTTGTCTCTCTCGCACTCGTGGGGCGGTCCGCGTAGTGCGAGGGAGACGGAGCGACGAAACGCTGCAAGTTTGTCTGGCGCGGCCGGCACGCGTTGCCAACGGGTACCGTGTTTCGGATCGTCTAGTTTATGGCCTGCGGGCCGCGGTGGCTTTTGGCCGGTCGCCTCGCGCATTGCCCACGTGAACATGCACCCCGCCTCGCCCCACCCCGCCCCACCACGCCATCTCGCCTGGTTGCGCCCCGCCCCGCCCCGCCCCGCCACCTCGCCTAGTCCCGCCACGCCCCGCCGCCCTGATATCAATTTAAGCCCCGCCACCAACAAAGCCGCCAATACTCCGCGGGCAGCAGACTGATTCAGAGAGTCACTTTCATTGCTCTGTCTCTGTAGCACGTATTCGGCACGGCCCATGAGTGCGAGAGAGACAGAGCGACGGAAGGGACTCATCAGTCTGCCGGCCGCGGTCGCCAGGCGGCCAAAAAGTCAAGGAACGCGAGACGAGCAGGTTCATTCCGTCGGTCTGTCTCTCTCGCGCCCGGAGGGCACGTCCCATGAGTGAGTGCGAGGGAGAGACCGCAGCACAGTGGGCCAGAAGAACTGTGGAGGCGGCCAAAACAGTAGGCGCGTTTTGAGCTCCAGAGTCGCTAAATGGAACTCGAGCCGAGCGTGTGACCCCACCAATCGATACCTCGTTCGGAGAGCAATCGATTGGTGGGGTCACATGTTCGGTTCGAGTCCTGTTTAGCGACTCTGGAGCTCAAAACGCATCTAGAGTTTTGGCCGCCTCCACCGGTCTTCTGGCCCACTGTGGCAGGCCTACCAGCGTGGCAGTGTGGCAGGATGGTTCGGTGACGGTAGGAAGCCGCGCGTCCTGCCAAACAGCCAGCAGTCCGATTCCGAACAGCGCTTTCGTCGCTCTGTCTCTCTCGCGCCCGTAGGCCACGCGCCGTGAGTGCGAGAGAGACAGAGCGACGGGGCATTGTTCAATCGGCCTTATCGCCGCCAGCGGAAGCACTGCGAATTGGCGTGGGGCTGCGAATTGAGGCCGGCGCCGAAGTGGCGACGACGACCGTGCCGCGAGGCGCGAAGCTGCGGACCAAGCAGGCCGGTCTCTGTCTCTCTCGCACTCACGGGGCGTCCCGAATGGGTGCGAGAGAGAGAGAGAGAGAGAGAGAGAGAGAGAGAGAGAGAGAGAGAGAGAGAGAGAGAGAGAGAGAGAGCGAGAGACTGCCGGGCGGTGCTTGATCCTCGAGGCCTCGGAGTGCCCCGTGCACGTGCACACGTGGCGGCGTGGACCGCGACGGCCGTCGTACACACTGATAAAGGAGCAGCCGCCTCGTTCCGAAGGAGCGTTTCGTCGCCCTGTCTCTCTCGCACTCTTGAGGCGTTCCCTACGAGTGCGAGAGAGACAGAGCGACGAGGACATCCTTCGGCATCAGTTTGCAGAGGGCGCGGAGCGGCGTGGAGGAAAACTTGGACTTGTTGCTAAAGGGAGTCCCCGCCGCCGGCTGCAGACAGTATACAGTCACTGCACCGCGCTGTGACCCGGCTGGTGCCGTCGACTCGTCTGGCACACTGCTTGCTGAGTGCAAGGGCACTGGGTCTGGCTGTCCCGAGTGTGCCACGCTCACTGGAAAGCCTTTACCGCAACCACTTCAACGCCTCCCAGCATCTTTTCCTTTAGGTTGGAAGATAGGCCTCACTTTGCAGGGAGGCGTCGGCTTGGGCGAGTTCAACGACCGCTGTTTTTCTGCACAGATGTTAAATAATTGTAACACAAAATTTGGATGAAGGATTTTTGGTGTTTTTTGGCTGTTTTTTCTCAGTAAGTTACCCTTTGCATTGGGTACCTCTTAAATGTGATAAATTTGTATTTTTAACGGCACCTCATGAGCTTACCGCAACTCAGAAGTACAGTAATTTATGAGCCTTTGTTCGAAGTTGTGTGCGAGTTGATGACCCCGACTGTCAATGTGGCTTTCCTTCCTCTTTCCTCTCCCTCCAGTCCAGAAGCGAGAGGACGATCACCCGATCACGCCGCGGACGAATGGCCACGTCTGCGATGTCGCCGATAAGATAACCTGACTTCCCTTCCCGACCGGGCCCTTCTTCTCTTTAAAGACTGCCAAAGCTGGATGCAGCCGGATAACCACGGATAACCAGCAAAGATGTCCCGAAAAAAGGGGTGTGGCTGTTGCGACGCGGTACATACAGTACACAGTAGGCCAGAGGAACGGTGGAGGCGGCCAAAACTCTTGTCGCGGTTTGAGCTCCGCGTGTGACCCCACAAATGGATTCCTCGTTCAGAGAGAAATTCATTGGTGGTGGTCTCACCGGGTCACACGCTCGGTTCGAGTCCCATTTAGCGACTCTGGAGCTCAAAACGCGTCTGGGATTTTGGCCGCCTCCACCGGTCTTCTGCCGCACTGTGCAGTTTGACGCGGTGCTCGATGACGGCCCACTCACCTCGCCGTCGCTGCGGTCGTCCTGGCCGGCGAGCGCGTACTGGCAGCCGGGGTGGTCCTGCGGGCTCCTGGACGGGCTGCCCATGGAGCATCCCGGGGCCGCGCTCTGCAAGCACAAGGCCCCCGTCAACCTCAAGCACGCCTCGCCGTCCACACTCGCTGCCGCCTAACTTTGCCGGGTCACAGGGCCTGCCGGCGTGGCGGCGTGGGCCGCTGTTAGGCGGCACGTGCTAGGCTTTCTTTGCTTCCGGCCTCCCGTTTATTTTCGGCCCTTATGAGGTCACATGGTCGGCAGCCTTCTGGTGGCGTGCCGAGGGCCGAGGGGAGTGGCGGCCCACTGGTGGGGCGAGGGTGCTCTTGGCGGCAACGCCGGGTCATTGTCAGACCGCTCTCTGAATTTGTCTCGTTGTCGTCCTTACCTGTCCGACGGCATCCTCGTTGGGGGCGAGGGCGGCGAGGCTGCTGCCGCTGGCGACGGGCCGCACGCCCGGGTACACGCTCAGGAGGTCCATGGCGTGCTCACCGCATGGCGTGCTCAGCAGCTCATGGCGGCGCCCCATGCACGCGAAGCGCGCCCACCTGCAACACGCCACACATTTCGGCCGCGTCAGCGTGCGTTAGCGCCGCATGACGTCACGGGGCGATCGGAGCGAGCGGAGCGGGCCAAAGCCCCTGCGGTGGCCGGGCTAGGCCTGTCCGCCGCGCGCGCCGCCACGACGGGATGCCTATCCTCCAGCCTGTCAGGCGCTCTCACAGTGGGCCAGAGGATCGGTGGAGGCGGCCAAAACTCAAGACGCGTTTTGAACTGTAGAGGCGCCAAACAGGACTCGAAGCGATCGTGTGACCCCACCAATGAATTGCTCTCCGAACGAGGAATCTATTGGTGGGGTCACACGTTCGGTTCGAGCCTCATTTAGCGACTCTGGAGCTCAAAACGCGTCTAGAGGTCTAGAGTTTTGGCCACCTCACCGGTCTTCTGGCCCACTGTGCGTCAGCAGCAGACAGATTCCGAGAGTCGTTTTCGTCGCTCTGTCTCTCTCGCTCTGACGCGGCGTCCCCGATCGGTGCGACTGACAGAGCGACGACAACGGCTCTCGGAATCAGTCTGCAGCGATTCCGAACGGCGCTTTGTCTCTCTCGCATTCATCTGGTGTGCCGTCCAGGTGCGAGAGAGACAGCGCCGTCCGGAACACCCCGCACTTCCAGACGGCGCGCAGACTCGTTCCGCCGCGATGGCGATGACGTCCCCGTCGGGAATCCATCATGTTCGACGGCGACGTGCAGAGGCGGCACGACGATCTAATCCACTTAGCGGCATCATCCCCGCCCTTTGCGTCGATCTAGCCGCAGCTGGTCGCGACTGGTGGCGGCCGGTGCCGGTGGCGGCGGGGTGGCCGTGGCGCTGGCGGCCGCGGGGCGCATAGCAGACGACGCCATGTAGCAGGTGATGCCCGCTGGCGGCCGGCCAAGATCCGGAACGCGTCCGAGCCCCCCTGCCTGCGCTGGGCCCGCCCTGGGCCCGCCTGCCATGCTGCCTGCGTCAGTGGCCTCACGTGCTGCCCCGTGAATGGAGGCCTTTGACTGACAGCCACGTCGAGAGCGCCGAGAGGCCGCCCATTGCCAGTGCCTCATCGAATCGGGGCACCGGCACCGCCGGCCAAAACTCTAGACGCGTTTTGATCTCCAGAGTCGCAGAACAGGACTCGAACCGAGCGTGTGACCCCACCGATGGATTCCTCGGTCGGAGAGCGATCCGTTGGTGGGGTCACACGTTCGGTTCGAGTCCCATTTAGCGACACTGCAGCTCAAAACGCGTCTCGTGTTTTGGCCGGCCCTACCAGTCTTCTGGCCCACCGTGCGGCGTCCCGACTGTCCGCTCGGTTGCATAGGTGGAGATCACTGATGATTTTATTCTAAAAGCGCAACGGGTCCACTTCGCGGCCGCGGCCAGTCGCTTGCTCCTGATTCCGAAGGATCGTTTCATCGCTCTGTCTCTCTCCCACCCGTAAGGGCTGCCCCATGAGTGCGAGAGAGACAGGGCGACGATGCGCAGGGGTCCGCGACGCCACAACAACAACCAAACAGACCGGCAGATGGACACACTCGGAGAGCGCGTCTAAAAGTCTGAAAGCAGCCGGGGCGGCCCTGTACATTGTCTTTCTTGTTAAAACTTTGTTTCGTTGTTTTGCGCCGAGAGCGGCGAACTTGAAAATATCGCGGATTCGTCGGCCCTCGCTCGCCGCCCGCCACGCAGTATTTTAACTCGCGGAACGCGGACGGGGTGGGGGCGGCCGCGCCGTGCGTACGTGCGTGTTCGCGAGTGTGTGTGTGTGAGCGCGCGCGCGCGTGTGTGTGTGTGTGTGAGAGAGAGAGAGAGAGAGAGAGAGAGAGAGAGAGAGAGAGAGAGAGAGAGAGAGAGAGAGAGAGAGAGAGAGAGAGAGAGAGAGAGAGCGTCTGTGTGACTGTCTTGGCCACGGCCAAGGGTTCGGACGACGGCTCACTCCCCAACGAATTTATTTTGTAAACGATCGGAGAAAAACCTCTTCAAAAGTTTCCTCGGCGGAATAATACTAAATGTTTAGTTGCTTGGTCAGGCATGCCCACTGAAAACCCTTCAAAGAAAAGGTCTTCATGAACGGCGCCTTCATGGCTTACGAATTAAATCTTTCATGCGAAAGGTACAATTATTTCTTCACACGACCTGAAGGACATTTTCTCCGGATTACAAACAATATCGTTTGAATTGCAAAGGATTTCCTTCGGAAGGTGACAATGACAATGCCTCCTTCTTGTTTTGCAGCTACAGAGAACTTTTTTTTTTGTAGGAGTTTCACAGTGTAATGCGGGCCATGGCGGGCGATACCATTACGCCACACCTTTTTTTCCGTGGAAGCGGACAAAACCCCGAAAGTTGGCTCCACATTCGTTCCACTCGACGCGCAAACCAGAGACACATTTCTTTCCTGCGAGTTGGCGAAGTTGGTCGGAGTTTTTCTCGGCCGAAAAACGGCAGATGCACTTTGGCCGGTGCATCTGCGCATCCGCCGTCGTGGCGCAACACCGCCTTCGAGTGGCCTGCCGCCTGATTCCGCGGATCCTTTCGCCACTCTGTCTCTCTCGCACTCACGGGGCGTCCCACGGCGGTGCGAGAGAGACAGAGCGACGACAGGCGTGGCAACGCAAGGCCCATGTGCGGCATGACCGGGCACGGCTCAGCTGCCCTTTCGCGTCATTCGATTCCTCGACGGCAGGCCGATTCCGAACAGGACTTCGTCGCTCTCTCTCTCTCTCTCTCTCTCTCTCTCTCTCTCTCTCTCTCTCTCTCTCTCTCTCTCTCTCTCTCTCTCTCTCTCTCTCTCTCTCTCTCTCTCTCTCTCTCTCTCTCTCTCTCTCTCTCTCTCTCTCTCCCTCTCCCTCTCTCTCTTTCCCTCACCTACGGGAACACCCCATGAGAGAGACGGAGCGAGAAAAGCAGTGTCCGGAGTGAGACTGCAGGCAGGCAGGCAGGCGCGTGCAGCGTGTCCTATCGTGCCCCACCCAAAACCAGCAACAACAAAAACAACAACTAAGGGCCAAAGGCGGCCGCCAGATGGCGTGGCCCGGCGTGGCCGAGCCGAGCGCCGCGACGGACGGTGCGCATTCGATAAGGGATGAGCCACATGCCTCGCAACGCGGCAACGTCCCTAATGGCTCAATCTATGAGATTCATGCCCAATCAGATAAAGTACATTTTCACAACTTTTTGCACAATTGAAAAAAAAATGTTTTCTTTGCTTGTTGTTGTTGTTGTTTAAGTTGCTTTTGTTGTTGTGCTTAGTTGTTTGCGTTTTGTTGTTTTTGCGTGGTGTGGCTGCGGCGGTTCGCGCGCCGCGGTGAGCCTCTGGACATGACACATAACACACGTCTATCGCACGAGCTGCCCTGCACGAGCCAATGAATAATTTGCACTTCTAATCAGAGACTCCCCGCACAGTGGCGCGAACAGACGTCGCCGCGGCGCCGCGGTCTGGGAATAGACAGACCTGCACCCCGTCCAGTCTATCAGCACACTGCGAGAAAAGATCGCGGTAAATCCTGTACTGATTACTCCAGACTTCACCGTACTTTTTTTAACAGGCAATTCCGTCGTTTTTTTACAGGCAATACCGTACTTTTTTATACAGGAAACACCGTACCTTTTTTACAGGGAATCCCGTACTTTTTTACCCGGCAATCCCGTACTTTTAATACCTATCAAAAACTGCTATAATTTTGTTCAGTCGATTGACCCTCTTTTTCCAAGTTCCTGATGTACGCAACTGCTGAAGTCGGACTCCTGGACCCCTCTTCCGACCACTCGTTGGAAAGGTCTTGACGAGACCTATTGAAAGGTGCAATAAAATTTTTCAGTCGGTGGACCCCCTTTTTTCAAGATCCTGATGTGGACACTTCTTGGAAGCGGCCTTTGTTGGGACCAGATCTGGTCTTTCCTACGGCATGGACGGTACGGAAGAACGGTAACTACTGTTAAAAGACTACGGAATATTTTGTAAAACAAGTACGGTAAATACTGTAGACTGTACGGAGGATACTGGTTTTTGAAGTACGGTAAAGTTTGGCAAAAAAATTATCCAGGATTTACCGTCATTTTTTCTCAGAGTGCACGGCCAGCAGCGTCCGAGCGTCGCTTTCGTCGCTCTGTTTCTCTCGCACCTATGCGGAGCACCCCTTTGGGTGCGAGAGAGACAGAGCGACGGAAACCACTCTCGGAATCAGTCGACAGGGTCAGCCTACTACTACAGTAGAGCCTGTGAAGGCAGCGACTGACTAGAGCACGGACAGCCCGGCGGGTAGGCAACCCCCGTGGTGACGTGTGCCGCGGGACTGCCTACCCGGGCCGTTGCGGGCGCTCTTGAACTTGAACTTGAACTTGAGAGGCTAGACCACAAATGATCCTTTGCCGTTCGGGCCCTCTCCGGGACGGGTGGGCAGCAGACTTGTTCCGAGAGTCATTTTCGTCGCTCTGTCTCTCTCGCACTGGCGGGGCGTCCCGTACAGGTGCGAGAGAGACAGAGTAGTGACGATAGCGGCTCTCCGAATCAGTCTGCAGGCTCAAGAGATGGCACCTCGCATCTCGGGCCTACGGGTGGAAGCTGTCGAGTGTATGGACGGTTACGAAGAAACGCACAGCAACGCCTTTACCATGACTCATGCGTTCAATCTAGGTGCATGTTTTCTTGAATTGGAAACGGGTAGCTATTGAAAGCAAATCCGCAATGTGACAGAAGTAGCTACCCTTCGCTTTCCAGCAGTTCGAACTCGCCTCGACCGAGGCGTGGACGCTTTCGCGAAGAATGCGAAGAATCCGCGCAACGGGCGCGGATTTGAACGTGGCGCCGGTGTGGGTGCACCGGGGCGGCCTTGCCCAAGGCCTTGCCGCCTTGCCGCCAGCGCCGCGCTGCTCCAGCCTAACCTGTGCGCCCGCTCGGTGTCGTCGACGCGACCGGGGGCCGCTCTGCTGGCCGACGCCCTCCTCGGGGGGCAGGACGCGCGCCGCCTCGGCCGGCGCGGGTCGCGTCACGGGGCCGGCGCACGACGCACGCGCCGGGGCGGGACGCGGGACGCGGGACGCGGGACGCCGACTTTGAGGTTAGACGGCGAGCGGCACTCGGCGTCGGGGCGGTTGACGCGGTGGTCGCGCGGCAAGGGGCTGTCTCGCGTCACGACGCCCAGCAGAAGACGCGCGCCGCTCTGGAGTCGCGTGCCGCGCACTGGCGGGCACGGCCTCGCCTTGCCTGTCGCGGGGCGCACGCACGCCGCACGCACGCCGCACGCACGCCGCACGCGGTGGGGGTGGACGAGGACGACGCGGTGCGGGGCGGGCGAGCCGCGCGGAGGGACCTCGGGACTGTGGCCACGACGTCGACGCGGCCAACTGGGGCGGAGCGGGGCGCGAGCGCGAGCACGGCGGGGAGGGCCGCGAGCGGCGCGCCGGGCAGCGGCGAGGGGCGGCGAGGGGGTGCAGTGTGGGGGCGCGGTGAGGGGGTGAGGTGCGGTGAGGGGGCGGGGGGGAGGGGGTGAGGGGCGGGGAGGGTCCGCGGTGAGGGTCCGCGGCGAGGGGGCGCCGGGAGCAGGGGTGTCGAGGCACGGTGGGATGGGTTGTTGGGGGTGCGCCGCCACACCGGCCAACACAGCACACACAGCCGGGCAACGCGGGGCAGCCCCCTTCACCCCCTGCCGCACCCCCGCGTCGCCGTGGCTGTCTCTCTCTGTGACGCCGCGACGCCCCTCCACCGCCGCGACCCGCTCCAACGTCAGCATACACTTCCCGGCCTCCACTCCTTTCGCTGCCTCTCTTCCGTTTTACTTTCCCGTTTCGTCCTTGCCGCTCCTCATCAAGTCCCCCGAGGCCCTATCCGTCGACGTCAAGGAGCACCGGCTGTCTGGAGCGCGGCGGCGTGCCGACGGCGTGCCGCGTGCCTCGGGGCCGAGTGGGTGCAGTGCAGTGGCTGCATCCCTGCGAGCGCGGCCCGCTGCACCTGCATGGCGAGTCCCAATCAATGCGGTTCCAAGAGGCCGATTCCGAAAGTGCGTTTGTCGCTCCGTCTCTCTCGCACTCATGGGGTGTCATGCCCTGCCTCGTCCTTACTGCGCAGGTGCGAGAGAGAGCGACGAAACGCAGTTCGGAATCGGTCTGCTGCTTCGCCCGGCCGCGCCACGCGTCGGCAACATCAGCGTATAGGCCAGCCAGCGGTTCCAAAGGAACGTTTCATCGCTCTGTCTCTCTCGCACCCCTGCGGGACGCCCCATGAGTGCGACAGAGACCGCGCGACGAATCGGGCCGTCGGACACGCTCGCCCTCGTTGCGGCCGGCGGGGCTCGCTCGCTCGCGTCGAGGCCCTCGCGGCCACCGGGGCGCCGCGCCGCCAAATAACCATGAGCTGCAGCGAAACAGGCGCCTGACCGGCCCCACCGGCCCACCGCCCCCACCCCGCCCTTCTTCTGTCTGTCTTTTGCTCGGTCAGAAATAGAAGCCTAACGACTAGAATACCGCCCGCGTGAACACCCATCCCCCTCCCCCTGCTTGCCCCACCACCCCCACCACCCCCACCACCCGCATGACCATGAACAAGTCAGGGAGGGCAGGTGTCTGGGAAGGGCAGCCTGGGTCACTAGACCCGCGCGGCGGGTGGTGCAAGAGGCGCAGCAGCAGACAGCAGACGGACTCGCTCTGTCGCACTCATGGGGCGTCCTGTGTAGGTGCGAGAGAGACGGGGCGACGAAAACGACACTCGGAGTCAGTCTGCAGGGGCTGATGCAAAACAACCCCGCTGCTCGCAATGAAGTGCCTCGTAACGATGAGGGGTTGCCACAATCCTGTGGGAGCGAAGCACGTTCACTTACGTCTGACAGACTGAGATCTGAAAGCTGGTTCGGCTGGTTCACTAGAAACCGTCGCAGTTATCAGGGGCGGATCCAGGGTCTTTGTAAAGAGGGGGTGGTGTCATGCTTTCTGCCGACCTTCGTGGGTAGGACAGTGCGTTTTGCCTATCTTCCAGGCGGCTTCTAATATTCTAGGACGGAGTTGGTATCCCTCCCCTGGATCCGCACCTGGCGGAGATCGTAGTTTTCTTCGTGTAGTGTGTCGTACGCGCAGTACGTATGGGGCCCATACGGGCGCACTTTTACACGAATTTCTGCCGGTTCATTTTGTGTTTCCTTTCCTGGGTAACTAAATGTCTCCAAACTGAGCGCGGGCAGCGACAGCTCGCTCGACAGAGCGCCGCATACGTCCAAACTCGTCGCGCTCTACTGCGACGCAGGCGCGCCAACACAACATGGCGATCGCTTAAGTAAACAGTCTTAAAAAAAGTACACAGAAAGGCTCAGAAATATTCACACAAAGTTGGTCCAAAGCGGAATTTTAATGACATTTTCATTTGCATACAAATAACAGGGAATAGCGAAATAATGACGCTGCTTCAGAAAACTCGATCTTGGTAGCCAGAATCCAAGTGGGAGGGCTTCTGCATTGCAGGCTGGTGTTGGTGATGAGCACGCATGTGGCCTGCGCGGCGAGGAGGGGCGGTGTATTCAAACATGCTCTGTGTGTGCTGCGCAAGCATTTTGGACAAATCCCCAGGCATGGGGTCAGTCCAGAAGAAGTCGTGGTTCAATGCAGAGTCAGAATCTATTCGCTTGCTGGGATCCAAAATAAGGAGTTTGTCCAACAAGTCACAAGCATATGCATCTTTAACATAGGGCTTTAGACGTTCCCGCACCTGAAAGAAATTCCCACGGGGGTTATTATCCAGGATGAACAACTGAAATTCTAAGTAAATACAAAGCAAAACATTAACAGTTACGTTACCTTTCTCTTTTGGTTGCGGGGTAGTTCCATTTTTGAAAATAAGTCAAGATTATCTACTTTCGGCCACACTTCAGTGGTGATTGAGCCACAGAGTTGACTAATGAGAGTGAGTTGCTGCTGCTCAGTGTTTCCCTGCATTATGGGGCTGCGGGTCCACATCTCTGCCATGATGCAGCCTGCGCCCCACAAGTCCACTGGCGGACCATAATTCCGGTCTCCCAGAAGGAGCTCGGGCGGTCTGTACCACAGCGTCACCACTCGATTTGTATACCTTGACACACAGGGTTTCAAATGAGAATGAGGATGGGCACTTCATGAGCTGTATTCAGTGCTGGTCAATGAACCTCGTACCTATTTTGTTCACCTGCCTTGGGAATACTGATTGCTCTAGCCAAACCAAAGTCGGCTAGTTTTAAAACTCCATTTTTGGTGATGAGGACGTTAGCAGCCTTCATGTCCCTGTGTAAAATCTACAAGACAAGACAATTAAAAAAAATGAGTAAAATTCAAACTACTTCAAACAACTTTGTCATCAATACTTACTTTATTGCTGTGTATATAATATAATCCATTCAATAGCTGCTGCATTACTTTCTTTATTTCCCCTAAGCTGAACTTGACATTTACATTAGACAGCAGACCAGCTAAATCATGCTCACAGAAGTCAAACACTAGGTAAAATGTTGACCTAAATTTGTTGGAGGCATTTGCTGAAACAGAACAATGGAACACATTATCAGTTGTGGCCTCCTTGCATAGGCTGATGGCAATGATCTTATCTAGGTCCAAGCAATAAAACAGAATATAAAGTTTGACAATGGGAGATATGACGGAGAGCACTAAAGGTTTAAGTGTCACTACGCAGAGAAACTGAGTGTATAAAAGAGGTTGTAGGGCATCCACCAACAACAGAACAACACCATCTGCTTCACAAAGCATCAAAATGGCAGGAAACATCTTGGTAAGTTAAGTTTCCCTTAGTGGAAATGTTTGCTGAAATTTTTTGAACTAACATTAAGTTTTTTTATTTCCTTCACAGGGTGGTTTGATAGTTGTACTCAATGTCTGCATCTGGGCAAGTCAAGCTCAAAATCCACCAACATGTACTGTGAATGGAAGAATAGCTGCAGTACCTGGAACCTGCTCGAACCTGTACTATTTATGTTACAATCCCAACCCAAATGGCAGTGGTACTTTCTCTCAGTGGTTGTACGCCTGCCCTGGCAGCACTGTTTTCAATGAACTCTCACAAAGATGCAGTACTGCGTGTGCACCCACTACAGCAGCCCCCGTAACTACAGCTCCTACTACTACAGCAGCCCCGGTAACAACAGTACCTGCCACAACAGCAGCCCCAGTAACAACAGTACCTGACACCACAGCAGCCCCGGTAACAACAGTGCCTCCCACTACAGCAGCCCCAGTAACAACAGTATCTGCCACGCCAGCAGCCCCAGTATCTACAGCGGATAGTGCCGCTACAGTTACTGCATAGTGCCATTGAAAAGCATTTTAACTACGGTGACTTTTGTGTTACATTATACCAATAGATACATTGTTTACTTTATATTGGCAGAGGGAATAAATAGGCAGAAGGAAAGTTATTGTAGTAGGACTCATTAGTTACCAACTTACCTTTGGTCCTGCAAATTTCTATGAGATTAACCACATTTTCATGTTTTAAAAGTTGAAGTATACGGATTTCCCGTAGAGCGGTGATGGGGAACTAGGAAAAGAAGAAATTTGAAGCTTTTAAGTGAACTAGGGATGACCCTCACATCAACATGATACGGCAAAAGTAAGAATCAACAGTTGTCACTTACACCTTCTTTCTCATTGTCCATTAGGACCTTCTTCATAGCCACAAACTTCCTGGGGTTTTTCCGTTCCTTGGCTTTGAACACCTCTCTGAAAATAAGGCATGAGCTCTGAAAAAGCTAAATAGGAAAACGAAGAAAAGGGGCAGAAAAAGTAAGGAGTAAAAGAGAAATACACAAAAACATCGAGTCAAGGCCACAGAAAACGACAAGCACTGAAGGCCTTTAGTTATTGAATGAGAAAGATGGAATGAGACAGACAAAAGAAAATGACAAGAAATGTCAAACATAAAATAGCATTGATAGATAAGAATTATAATCTTTCTCAGGAACAATAACTGAAATGAAAACTCACCCAAAAGTTCCTTGCCCAATTTTCGCAACTTTTTCGTACTTGGTAGCATCGTCACAGCGAGGAAAATCATATTCCTCAATGTACTTTTCTCGTTTGATCTTGGAGTTACCCTGTGGCGGTGGCTCCATCGTCTCCATGGTTTGATATTTCTATGATAAGACAACTTTGATAGCAGTGGGCAACCATGGGAAACATAACCTATAAGATCATTTTGTTTACTCTAAAAGCGACAACCTAATCCTGAAATTAAACCAAAATTCCTTCAAAGAGCATTTTTATTCGAACCTTGCTTGAGGATCATTTAACTTTACGAAACGATCGAATAGTGTGCTTTTCGTTTTCTCATAATTTTAAAACTTACGTAAATTATCTCCTTTTCAAATAAGTAGGCAGATTAATGTGTCTTTTTTTTAGCGCGTCATGTTGGCAGAAGATTGCACTGTCGCCGTCCCCAAAGAGTGACCGGGGGTTGGATCGAGAGCAGTTTTGTGAAACGCCGGGTTCTGTAAATTTTGCCTGATATAGTTTTTGCGCGTTGCGCAAATTGTTCTTCAGTGAGTGAGTTGCGCTTCTATTCTCCAAAATGTCGAGTGTTTCGTATCAGATAGCGAATCTCCTGGAGAAAGTAAGTATGATGTTCCATCATTACAGGCCATTGATGTTCTATGTCATCGTCGCTAGCTTTGTTTTGTTCATGTAATTAAACGCGATAGAAACAAGAACAAATTATTTGCTGCGTGCCTCTGTCCCTTAATTAATGAGAACAATGTTCTCTCATGTGTTAATTTTAGTTCGACGTCACTATTACAAACTTGTGCCTTATGCCTTTGTTGTTAGGTGAGGTTATAGGCTTGTTTTCCTAATTATTGCTGACATATTTGTCCCGTCCAATATGTGCTTTTAGCCTGTTAGCTCTAGTTTGTGTCTCTATACAAGTTATACCAATTTACCAATTATTAACAAATAATGTTCTTTGCTAACTATCGGGCAATCATTGCTTCATCACTTCTGTGACTGAACGAAATTTGTGTGTCAAATGATTATGTTTATTCCACGGTACCCAATATTCTTCTCAATTCATCAACCCCTTCTCTTCTTTCAGATGACATCCACTGATAAAGACTTTCGGTTTATGGCTACAAATGATTTAATGTCAGAACTCCAGAAGGATAGCATCAAACTTGATGATGATTCTGAACGGAGGGTTGTCAAGATGCTGCTTCGTTTGCTTGAAGATAAAAATGGGGAAGTTCAAAACTTAGCTGTTAAGTGGTAAGTTGTCTTCTTTTCTTTCTTCAGCTTTATTGTGTGGTCTCTTATCGATTGTTCATCATAAGGCATTTTTGTTTTTGTGTGTTTCTTTTAGCTTGGGTCCCTTAGTCAACAAAGTGAAGGAGTATCAAGTGGAGACCATTGTGGACAACCTGTGTTCCAACATGATCTCTGAAAAAGAGCAGCTAAGAGATATCTCTAGTATTGGATTGAAAACGGTGATAAGTGAACTCCCCCTCACGTCTAGTTCTCTTGCATCTAATGTCTGTCGTCGCATTACTGGCAAACTCAGCAATGCCATTGAGAAGGTGAGGTGCTTGGCAGCAGGATATCATCTTTCAGTATAAACTTTACTTGTTTTGTATTTATCTTATTTTGTACTTTTACAGCAAGGGGATGTGTCAGTGCAGCTTGAGGCCTTGGATATCTTAGCTGATCTTCTATCCAGATTTGGTTCTTTACTTATTCCGTTTCATCAACAAATTCTTCATGCACTCCTGCCACAACTGTCCTCTCCCAGGCAGGCTGTACGCAAGCGGTGAGTAGTGCAGCTTTTCTAACATTAGTGTCTTTCATTCTAAAGAAAACAATTGTGACCAAAATTTGCATTTTCAGAACTATTGTGGCTTTGAGTCATCTGGTCATGTCGTGTAATCAGATTCTTTACACTACATTGATTGATTTTCTTCTTGAGCAACTATCGAAGAATTCATCAACATCTACAACTCGAACTTACATCCAATGCATAGCTTCTCTTTGGTGAGTACACATTCTTTTGTGTTGAATACATTTATTGATCCATTCACATCATCATTCTTATGTTTGTTTGTTTTAAATCTGCAGCCGCCAAGCTGGCCATCGCTTTGGTGAACACATTGAACGTGTGATGAACTTATTGGTGAAGTACAGCCAGGAGGAAGATGATGAGTTGAGAGAGTATTGCCTGCAAGCTTGTGAAGCATTTGTGCATCGTTGTCCTAAGGAAATCACTCCCCATATTCATCTGGTGAGTGATGATCATATCACAATCATCATTCTGGTGTTAATTTTGCATCTTTTTACGAAAATTAATTGTTTTTCTTGTATTTTTAGATTGTGGACTTATGTTTGAAGTATATAACCTATGACCCCAATTATAATTATGATGATGACAATGGAATGATGGATGATGATGCGATGGAAACAGAGGAGGACGATGATGACGATAATGACGAATACTCTGATGATGATGACATGAGCTGGAAAGTGCGGCGGTCTGCTGCAAAATGTTTGGAAGCCGTCATAGCAACTCGGCACGAAATGCTTGCAGAGTTTTATAAGACTGTCAGCCCAGCTCTGATTGCCCGCTTCAAAGGTTTGTGTGCAAGGCAATAGTAGTCTCTTAATTTTCCTTACCAAACCGTGGCACTGGCACTTTTTAATGACACATTTTTCCACTAATATTTTGCATCTATGTCTACAGAACGGGAAGAAAATGTCAAGAGTGATATTTTCCATGCCTATGTGGCTCTTCTTAAGCAGACTAGACCTTCTGCAGTGAGCATGGATCCTGACAGCATGGAGCAAGAAGAAGGCCCACTCTATCTGTTGCAAGCTCAGGTAAGGCACTGATTATTAGAGAGAATGTATGATTCAATCATCAAGTGTTTTAATACTGAGTTTTTTCGTACAGGTGCCTTCCATTGTCAAAGCGGTACAATCTCAAATGAAAGAGAAGAGCATCAAGACCCGTCAAGATTGTTTTGCTCTGCTGAAGGAGTTGACTGTGGTTTTACCAGGTGCTCTGTCCAACCACATCTCTGCTCTTCTTCCTGGCATCCAGTATTCTTTAGGGTGAGTCTTACAAATGAAGCCTCTTTAAGTTTTTTGTCATGGTTTTGTTCATGTTAATGTGTTAACCTAACCATTCTTGCTTGAAAGTAATGTACTTTATTGCTTTGACAGAGACAAGAACTCCAGTAGCAACATGAAAATTGATACCTTGGCTTTCATGAACTGCTTACTTACAACACATTCACCGGAGACTTTCCATAGCTTCATGAACGTCCTTGTTCCTCCTATCATAACTGCAGTTGGTGATTCCTTTTATAAAATTACTGGAGAAGCCCTGTTGGTCCTTCAGCAGTTGGTGAAGGTCATTCGTCCTCTAGGTATGGTGGCGTCTTTGTTTTAAAATTTGGTGCTCTCATGGCGTTTTATGAAATACTAATGCATACTTATTTCTTCCAGAGCCCAGAAGCAACTTTGACTTCTCTCCTTTTGTGATTGATCTGTATCAGTGTACTGTGGTCCGCCTCAAGGCTGCTGACATTGATCAAGAAGTCAAAGAACGAGCAATTTCTTGCATGGGGCAAATAATTTGCAACCTAGGAGATCACTTACAGGTAAATTGATCATTGTGTAGATTGTGCTAACGTTTCAATATGGTTTTATTGATGGTCTTCTTCTGAATTTTAGGCTGAGCTGCCCACTTGTCTGCCAATTTTCCTGGATCGTCTGCGCAATGAAATTACAAGACTTACAACTGTAAAGGCCCTCACCAAGGTGGCTGCTTCCCCTTTGCATATTGATCTTTCCCCTATCATTGTAAGTAGTGTAGTCATTTTGTGATTGTTGGGTGTAGTAGGCATCCTTGCTGTTTGTTTCTAACTCTCATTGTTTTGTTTCTTGCAGCTGGATGCAGTTCCCGTCCTTGGTTCTTTCTTACGTAAAAATCAGAGAGCTTTGAAACTCGCCACATTAACATTGCTTGACACATTTGTCAAAAACTATGGCTCAGCACTGAACATCACTCTGTTAAATGCTGTAAGTTGACTGTAAACCCAATTAATCTGAATTTATCTAAATTGAGTTAGTAAGGTTTTTTTTTCTGAAACTCGTTTTTCTGATTTCAGGTGATAGTTGAATTGCCTCCTCTTCTCAGCGAGGCCGATTTGCATATTGCCCAGTTGACTCTACTTCTTTTGACATCTATTGCCCGACTTCAGCCTCAGGCGTTATCATTTGTTGCCAATACTATTTTGCCAGAGACACTGAACCTGGCCAAGTCACCACTTCTTCAAGGTACCATCTTTGATGCAGCACACTTTTTAGACATTGTCTTACGTGTGGGAATGTTCTTGATGTCTCATCTTGTCCCTTGCGTTCTAGGTGCTGCACTGTCTTCCATGTTGGAGTTCTTCCAAGCTCTCGTCGCAGCCAACCTGCCGGGACTTGGTTACAGGGATCTCCTGCAGTTATTGATGGCTCCTATCTCTGTGGCAGTAGTTAGCCCCACAGTTGCTGCTACCCCAACTTTGCACAAGCAGGTAATAGACTGCTCAGTCCTTATTAGAAATAAAACAAACTACTGTAATATTGTTCTTTTTCTAATGTCTCAACTTTGGTCAATGTTACAGGCTTTCCATTCCCTTGCCAAATGTGTCGCTGCACTTACAGTGACTTGGAAACCAGAGGCCATAGTGGTTGTTGAACAGTTCTTAGCTGATGTCAACAGTCAGCGATCTGACTCTCAGCACATTTTTGCTCTTCTTGTCATTGGAGAGATTGGTCGTCACATGTGAGTCATTGCAGTTAACACTTGTCATTACTCAAGCCACAATGTGCTTTTCTAAATGGTGTGAATCTTTTTCAGTGACCTCTCTGACATTCCACATTTGAAACAAGTGATTCTGAATTCCTTTTCATCTCCCTCTGAGGAGGTGAAGTCTGCTGCCAGTTATGCTCTTGGAAGTGTAGCATTGGGCAATCTTCAGCAATTCCTGCCATTTGTGTTGCAAGAAATTGATGCCCAACCAAAGAGACAGTATCTCTTGCTTCATTCTCTAAAAGAAGTAAGTTTTTGACAGTGCATTAAAAAGTTAAAATAATTGAGTGAAGTTTGGTGAATTTTTGACATTTTATTATTATTTCAGGTCATTTCCTGCCAGTCAAGTTCATATGCTGGAGTACAACAACTGCAACCGTTTGTACCTGCTATTTGGCAACAGCTGTTCAGGCACTGTGAGTGCGCTGAGGAAGGCACAAGGAATGTTGTTGCAGAATGTTTAGGCAAACTTACTCTCATTGACCCAGAAAACCTATTAAGGCGGCTTCAAGAGTCATTAAATTCTCCATCTGCTCTCATGAGAACAACTGTTGTGACAGCCGTCAAATTCACTATTTCCGACCAGGTAGTTAACAGCTTACTGTATTGCTATTGTAGTTGAAAGTATCACCTTTTCTAAACTGGTTCTCTTTTTCTTCTCATTTAGCCGCAGGCTATCGATCCTTTGCTTCGGCAGTGCATTGGACAATTCCTGAGCACCCTTCAAGATCCAGACCTCAACGTGCGGCGAGTGGCACTTGTAGCTTTCAATTCGGCAGCTCACAACAAACCGTCCCTTGTGAGGGATCTGTTGGATACAGTTCTTCCTCATCTTTACAGTGAGACTCAAGTTAGAGTAAGTTTTGCACTTTAGAAGTACTGGTCATTAAAAGAAATCCCAGGTAATTTGTCTAATACATTACCCCCTGTTACAACAACAGAAAGAGCTCATCCGTGAAGTGGAAATGGGCCCATTCAAACATCGCGTGGATGATGGTTTGGACATTCGCAAGGCTGCCTTTGAATGCATGTACACTTTGTTGGATGCTTGCCTGGAGAGGCTGGATGTGTTTGAATTCTTGAACCACCTAGAGCACGGTCTCAAGGATCACTATGATATTAAAATGCTCACCTACCTCATGGTAGCCCGACTTGCCCAGCTCTGCCCCACAGCTGTTCTGCAGAGTGAGTACTTGGCAAATGCATTGTCAGATGTCCATGTCCAAGTTAATAATTTAGCTTAAAATTTTACTTACTTTTTTCTTTTCTTTTTTTGTTACAAGGATTGGAGAGACTAGTTGAGCCACTGAGAAACACTTGTACAATGAAAGTGAACCCTAACTCAGTGAAGCAGGAGTTTGAGAAACAGGATGAACTGAAGCGGTCAGCCTTGAGGGCTGTTGCTGCTCTCCTTACTATTCAAGATGCAGGTAAGTCAAGATGAAGTCTACTGAAGCAAATTTCAAATGGAGTTGAACTGTTCACAAATGTGCACTAAATTTATTTGTATGTTGTTTCAGACAAAAACCCCAACCTTACAGAGTTTGTTACTCTTATCAAAAGTACTCCAGAGCTTCAAAATGTATTTGAAACTATTCAGAAGGATAGTTCTGTTTCAAGTCAGGACTCAAATCAAATGGATCTGAGTTAATACTGTTGTGCTTCATTGTGATTTAATGATAATTTGTCAGTAAACAACCAAAACTCTTGCTATGATAGCTCCACTTTCTGTAGAGTGACTGCAAGGTGATGGCCAATGAATGTATGTAGACTTTTATACCTTCTGATTCAATTTTTCCATCACCTTGTGTTGTAAGATTGAATTTATTACTCTTGTAAGTTGACTGTGTGATCTATGTTCATTTGGCTTCAGACTGTACTATTATCTTTAACTTTGATGATATGGAAGTATTCTTGGATAGAATTATCACCTTTCCCAGGTTCTCAAAAGAAGGTGTTTTTCTTCCCGTTGGAATGTTTCTGATCATTTTAGGTATTCTATGTGATTATAGATTTTAAATGTCATGTTTTTTTCATAATTTATAGAAACATGTTAACTTTTTTTTCCATGGTTGTTTTTTTCCTCTTTTTGTAAGATAAAGTCAGATTGAAAGAAAATCCTAACTGATTACAAACAAATGCAACTATCTCAGCCTAACCTTTACTGTTAAAATTGTTTGTCAAACTCAGTATCAAACTCAGTATCTGGAAATAAATTAATCCATTTGATAATTGGCTCTATTTATTCATTTTTCTTGCCCAACCGACCATATGTTATTTCAAGTAAATATTTAGTAATTACATTAGTCACGGCAAATAAAATACATTTCATCTTATTCTTCAAACATTACTCTCTTCCAGCTTCTTAGATTCATCTTCAGCGTCACCAGTGGTATGAGTGCGTTTTCTCTTCATTGCATTTTTGCCCTGATTGCGTCTTTGCTTTTCTTGAATTGATCCATCCTGCAGGCTAAGACAACAAAGGAAAGGAAAAAGATCATTATTGCAAAAATGACTCACTGATAATTTAGGATAAAGAGAGTAAAGTCAATACAAATGGCTCTTACTTGGCAATTGAGCGAATGCCAGGTCCCCAGAATTTCAGAGGGTTTATTTGGTATCTGCATTTTCCTCTCTGTCTTGAGTCAGGATTTGCTTCGGGATGCATTTTGAAGTCAACTGTATGAGTTATAGCCTTACTCAAAAGCTTGGCACTAACCTGATATTGAAGATAAGATGATATTATTATTAAAACAGCCTACTTGATTCTACTTTTAAAAAAGTTCAGTATTTAGCAGACTTACAGTTCCTTCTTTTAATCTTTTTTCACTTGCAGGGTTTTCTTTTTCCCATGCACGTAAAACATCCCACACAAACTTCTGAGGGGCATCTGTCTTAAAGGATGATGGTTTACAGTGAGACTGAGACAATCTGTACCCAGCATTCAATATTGCCGAGCTAAAAGAATCAGGAAAATTAACAAGGGTATTTTATTATTAAGACAAAAATGGTTGACAGAATCCAGTGGATAAGAAAATTATACCTGAATGTCAAAACTGGCATTGTAGATATTCCCATGAGTGATGACAAACGGTCCAATTTGTAATACAAAGGGATGTCTTCAAGCTCTTCCTCAACAACAGATAGCATCCCTTCAATGCGTTTACATGTGCCAAACTTCTCTGCAGCATCTTCAGCTGTGACAACATCCAGCAGTCTTGATACAAATGATTTATCATGGATGGGGGCATTCCAGATTGGTCCACCCAGGTGATACCTCATATCGCAATGAGGACAGGTTTCAGATACTGAAGGAACATGTGGCAACAATGTTTTCATCTGATTTGGATTTTTTTCGCTAATGCTTTTGAATTCACCCATTGGTTGAAGTGTCAAAGTTTCACAGCCCACACATTGATAAACCAATGACAACTTGCTGTAAAATGTTTATGTATTAATCCCTTGCACACCCAACTATATTCGTAACATCATTCATGTTCATTGTACTAACTTTATACTCCTTTTGCAAACAGATGGGCTGCTATCTATTCGGACGAAAGTTCGAATGTAAAAGTCAGCACTAACAGATAGAAGAGGAGTTATGTACCGACCATACCGGTTGGCATGTGACTCAATACATTGAAGGGCAATCCGAAGCGCCTGTTCCGCAGAAAAAATAATCTTTCTAATCCAGAAAGAAAACTATCAATGAACATTTAAATTTTTTTATAATACAAACCATTTCATAGCAGCACCGGTTTCTTAATGAAATTGCACCATATTTAGAATAGCAGGTTTCTGGGGAATTACCAGCTAAAACAGCCATGTCTGTGCACGTCACCATCAACAAACCACCACTGGCGACTGACTGCACTGCCCCATCGAGGAAATGTGAAGGACATCCATATGGATCCAAGTCAACAACATCAAACCTTGGTGCTGGAGGTCTATTTAGGTACATCACCATCCTAGAACAAAAATTTAAATATTGGAATATTTCAAATTACAAACATGAACTTGTAACATTTGTCTCAATTGCTTACGATGCATCATTGTGACTCGCAGATACCAAATGCTCCACTTTATTATAGGCAATGTTAGCCTTGAGACTTTCCACTGCAGAGGGAGAAAGATCATTTGCAACTATTTGCTTGATTCCTGGAACCTCTTTAGCGTACCGAATACTTCGCAAACCAGTAGCAGCAAGCGCCTCAAGAATGATCATTCCATCCTGTAGAAAATCATGTTAGTGGAAGAGAAAAGATTGAAGAAGAATAAGAAAAACATGAAATTATTCATAACGCAAACCTCATAACTTTTGCCTGGCTCTAAATCCGGAATGGGTTCAGCAGTCGCTTCTGATTCATTATTCTCTTTGGAGGCTGAGTTCCTTTTCTTCTCTTTCAATTTTTTGTCTTGTTTCTGCTTAAAGTGATCTTCAGCATGGACTGATAGGACTAAGATACTGAAATTCAAAGAGATTGACTCTGTGACAGTTTGGTAACAACAGAAGGGTAATCTCATAAGAATGCATTAAATTCCACACCTCAGATCCCTGTTAAATTCTTGAACAGGATTATAAAATACATGTTTTGATGTTTCTTTGAGAATTGTTGCTTTCCCTTCCTTGATTGTTCCATCCGACAAAGGGATCACATCCTCCGCTGCAATTGACTTGTTATTTGTGGGATCGGTATCAGCACCCGCACTTGTTTCCATGCCTGTAAAAAGAGGAGGCAGAATCCAGTTAATTAGATCCTGCTAGATATTGCATGCAGCTGTCAGAGGAAAACATAACCACATTCTAATTTTGCACAAATTAACGACCGGACCTATTTAAACACGATATAGGCAGGAAAAATTTTCAAATTTACAACTTAGGCGGCGTTTACTTGAGACATTTGATCCAGCAAAATCGTGACTTGAGAAAATAAATAAAGCTCACCCGTAGCAGAAAAAGTGCACCGGGCAGAAGTCAAGGGGAATTTCCCACTAAACCGTGAGACTAATGACGTACTTCGAAGAAGTGACATGAAATCTACACCTTCACCAAGTCGTGATAGAAAGTTTTCAAAGAAATAACCATTTATTTTAGAAAAATGACTAACTTTCTTGTCGCTGCGTACGACGTGGATAAGGTTTGGTTATGTTTTGTTATGGTGGTATGAAAAATTGACTGGAGCGCAACACATGAACTGCGAATAATCGATGCGCAGACAAGTTCCAGTCAGAGGCCGCCAAAACCAGCCAAATTCAAACGAGGTCGCTCATTGGGTCTTTGTCATCGTCGCTTACAGTGCAGGGAAATCAACGTGCTTCGATCATTGGTGTGGTGGATGCCTTAACACGCATACTTTGCTGCCTTTTCCTCTTGTGGACTGCTGGACAGCATTTAAAGATCACGCCTTCCAGCTCTCCCCAAGAAGAACAAATAGTCAAAATCAGGTCAAAAAGTAGTCAATGTTAAATGGTAGTCAATGGTAAATAAACCAAATTTAGCCCAAACTCGCTCATTTTGAGGCCTTATTTTCATCATTGAAACTTTTTTGCACCCCCTGGGTCGTCTGTGAATGAACGGATGAATGAATGAATGAATGAATGAATGAATGAATGAATGAATGAATGAATGAATGAATGAATGAATGAATGAATGAATGAATGAATGAATGAATGAATGAATGAATGAATGAATGAATGAATGAATGAATGAATGAATGAATGAATGAATGAATAAATGAATGAATGAATGAATGAATGAATGAATGACCCTATACGCTTTGCCCTTTGCCTGTCAAGCAGCATTTTGGCCAGCCCTTGCCTTTTGCCTATTAGTCCGAGCGAGATAAAGCCCGTCGCCGGGCGGGGCGAGGTGGGGCGGGGTGGGGCGGGGTGGGGCGGGGTGCAGTGGGCGCAGATAAGCCGCAATGCAAGCCTGCAGACTGAAGCCAAGAGTCTGTTTCGTCGCTCTTTCTCTTTCGCTTTCATGGAGCGTTCTGTAGAGGTGCGAGAGAGACAGAGCGACGGAAACGACTCTCGGAATCAGTCTGCTGGCGAACCGAATCGAGGGAACCCGACGGCTCGATCCGGTCCCCGGACAGCCGCAGCCGCGAATCCGCGACCACCTCTTGAAGGCCACTTCAGCCGCTGGCTTGGCGGCTTACGGCCCTCAGGCGCGCGGCTTACCCGGCTTTCGGCTTGTCGGCGCCGCGGAGGCCGCCGGCCGCCGGTGCCGGCGTCCCGGCCGGCGTCGCGTCCCGCCAGTTGCGAGCCAGCTGACAGCTGAGCGCCGCGACGGCCTGCCTGCCTTTGGCCCGTCTGCCTAGACCGCCTCCACTGGCCTGGCAGCCTGCCTGGGTCAAGCGTCCTGGAGGACTTGGCGGACCGCGCGGCGTAGCGGGGGTTCCTTCTCCTTGCCGGCACAACGTCTATCTTTGTCCAGCTGGCGACTGCGCGGCCGGCAGTCCGGTGCTCGTTGGCTCGTTGGCTCGTTGGCTCGCTGGCCTTGAACGGCGGTGAGGCGCGGCGCGCGAAGACCCAGACCCAGTCGCGGCGAGGCGCGGCGCGTCGGGCGCGTCTCACAGTCGGTGTGGCGGTCGCGTCGACGGGAGGCCCACGTTTTCGTCCTGGCGGAGCAGCCCGCCTAGAGTGCCGCGCCGCGGTGCACTGCAAGAGCCCTGACGCCGACACCATGAGGACCGCGAGGCAGCAGTAGAGGGCTTCCCCAGCCCCGCTCGTCCACCATGAGCCTCTCCAGGAGCACCGACTGCGTCCTGCCCCCCGACATGCAGGAGGAGCGCGTCTCGGCGCGCGCCGCCACCAGGCAGATCTTGTCCACCCTGTCAGGTAGGTCAGGCGCGCGGCGTGGGGCCGGGGTGCGCGTCGTCGCGGCGTCGCGGGCGTAGCAACAGTGGAGCAACGGCCTCAGCGCCCTGGCGGTCGTCTGGGCGGTCGTCTGGGCGGTCGTCCTGACAGGCGTCGTGACAGGCGTCCTGGGGTCGCCCTGGCTGGCGGCGCCGGAACCACGAACCACCAACACTCGACAGTACAAACCCGTACAAACCTGACCTACATGATTAGGGCGTGCTATACTCTGACCAGAAAACGAAGAGCCCTGGGTCCTCGCGGTCGAGGGCTACCTGCAATGCTATCCAAGGCGGTAGATGCCATAAACCGCGAGAACTCAGGGCTCTTCGTTTTCTGCGCACATGCAAGGAAAATTCCTGACTCATTTAGTTAGGCGCATACCAAGGGTTTGCCATCATTGGGTCATTTCGCACTTTTTGCCTGCCTTCACGCGGTTTGGAGTGTGGCGTGTGGATTGCCTCCATTCAGCCCTACCCCTTTTCCCCCTGGGCAGAAACTAGCCCCCCCCCCGGGAGCCTGCTGAATTGGGAATGCTTTACGAAACAAGCCGTCCAATTTAGAGTCAAGCATTTTATAGTATTTCGAATGGCGTGCACTGTCGTGGGTTAGGTTAGGTTAGGTTATAGTATTTCGAATGGCGTGCACTGTCGTTCCGCGAAGTGATGCCGCCCTGTCCTGACCGGCGTGTTATCAGACTTAACTTATCTGACTTCCTGCGGTCCAGAGGAATAGGAATGCGTCGAGGTCGAGGCTACCGGAGGGGAGGGACTCGGTGTCGGGCGGTCGGAAGCCGGCCGGCCTGCGTGGTGATGCGCGGTGTGCTGGTGAAGTGACTGTGTGTGTTTGGGAGTGCGTTGTGTCCGCCGCCCGATTCCGAGGATCGTTTCGTCGCTCTGTCTCTCTCGCACTCATGGGGCGTCCCGTGGCGGTGCGAGAGAGACAGAGCGACGAGACTAACCTTCCGAATCAGGCGACTGAGTGAGTGTGAGGCAGCAGCCCAACTGGCGGCAACGCGCCGCAACGCCGCCATACGCCGACGACGCCGGGAAGCGGGAAAGGGCTTCAGTACCTTCGCCGGCAGCCGGCAGGGCTGGCACGAGTACAGTGCGAGTGCGGCGTGGCGCTTCGGTGCCGCCGGCGCGTAGCGCGTAGCGCTCTGCCTCTCCACGTGGTGCGGCTACACCGGGCTACACGTGACGAGACGCGTCCCCGGCGTGTCCGCGTCCGCACGAGCACGTCCACCAGGTCCAGCACGTCCCGAGTCCGGAGCACGGCCGGCGCGCCCGGGCGTGAGATCGTCGAGGTGGACGTTGAACGCGTCGAACAGTCACCATGAGGAACTACGAGACCTTCCGCCGGGACGGGCCCGACTTGCCCGACGGGCACGCGCGCGGGCCGGGCGGCGTGGCCGCTGCCGGCAAGCCTAGAGTCGGAGTCGCCCCCCGCGGATCGGGTCAACGGCCGCCCTGCGCTCCGCGCGGTCCCCGCACGCCCCGCGCGATACGGAGACAAGTACTGGTGAACTTGGCAGGTGAGGGGGGAGGGGTCGGGGCCCGGCAGCCGCCAGCACATGGCTCTCAGTGGCCCCAGTGGGGACTCATGGGCAGACAGGGGCCATGGGGCACCGCGGGGTCGCCAGGATCAATCAGCGACGATTGGATGTCGCGACAGCGGCGGTTGGTTGGGTTGACTGACAGTCTTGGGATTTACAAGATTTCCGAAGAGAACAAGCAGGCCAAAGTGAGGTCATAACGGGGCCTGGGGATGGCATTTTCACGTCCAAATAATGACTTTGACTCAGTTTGACTTCATCTGGACCTCGTCTTGCCTTGCTGTTCTCCCTGGGCTGTCTTCGCCGAGCTGACAGGTTTTCCCTATTTTAGGGCACCGTTTGTCATGGGGGTATCTCAATTCGGAAGTCGGCAGCCGACCGCTAAACAGGACAGAGCTGAGTGTTCGTCGATAATTGGCCTTTCCTGCATGCTTGACGTTTGTTTCTGTCGTCTTGTTGGCAGCGGGGCTGGCGTGCGTGGCCGTGGGGTCCTGCCTGGGTTGGCCATCTCCCATCCTGGACCGCATGAGCAGCAAGCACTGGCGGTGGCCCGGCGTGGGGCTGGAGCGCGGCGGGGGGCTGGGGCCGCCGCGGCCGCTGTCCACGGACGAGGCGTCCTGGGTGGTGTCCCTCATGGACCTGGGCATCGTCCTGGGCTCCCTGCCGGCCGGCTGGGCCGCGGACCGCTGGGGCAGGAGGCCCGTGCTGCTCTCGTGCGCGCCCATGTTCGTCGCGTCGTGGCTCCTCGTCCTGGCCGCGCAGGTGAGAGGGGACTTCCCCGAGTCGTTGTTTTGGCGGGAAAATCCGCATCCCTGGGAGAGCGCGCAAACAGCACACTTCTGCAACTAACGTTATCTCTGTATCTCGGCGATGGAAAAATTATACCGGCCCCCATCTTGAATTGAATTTACCGATTTACCCAAGATGGGGGTACAAGATGGGGGTATCTCTAGCCGTTTACGAGGTACAGAAATAACGTCACATGCTTGCAAACGTGTAGTTTGCGCGCCCTTGCCCCTTCTGACTCGACCGTCTCCGCAGGGCCCCGAGTTCCTGTACGCGGCGCGGCTGCTGCAGGGGCTGGCGTCGTCCGTGGCCATGGTGGTGACGGCCATGTACGCGGGCGAGGTGTCCGACGACGGGCTCCGCGGCGCCAACAGCGCCATGGTGGCCATGCTGCTGACGCTGGGCACGGTGGTGTCGTACAGCGTGGGGCCCTACGTGACGTACCGCGCGTTCGCCGTGTCGCTGCTGGGCGTGCCCGCCCTGTTCGTGCTGTGCTTCTGCTGGGCGCCGGAGTCGCCGTACTGGCTGCTGGTGCAGGGCCGGCGCCTCGAGGCGGAGCACGCGCTGCGGTACCTCCGCGACGCCGGCAGCTGCCCGCTGCGGGTGTGCGCCGAGGCCGACCGCATCGAGGCCGGCATCATGGAGGCCTCGGACGCGGCGGCGCGCTCCTCGCCGTCGTCGGCCTCCTCCGGGGGGCTGTTGGCCTCCTTCCGGGAGCTGCTGGTGGTGCCCGGGCCCGACCGCGCCGCCTTCGCCTTGGTCATCACCCTCACCAGCCTGCAGGCGCTCAGCGGCTCGGACCCCATGACGGCCTACTCGGCCGTCACCCTGCCCAACGGCTTCGTGCTCGGCGCCAACGAGGTCGTCATCTTCTTCGGCGTGGTGAGTTGCGCGCTCCTCCGAGGCCGTGTTGACAGTCGGTCCGAGGAATTTCCCGCGCCCGCAGGCAACGCGGCCCTTCGGGGATTCTCGAGCCCTTCCCCCCGCACAGTGGGCCAGAGGATCGGTGGAGGCGGCCAAAACTCTTGACGCGTTTTGAGCTCCAGAGTCCCTGAACAGGACTCGAACCGAACGTGTGACCCCACCAATGGATTCCTCATTCAGAGAGCAATCCATTGGTGGGGTCACACGTTTGGTTCGAGTCTCACTTAGCGACTCTGTAGCTCAAAACGCGTCCGGAGTTTTGGCCGCCTCCGCCGGTCTTCTGGCCCACTGTGCCCCGTCGTATCACACGACAACCTCGTGGAAACGATTCGAGCAGGCCGGTATTCGAACTCGCGTCCTTGTTCCCGCAGGTGAGCACGCTGTCGACGGGCGTGGGCGCGGTGCTGATGGACCGCGCGGGCAGGCGGCCGCTGCTCATCGCCTTCTCGGCGCTGCAGTTCGCCTCGCTGCTGGCCTCCGCCGTGTACTACACGCTGGACGAGCGCACCACCCTGGACATGTCCGTGCCGGAGTGGGTGTGGGTGCCGCCAGCCGCCCTGGTGCTGTACGGCGTCTCCTACCCCATCGGGCTGGGCTGCGTGCCCAACACTCTGCAGGTACAGTGTGCGCGCCGAGTCTCGGCTCTCTGGGGAATTTCCCCAGACAACACACGGGCTGGGTTTACTTTGGGTGTGTACCAAACACACCTGCAGAGGAGGCAGGGGAAAATGTCCAGTAAATTGGGGACACCCTTATTGGTAGAAAAAGTTACTCGAGGGATGGCTCAAAGACAAGATGTTATACTGCTAATCCAAGTGTGGACCAAGTCCACGCTAGATAGCGTGGACCACGGTGGTCCACGCTAGGAAAAGTGGACCACGAATGGTCCACGCTAGGAAACGTGGACCACGAATGGTCCACGCTAGGAAACGTGGACCACGAATGGTCCACGCTAGGAAGCGTGGACCAAGCCGTGGTCCACGCTAGGAAACGTGGACCGAGCTGTAGTCCACGCTTCACAGCGTTGAACTTCTCATAGGCCAATCACACTTCCAAGTGTGGACCATCCGTGGTCCACGTTTCCTAGCGTGGACCACCGTGGTCCACGCTACCTAGCGTGGACTTGGTCCACACTTGGATTAGCAGTGTAGCCCTATAAGGCCCCCCCCCCCCGGTACTTTTCATCCCCGACTTGCCCCCAGGCTGAGATTTGAACCTTCGACCAACAGGTGGAGCTGTTTAGCACCCGCGTCAAGGGGGTGGCGCTGCCCGCCATCCTGGTGTCCTTCAACGCCCTCACCTTCCTCGTGTCCAAGCTGTACCAGGTGGTGTGGGACGCGTGGGGCAAGGACGTGGCCTTCTGGTTCTTCACCGCGGACTGCCTGCTGGCGGTGGTCGTGGCCACCGCGCTGCTCAAGGAGACCAAGGGGAAGTCCTTCCCGGAGATCCAGGACCTCCTGGACTCGCGGCGGAAGCGCCGGTCTGCACCGACGTGGCCGTCATGACGACGGCGACGACGCGCAACCTTCAAATGTGATAAAGTGACAAGTGCCAAAGTTGTGAACGCGAAATGACGTTGGTGACGAGGAATTCAGACAAAGCCGTGCGTCGGCTGCCTGACTGACCATTTTTTATCGTAATCATTTTGTTTCAGTGACGTGAGTTCTAGTTGAGAAGTGTACTAGTCCTAGTCCTTTGTGCGGGTACTCAGACCCACACCTCGGGCCATTGAGGAAAACTGTCTAGCGAATGCACTTTAACTACAAGACTGAGCGCTTTAGTTGCGTTGTAAATAATGTATATTTCTTATTTGATTACATGACTGCGAATCAGACAGCGTTGTACACATTCATTTCCTTGCCGGCTTATCACTCCGGGACGATAAAGAAGGTTCCTAGAGTGCCGCGCTTTCAGGGCTGGCTGTGGATTTGGAAGGCCTTACGTTGTTGCAGTGGGCTGACGTAAATCCAAAGCCCCAACGATTAGATAGTGTCACAACAAATCATTATTCTCACACGCGTGATCGTAATATTCTTTAAAATTGATAAACAATAACAATGATATGGCCATTTCTGTTGGCGCACTGTCAAGGTGCAGCAGCAAGGGTGGGTTGCCTGCCCCGCGGCCACACAGGGAGTCTGCCCCAAGCCGGGCGGGCAGCCCAACCTACTGCCGGTACACTACAGGTTCGTGGCTGAGGCGCAGGATTGCCATGCGCATGACCCACTTGGCGTCTCTCGGAATTGCCGCTCCGCGCTCCACTGTAGGCCGATTCCGAACGCTGCTCCGTCGCTCTGTCTCCCTCGCACCGCTACGGGACAACAACGGGAGCGAAAGGGACAGAGCGACGAAAGCCCTGGGCGGATTCAGCCTGCGGTTCTCGGCCGCGGCGGATTCTGCACGACGGCGTGCACACTGCAGCACTTCGGCCGCTACATCCACTTCAGCCCCCGGGAGGATTTGTGTACCGCGGCTCGCGGGAAGCACTTGGCCATCGCGTTGCACACGGCGCGGCGTCGACGCCCAGACGCGCCGCGACGCTAGTCCTCGTCGTCGTCGTCCGTCAGGCCGCCGGACAGGGCGGCCGACAGCGCGGCGCCGCGCCCCGACGACGGCGTCGACGGCCCCGCCGGCGCCGCCAGGCGGCCCAGGTCGCCGGCGTGGTCGTCGCGGCGCCACACGCGGCACGTGTTGTCCTTGCTGGCCGTGAGCAGCACGTCGCCGTTGTAGCTGAAGGCGCAGAAGAACAGGTCGTCCTCGTGGCCCTCCAGCACCTGCACGCACGTGCTCGTCTCCACGGTCCAGAGGCGCGCCGTGCGGTCCTGGGACGCCGTCAGCAGCTGCGACCCGCCCGGGCTGAAGCACACCTGCAGCAGCGGGTTCAAGGTGCGCCGTGAGAGCAGAGGACTGATTCCGCGCATCGGTTCGTCACTCTAGAGACCCTCCCGTCAGAGACGCGCAGAGGGGGGGCCCTCTCAGCCAATCACAGACGACTGGTAGTCCCATGCGGAGCGGGAAGCCCGAATTCGCCCCGCGCAAGGCTACGCACGTCAACATCTTGCGGCACAGCAGGTATACGGCGGTCGCCCGCTAGCCTGACTCAGGGTGCCTTTGACTCCACGGGGCTACCAAGCGCTGGCTTGCGCATATCTGACGGGAGGGTCTCTACGTCACTTTGCCTCTCTGGCATCCATGGCATGCCATGAAACCGGGCGCCGTTGCCGCACTGAAACGTGGTCTAGACCACACCACTGGTGTGGTCAAATGGGTGCCATTTTGACCGCATCAGTTGGTGTGGTCCAGACCACATTTGGTTTTTCAGTGCGCCTACCCCACCTTTTAGGGCACCAAATGTCGCCCAGATTCTGGGCGGTTCGTGGCTTTTTGATTACTTTTGTTCTTCACTTGGCGACGACTGAAAGGGGCTACTGTTGGCAGCAAAGGGGTAAGTTCGGGAAGAAAAGTACACCCTATGGGCCTCAATCTTGACTTTATTGAGTCATCCTTCGACTACCAAATATATGAAAATCCGATTATGCAATCCTTGTCCAACGGGTGTTTAGATCTCCACAATTGGCCGAAGACGGAATAATTTTCTGACCCTGTACTTTGCTTCGCCAACTAACCGCTAGCTTTTTAGAGCGCCAAATATCGCCCAGTTTTTGGGCACCTTTGTCGCCTAGTCTCAGAGTGCAGAAATCATCCTGCATCTGGCCCTCAGAGAATGCACAGGTGCCTAGTGTCTGGGCCACCAAGCCAAGGTCAACAGATTCTGGGCACCATTGGCACCGCGATTGGCACCTTTGGCGCTGCCGAGGCGTGGGTGGAGGCATGATTTGTGCACCCTGAGACTAGGCGGACTAGGGGACTTCCTGCTGGTTCCTGGCTTTTTTAAATTACTTTTGTTCTTCACTCGGTGATGACTAAAAGGGTCAATTAGGTGCCGTACTCGTTAGAGCTGCAGCGCTCGGCGTTGACTCACTTTGCAGACTTCGCCGCGGTGCCCCTGCATGAAGGCCACCATCCTGCAGTCCCCGGCCACGCTCCACACCCTGGCCGTGCAGTCCGTGCTGCAGGTCGCCAGCCTCTTGCCAGTGTAGTCGAACGTGACGTCTTGGAGCTGCGCCGCGAACGCGTTCGGTCGGATTAATACACGCGCGCTGCTGGTTCAACTACCAGTAGCCCGATTCTGAAAAGTCCTTCCGGGCGCGCTCTCTCTCTCTCTCTCTCTGTCGCACTCATGGGGTGACCCGTAGGTGCGCGAGAGAGACAGAGCGACGAAGCGACTTGTCGGAATCCCTCGGCGATGCGTGACGAAGTCGCCTACCTCCTCCTCGTGGCCGACGATGACGGCCAGGCTCTTCATGAGCCGCGGGTCCCAGACGCGGGCCGTGCTGTCGAAGGAGCAGCTCGCCACCAGGCTGCAGTCGAAGTTGAACTGGCAGTGGGAGATCTCCTCCTCGTGGCCCGCGAGCACCCCGACGCGCCTGCGGCACGGCGTATACACTGCACAGTGGGCCAGGGGACTCCAGAGGACAGGTGGAGATGGCCGTAACTCTAGACGCGTTTTGAGCTCAAGAGTCGCTGAATGGGGCTCGAACCGAACGTGTGACCCACCAATGGATTGCTCTCCGAACGAGGAATATATTAGTGGGGTCACTCGCTCGGTTCGAGTCCCATTTAGCGACTCTGGACTTAAAAACGCGTATAGAGTTTTGGCCGCCTCCGTCGGTTTTCTGAACGTGCTGGTCTCTGAACTGCTGGCTGACAGGTGGCTCTCAAACGTTGAGATCCTATTCGCATCCGGCAGTGCAGTATTGAGCGAACCGCTTTTTTGAGGCCTTTAGCGCCTGCGAGGTAGGCCACCATTCCGTCCCGCAACACACCGGTGTGCAGACGGTGGCCTACCTCGCGCCTGTGAAGGCGGCAGGGGCAAGGTAGGCCACCGTCTCTTCACCGGTGTGTTGCGGGCTATGTGGCTGGCCTACCTCACAGGCGCTAAAGGTTGCAGAAATAAGCAAGCCATGGTCCAGGAGGGCCCACACGATGAAAAATTTGATGTGGGCACGAATAGGGATGCCAGCCGGATGCGCAGTGGGCCAGAAGGCCGCTTGGCGTGGCGTCTTACTGGTTCGTCCGGGTGTCCCACAGCGCGAGGGTGCCGTCGAAGGAGCCGGTGAGCAGCGTGGTGCCCACGTTGTCGAAGTGCAGCACCACCACCTCACCCGTGTGGCCTTTGAGGGTGCCGAGCTCCTGCCCTGCGAGCAAAGTCTCGTTTAGCTTGCGGCGGAGCACCTCAGCAGTCCAAAAACTCAGCGACACTTGGGGAAAGGGTGGCCAATCTCGGCCTGTCTTTTCGGAAACTGCTCGAGAACAAAGCCCAGATATTGCTTTAGTTTATAGGCAGGCTGAGATTGGTAACCCTGGGAATATTTGCCGACTTCCGCGGCAACACTGATAGCTTGGAGGCGGCGGCCAAAGCGGTACTTTGGCGGCGGCCTGTGGGCCCTTTGAAACGCAGAACCTGATTTCGCTCCTCACCGGACGTGGTGCTGTAGATCCTGGCCGTGTTGTCCATGGAGGCGGTGGCCACCAGCTGGTTGTCCGGGCCGAACTTGGCGGAGACCACCTCCCCGGAGTGGCCCCAGAGCGTCTGCACGCAGTCGCCGGTCTCGGCGTCCCAGATGCGGGCCTTCTTGTCGAAGGACCCTGTAAGAACGTGCTTCCTGCAGCACGGGGCAGGGGCACGGCGTCACTCTAGGCGACAGAGACACAGCGGGCCAGAAGACCGGTGGAGACCTACTCGTCGTGGTTGCTGAAGGCGACGGAGAAGACGACGTTCTTGTGGCCCTCGAAGGTGCGCAGCTCCTTGCCGGAGGTCACGTCCCACAGCTTGCAGGTGCGGTCGTAGCTGCCCGTCAAGCAGCGCTCCCCCGTGCGCCCGAAGGTGGCGTTGGTGAGGGGCAGGATGTGGGCGCGCAGCGTGCGGTGCCGCAGGTAGCGGTGGTTGGCCGAGTCGCGCAGGCGCTGCTGCAGCGCGAGCAGCGACCGCTCCAGCGCGGGCCGAACGCCCTCCGTCAGCAGGGGCTCCTTGGCCGCCAGCAGCGCCGCCACCGCCTCCACGTCCGACCTGCGCAGCACGCGCAGCATGCGCAGTGGCAGCCATGCACAGTGGGCCGGAACCGGAAGACCGGTGGAGGCGGCCAAAACTCCAGTCGCGTTTTCAGCTCCACAGTCACTAAATGGGACTCGAACCGAACGTGTGACCCCACCAATGGATTGCTCTCTGAACGAGGAATCCATTGGAGGGGTCACACGCTCGGTTCGAGTCCCATTTAGCGGCTCTGGAGCTCAAAACGCGTCTAGAGTTTTGGCCACCTCCACTGGTCTTCTGGCCCACTGTGAGGCGGTCAAAATTTCGGACGCGTTTTGAGCTCGAGTCGCCAAATGGGACTAGAGCCGAACGTGTGACCCCACCAATGGATTGCCCTTCGAACGAGGAAATCCATGCGGTTGTGCGCTTGCTCTAGACTGACTGGCGATACCCCACGCTCGTGGTTTCTTCCGCAGTGGGGCGTAGCGTTCTGTTTTTCCATGTGCTGTATATTGTTCCACTACTGGAGTCAGGTAGTGGAATAAGATACACGTAAACCTCGGGTAGAGGGCTGCGCACATGCACGACGGCGGAAGCCGCAACTACCAGCGCGGGGTATTGCCAGTCCACGTAGGTGCACGAATGCATGGAGTATATATTACATTTCACCGCGCAGTTTGCTTGGCATGCACTCTTTCTCAAATCTTAGCGCGTGCTTGGCATATGAAAACTATTCCGAGCAGTGTAACTGACGACGGGGACCGCGCTGCAGGGCACTTAGGAACAGTGTGCATGTCGAGCAGCCCCCAGTAACAGTGCGCATCCAAGCACACTGCTCGTGGAGCCTCTCAAGGTTGGAGTGAGCATGCAGGCATCCTCCAGTGTGCCGTTTGCAGAGTATTTGAGGTTAGGGTTAGTCCCACCCCCGCCCTAGGGTGCTTTTTGTCGACTCGACGTGGCCAAGCCAGTCGTTTGGTCTGGTGACGTGTGATCAATTAATGATTGTTCCAATACCTTGTGGTTAGGTCGAGAAGGTCAATCATTTTCATTTTCGTGTCGGACCCCTGGACGTACTCCAGCCCGAGCCCTGGAAGAGAAAGAACAATGAGGCGACCCGTTGCTCGACTTACGGGGAGCGCACGTCGGCGACGACACCGCGAAACCCGCAATCTAATCTCGCGACTCGAGCGAGACAAAGTCCGCCTCACCTGGAGGGAAATGTCGCAAGAGGAACCGCTTGAGCTTCATCCTAGCGCGTCCAGGGCGTCTGTCATGAGCACGGCCTTGAGGGGCTGCAGCGGCGGCAGCGGCGCCGCTCCCCGGACGCCTCGACCCGCAGCACGCGAGGCACGCGCAGCACGGGGCACGCGTGCGTCCGAGCCGGAGCGAACCATGCCCATAAAACGCGTCACATCGCAAGTCGACGACAGCGCCTGGACGCGAGCGATCGTCCCAGACATACAGTGTCGAGCGGGTCTCGCGTTGCTAGGAGACAGAGGCGCGTTCGATTCAAGCCGTTCAAGCAGGCCGCCGCCGCGCCGCCAACGCGCCGCCGCGGTGCCGCGCGCACGCCGAGCTTCGGGAGATCCCCGGCAGGGGGCGGCGCGGCGGACTGCACGTGTCTGATGGGTTGCCTGCCTACCGGCGCTCTGAGTCACTCCTGAAAGGGAAAGGAACCGGGGGCGTCTCAAGGTCGAGGTCGAAGCTGGTCCCTGCCCCCGAAGGCACAGCCACCCCTCCACGACGGCGGCGCGGCGGACGCGGGGCAATAAAAACGCTCTGGAAGCGTGCGGACGTGGACTCAATCGGGCAGACGGCGGCTCTCTCCACCTCCACTCGCTCCGGGTGCCGGCCGCAGGAAAAAACGAGTACGACGCGCGAAGCGACTCGGGGCGGACGCGACTACGCGACCGCGCACACGTACTCCAGTGGGGTGGGGGAGGGGCGTGGCGTGGCGGCACCTCTACCGGCGTCAGTCCGTCCCGGCAGTCATGCTCGCCGACGGGGTGCTGCGCTGCACGCGGCGCGGCGCCGCGGTCGTCACGTTTGCATGTTTGCGTTGACGCGAGTCGAGGCGGCATGGCGCCTGCACGTGGTGGCTGTGGGATTTGACGCGGCAAATTCAAAGTCTCCACGGACACAGGGCACGTCCAAATCGGTGGGGCGCCCTGCTCTGTCTCTCTCGCACTCACAGGGCGTCAAGGGTGCGAGAGAGACAGCGACCAATGAAGTACTGGGAATCAGCCTCCTGGCTCTCCGCGGCGCGATGACACCAGGCACCACCGCTAGCCGCCGCAGACTGATTTCGAGAGTCGTTTTCGTCGCTCTGTCTCTCTCGCGCCTAAAAGGGACGTCGCCTGAGTGCGAGAGAGACAGAGCGACGAAAACGACTCTCGGGATCGGTCTGGTGGCCCCCCCAATGTAGCCCCCTCTCCATGACCGTGGCCCTGGTCGCGGACGGTCCCTGGCATTGCCCCTGCGCGTCGCGACGCGTCGCCCCGACCCGAGTGGCGGGCGGCGGCGCTGCAGACTGATGCCGAGAGTCTGTCTCTCTCGCACCCACACGGGGCGCCCCATGAGTGCGAGGGAGACGGAGCGACGAAAGCGACTCTCGGAATCAGTCTGCTGTACAAACCGTCAAGGACTTGTTCACGTCGCCGGGGCGAGCAAACGACCACGTGGGGGATAGGACGCTCATGGGGCCACATGTCCAAGTGCGCCGCATGAATGGGGTGGCACTGACGTCTTGGTTTTTGAGTACAGGGAACGCAAAGCTGCGTACTAAAACCCACGTGGCTGGCTCCCAGGCCCCACTAAGGATACTACTCTGAAGATTTTGACCGCCAGAGAGATGGAACTGGAACTGGCCGAGCGATGTGTTCCGGGTCGCGCCCTGCCTGCCCCGCGTGTCGCAACAGTGGCCGTGTGTTGCACCACGCCCTTTACGGTGTATCCTTTTCTTCGAGACGGTGCAGCGGTTCTCTGGACACCTCCCCTCCCCGGGCCTTACCTTGGCCCTCCCTCCCCTCCGCGCCTTAAAACCGGGCGGGCCACGCGGGCGGCACCAGTCTTCCCGTAGCGCTGCGTGTGACCACTGCTGCATCGCGCTGCACTCCGGAACCGCCACCGCCTCGTCGTCTTGGTGTCTTGGTGCTCGAAGCGACTCGTCGACGCCCACCCTTCGGCCATGTGCATAGAGGGCTTCCGCATGGTGGAGGCGCGCGGGGGGCCGCGGCCGGGGCCTGTGCTGCCGCCGGGCTTCAGTACGCCCTCGGGCACGCCCGCCACTGGCAACCGCCGCATCGGCGTGGCCGCGGACGCCGCGGACTCGCGTCCGGACCCGTGCCGCCGCCACAGCGCTGCCGGCCCGCGCCTCATTGAGCCAGTCCCCGGCGCGACGCGCGGCCGCGAGCCGACAGACTTATCACCGCGAGGCCGCGACAGCGACGCCGAGGCCGCGGACTCGCCAGCCCACGCCGCGGCCGTCCTCGCCGACATGGAGGCCGCGGACGCCGACGACCGCCACCCCTCGGACATGGCCGTGCCCCTCGTCGGGAGGCAGCCCTCCTCCGAGGAGATCGCCGCGGCGCGCGCCCGCCTCGTGCAGAGGCTGGCCGCCCGCAGCGCCGCCGCCAACAAGAAGACCGTCCCGGCCGCCAGCAGCACCCCCGGCGCCGCCCCCGAGCAGGACCTGGACCTGCTGGCCAGCGCCACCGCCAAGTTCAGCGTGCTGCTGGGCCGCCTCGGGGACGCGCTGGAGGCCGCGCAGCAGTCGCACTACTACAGGTGAGGCGGCGACGCCGGCAAAGCCAATAGTTCTGTTTATTCAAGCGGTTGAATGTCGCAGCTCGGGGCCTGGCGTGTCATTCCGAACAGTGACGCCCCGCAGGCAGATTCCGAACATGACTTTCGTCGCTCTGTCTCTCTCGCACTCGTTGGGCATCCCATAGGGGTGCGAGAGAGACACGGCGATGAAACACTGTTCGAAATCGCTCTGCTGTCTCTCTCGCACTCATGGAGGGGCACAGGATGGCGCGTTGCTGCTGCGGCTATCCGGTCAACAGTTGGCGGCCCCCTTCTGCGTAGTACATGGCAAACTGCGCGCGAAACAGTTCAGCGCGGGGGGGGGGAGGGGGCGTCGAGCGTTCGTTCATGGTTTCCTTCCCCTCGCCTCCCCGAGCCGCGTGCCGTGCACCAGGTGGCGTGACTTGGATTAAATTTGTGTCGGCCTTCCAATGTCGCGACGCCGCGCGACGCACATGTGGGAGGATCCCGGCCGTCTCGGCTGTCTTGACGAGGACGCCGATGGGCGGCACGCGGCACTGCACGCACCGGCACACTGGGCAGCGAGGCACTGCGAGGCGCGGCCGGGCCTTACTGGCGGTCTCGTCTTCGCGCCGCTCTGTCTCTCTCGCACCCAGGCAACGCGTTATGCATGCGCTATGAGTGCGAGAGAGACAGAGCGAGAAAAACGTGAAAACGCTGAGCGCAATCGCTCTCCGGGTGTGCGTGGAGCGTGGGCCACAAAGCGCTGTCCAGTAGACTGATTCCGAGAGTCGTTTTCGTCGGCCTGTCTCTCTCGCACCCTTACGGGACGCCCCGTGAGTGCGAGAGGGAGACCTCCCCTTCGGAATCAGTCTGCAGACTTAACTGCATTGTGTTGGGAACGCCCTCTGCGACTCTGACAGTGACGGCGCGACACAGTGGGCCAGAAACCGGTGGAGGCGGCCAAAACTCTAGACGCGTTTTCTCCAGAGTCGCTGAAAAGGACTCGAACCGAACGTGTGACCCCGAACGGTGCTTTTGTCGCTGTCTCTCTCGCACCCTGACGGGCGACCCGTGACTGCGGCAGAGACAGTAGCGTAGCGAAACGACTCGTCGAAGTCAGTCACCAGCCAATGAGTGAGTCATTGGATGCTTCATTGCCGAATTGAGAAAGGGGGCAAAGTCGAGTCGAGCCGTAATCACCACCCCGAGATTCCATCGATCCGAGACAGGAGATCTCCTGGCTTTCGATTTTGATATTTTGTTCCCCTGACTGCAGAGTGATTTTCAACAGCGCTTTCGTCGCTCTGGGCGTTTTGTGTGTGAGAAAGACAGAGCCAAGACTGTTCAATTTGAGCGCACCTCAGTGCTCGCACTACTTCACACCACCCCGTTCGTCGACGCGTGACAGCGGGCACGTCGGCACGCGTGGGGTTGTCAGGTTGTCGTAGGTGTGAGCATGAAAGACCCTGCATGGCATTGTCAAGTGATCCCTGGACCAGAGTCGCGTGTCGATCCCGTAAGAATTTTGGTCCTGAATTTGGATCGGCATCAGCAGTCCGCACATCCGCCAATGTCGATGATTTAGCGGGCAGTGGAATGTCTCGGTCGCTGAAATGCGTTCCCACACCCACAGTCGCTATCTCTTATCGGGACGGGTCACCTAGAGGCTCTTTCGGGTCGCCCAGTGAGAGTGAGGGTCGTGTCGCAACACGCCGGAAGGGTGAGAGACGCGAGGGGGGACGAGAGCTGGATTTCAATTGCAAAATGAATCAAAGTTTAACCCTTTTTTTTGTGTGTTCTGCCGCAGCGTGCTGTCCCGCACCACCCAGCCCGCCCACCTGGTGGCGTTCGTGTCCGTGGCCCTGGTGGCGGCGCTGCTCTTCCCCCGGCACGCGGACTCCGCGACGTCCCCGTCGACGTCCGGCGGCCGCGACGCCGCCTCGCCCGGCCCGGCGCCCTGGACGTACCTCGCCTACGTCGTGGCCTTCGCGGCGCACTTCGGCTCGCAGTTCTGGATGACCTTCGTGTCGGGTAGGGTGTCTGGTGGTCGACGGGGCACAGTGGGCCAGAAGCCGGTGGCGGCGGCCAAAACTCTAGACGCGTTTTGAGCTCCAGAGTCGCTAAATGGGACTCGAACCGAACGTGCGACCCCATCAATGGATTGCTCTCCGAACGAGGAATCCATTGGTGGGGTCACACGTTCGGTTCGAGTCCCATTTAGCGACTCTGGAGCTCAAAACGCGTCTAGAGTTTTGGTCGCCGCCACCGGCTTCTGGCCCACTGTGCGGGGTGCCCGCGGGGAGAACAGAACAGGCAAACTGGTGTAGACATGACCTCCAAATGAGCGATTTCAGTCATGATTTGACCCAATTTGGCGTCTTCTGGACACAGTTTGGCGGCATCGTCTTTCAGGGGGTTGGTCAGTAATGGGGGTAACTATCTCCTCCTTGGGTCCTAGATCAATCGCCTAAAAGGTGGGGCAGATGGGCAAAAATCACGTATTTTCCCCTAGTGGCCAAAAAGCTCTGCTTTGCCCTCACCGTGAAAAATTGTGGATCTGTGCGTATCGTCTTAATGGCCCTGTTCTCCTCGGGTGGCCCATCCGCGCGGTTCGGCGCATGTTCAACAAGAATAGGCTTGGTAATTCGGAGCCGTGTTCCCTCCCCCAGGCCTGTCGCTCTTCTTCAGCCTGCCGCGCCACCACTTCGCCGCGGTGCAGAAGGTGCTGTTCCCGCTCTACTTCGCCATCAACGCGGCCCTCAGCCTGGTGACGCTGTCCGCGTTCGTGCGCCTGCAGCCCTCCGCGTCGCGCTGGGACGCCGAGGTGGCGGTGCAGGTCGGCGGCATGGTGCTGTGCTTCCTGCTCGAGCTGCTGGTGCGCCTGTACCTCACGCCGCCCCTGCTGCACCTCATCACGGCCAAGACCGAGATGGAGAGGACCGTGGAGGGTGAGTGTCCGAGTCAGAATGGCATCGTCGCACTGCCTCTCTCGCACGGGACGCCCCGTCAGTGTGACATAGGTGACAAATTTCCGAAAACTTGCCCAAAACAGGCCGGAAAAGGGGGAAAATTAACATTTAGACCCTGTACATTCATGCGAATGAGAGTCCGGTACCGTAAGTTTAAATTCGAGTGACCTAGATGCAGGGGTCTTGTTGGCTCAGAGCGCAAAGGTTGCGGCCGCCCTAAGAAAGGACCGGCGTTCGACTCTCAAGCATGCCAAAATTTTTCTCTGGCTTCTTCTCAAACTCAGTTCATTTACTCAAAGAAGAATCCCGGTATACCATCAGCCTGAGTTTGAAGGACGGAGTTGTGGGCAGTAGACGCCGCAGTATTTTCTTCAGTTTAACGCTAGAATTTGTCTAAACTGCACGTTTCGGGACAGTCATCCGTATGTGACTTCGTGGCTGTGTGGTCTAAGTTGTAGACGGTCCACGGGGATGACCTGGGTTCGATTCCCAGGCAGGTGAACATTTTCATCGGTCGCTTGAACTTGGTACAAGTGTGCGTTTCGGGCCTATCTTGCACAGGCATCTTCGTGGCTGAGTGGATTAAGAAGTCGTCCCCAGCGAGGAACACACGGGTTCATATCCCGGCCTCTCTGAATTTTTCTTCAGTCTGACGCTTGAATCTGTTACAAGGGCGCGTTTCGGACTATGTATACGCATGTGACTTCGTGGCTGAGGGGTCTAAGGTGTCGGCAGCGTCACGGGGACGGCCTGGGTTCGATTCCTAGGTGCTATAATCTTTTCCTGGGTTTACTTCCCAAATCCTGTACAATGACACTAAGGTTGGTTGGCTCCAGTAGGTGTGTCACCGTAGCTCAGTTGGCAGAGCGATGCATACGTGACACAAAGGGCTTGGGTTCAACTCCCAGGTAAATCAAAAGGCGATGTTCACGTGTCGGCCGGCACGGGAGGTACCTGGGTTCAACTCCCAGGTAAGTTAAGAGGCAAGGATCACGTGTCGGCCGGCACGGAAGGTACCTGGGTTCAACTCCCAGGCAAGTTAAGAGGCAAGGATCACGTGTCGGCCGGCACGAGAAGCGCCTGGGTTCAACTCCCAGGTCAGACAAGAGGGAAGGTACACGTGTTGGCCGGCACAGAAAGCACCTGGGTTCAACTCCCAGGCAAGTGAAGTGGCTAGGTTCACGTGTCGGCCGGCACGAGAAGGGCTTGGGTTCAACTCCCAGGCAAGTGAAGTGGCTACGTTCACGTGTCGGCCGGCACGAGAAGGGCTTGGGTTCAACTCCCAGGCAAGTCATGAGGCAAAGTTCATGTGTCGGTCGGTACGAGAAGCACTTGGGTTAAGGTGGAATGGGAGCTAGGATGAAGTCAATTGAGGGTTGACGGGGAAATCATATAAATTAGCCGTAGAAACTCCGAAAAAAATGTGAAATGGTAGAAAAAGTGCCAGGAAGGTCATGACAGGCAGTGGTTTTGCTTAATTTTATTCTGATCCCAAGATATGAATTTTTTAATTGGATGAAGTAGCACTTTTGACTCCAGCGTTTATAGTGCTGTCGAGGACCTAGTTATTGACCCGTAACTTGTGCTCCAGACTATTTCCCCATTCTGCTTCGAATAGGGAAGGTCAAAATCTGTCCTTTGGTGAGTGGACCATATTTTGACTGACTATCCCACCCTTCTCGAACCCGAAATCCATAATTCCATTAGGGGACTTGTACAGCACTAACATGAGAGGGAACACTACACCTGGCAACAGCGCACGTCTGGGGGCCGCGCAGTTCAAAAGAAGGCCCCGCACATTTTGATATCCAATGTTGCAGGTAGCCCTTCAAATCCTTCAAATAATATTTTAGAATTTTTTTTACATATAATTGGAAAACAAATTGATCATTTTCATATGACCACGTCAGTGATGAAAAGTGTGTAGAAGGCAAGTAGGAAATATTTCTAAAGAAGGCAACAGTAAGAGTACAAATTTATTGTCACAATTTCAGCCAAAGGAACAGAAAAAAATTAAATACAATAAATCTGTCTATAAAAATAATACTGTAAAAAAATTTGTAATGCATCAACAAATTTTACAAGTCCATTACATTTACATCATCTTTGTTCAAATCAAGCCATGCACAAAGATAATCAATGACTGCAACAAGTGCCGTTTTCCTATTGTTCAGATCCTTGAACCACTGGGCAAACCGCTCTTGTCCGTCATCCAGTAGTTTTTGGGCCAGAGCTCCTACAGTAAAGCCCTTCTCTGCAATTTTTTCTGTTGTCATTTTGCTGATGCCTGGACCAACCATAACTGCCAGACCAGGTGAAAATATTTTTTTGTTCCTCAATTCAACTTGTCTATCAACAAAATGGGAAAGCAATGTTATATTACTGAGAAGGTCCTGCCTCGTCACATCCAGAGCAGTGCAGAGCTGCAGCAATATTTCAGAATCGTAAAGAGCCCCATGGGCATCTTCTAGTCTAAAATTAGGAACATATTTAGAAGCTAAGGTACTCTGACTAAAACTAAGTTTCATTTTATTTTCTAAAGACTGTTCAGCGAGTGCTTCTGCCAGAATTACAGGGTTTTTTTTAAACAGGGGGAGGGTATCAACAAATCCTATAACTAACTCAGCCAAAGATGGTAATAGATAAAAATCAGCGCAGCCCTTGATTAGGGCATACGCATCACTATGAGCGTGGTGAGCTATTAATACTATTGGTTTTTCAAATTTTCTTAAGAACACAAAAAAAGAATTTATCACAGCAAAGAGGGATGAGCAGGTCACTGCGTTACCTTTGTAACACAGTTCCCCCTCGATAATTGAAAGAGAAGTCACCCTAGTCACGTGCTCAGTGATATCCTTGGGAGGATATGCATACTTTTGAAATGTAGCATGATCACCATCATCGCACTTGGCACCCATTTCAATGATGTTCCCATGCCCATCAGTCTCCACATCGAAGTAAATTAATTTAATGTCATTGTGGTCAGGGACAGGGCGTTGAACCACTGGTTCAACAACCCCTCCAGAACGTACACTTTCATCAACTGGGCGGTTGAACCCCATACCGGGCTCATATGAGATGCCCTCCCCTCCTTCAACGTGGACCTTCACTCGACTCCTGTGTTGTGCCAAATATTTTCTCCTAATTTTGGCAGCTTGTTGGGACTTAATATGGGCAACTCTCTTCCTCCAGACATCTTTTTTCTCTCTATATTTATCTCCACCTTTAGATGGAGACAATGCTAGAGCAGAATAGACGTTCTTTTGGTAAGAAGTGCCGATATTTGTCTGAGCAACACCACTAGCTATTGCATAAGTATGCCGCCAAGTACCACCAGTAAATGTTCTCTTGGCTGACTTACTAATGAATACGTTGTTCACTGCCTCATTTTTTTGAGAAGAGGCAGCTGGAGCAATGGTTGCAGCACGGATAATATATCTCCTGAAATGTGCTTCAAGATCCCTCCTTAAAGGCTCACAGGCCGCCAAATCCTTACCATTATCCTCAAAGTACTTGTGCTTGTAGGTTGCTGGATTTTTAATAAAACCACACCATGCACCACAAGTACCATGGTCACCAAAGGCATGAGGGACCAAAGCCTTCAGATTTCGCCTCAAGCCTTTAGGATTGCCTTTGTTTTGTTTGACAGCAGTACTATAACAGGACAGAAAGTAATTTATGTAACTCTTTGGGAAAATTTTGGGAAACCGGGCTTGAATGACAAACAGACCGTTCTTCACACTTTTTACGGTATGGTTGTGGTCACTCCACTTCACTATGTGGGTTGTGCTGTTGTGGCGAATAGCAGATGCGCTCGCAGCATCATCATCGCCAGCAACAGCAGCAACAACCACATTAGCTTCATTTAGTGACGAGTTTTTACATATTAGCCTCACTGCAGCTTCCGGCTCCATGGCCTTGGCACTCCCTTTGAAAACCCCCTTGCACAGATGAGGTCTGCCTCTCTCACATTTCCAGCATTTCCTCGTCAGGGACTCCCAACCACAGATCTTTTTTGATTTCAGACCGATCATGGTCGATTGTCCTGCAAGAGAGTCGTATTTTTTACCATTGAAACGGGTGGAAAACTGCATATCTATAGACACGCCAATCCTGGTACGTCTTCGTGGAGTTGTGGTAAAGGGAGAATCTTCTGGAGGTACATTTGGAGGTGGAGTTGCGTGGTCTGTTGAAGTTGCATTTGCAGTCCCTCTTGGAGTTGAAGGCTGGGCAGGAGTTTGCAGTTCATCCGGATCATCTTCATCATTGGAATCGAATCTTGCATCACCATGGGCTGTTGGAGCTGCATTTGATGGTAGGACTGGAGTTTTGAATGTGTTTGAGTCATCCTCAGCATCCAAGTTGGTGCTCTCGTCATCAGAGTCCATGGGCAGTGGCTGGGTTCCCAAGTTGCGCCTGCAAAATGTACACAAATTAGCTGTGACTACCAAAAAAAATATTTAAAATAATTACCGCAACCAAAAGCAACATAAAATATCTAACTGAATACGGGAAACCAACCACATGCAGGAAACACACATGCACACTAATTACTTCATTACCGTACCAACATACCATCCGCATCCGGATTTGAAAATCCTTTGCCGCTTATAGGATTGCATTTGGAAGGGAGCAATTACAGGGATATATATGCAGGGTTTGTTCTAAATACAGGGTAGGAGATGGGGAAAACACATAAAAGGGGGATGTAGGCACAACATAAAGCAGAAATAAAATGAAAAAGTGACTGAGCTGGGAAATGAAATGCTTAGGCCGGACTCTAGAAATAATAATAAAATAGTTAATGAGATGCCTTCCGGATAGCTCCATACACTTATGCAGATTATTATAGTTTAAAGTTTGAACAAGCATTAGTTACTTTTTCATTTCATTGACTTAAAATTGTGACAAAGGACATGCAGGAAAGGAGGGGAAGCAGGAACTACTGCGCTGCAGCAGAAGACGAGCTGCTTGGATTTGGTGCTGGAGCAGCAGGAGCAGACCCACCGCTGAAATAATGGCGATGATTTAAAGTATTGAATAACATTTTAAAAAAAAAACACTTCAGCAGAGTTGCAGGAGAAATACTCACAGCGGGCTCGCTTGTGTGAGCTCCTTCTCCAGAAGAAGTGCCTCCTGGCAAGATTCGTTGGCAACCCCAATCACAACTTGCCCGACTTCCTCTCGATAACGAGAAAGTGTACCAGCATCAAGACAGGGGATGTTGAGGGCAGACAAGACTGTGTTAATCTGGTCCGGGCCCATACCAGAATCTGTCATGCCTGCAACATTAGAAAGAGAGTGAATTTCAGGCAGGGAGCACAGGTCCGCAGAGAAAGCCTAAGTGGCGTGAGAGGTTATGATGCCCAGGGGTACAGAGGTAAACACGTGATAAATAAAGCCATTAGAACTTACAACGAGTAAATGAGGCACTCAACTCACCGAAGATCAGTTTTGAATTGACAGTGTAGCGTTGACGACACGTTTTCAGAGCATAATAGGTGCTAGAACTTGATACTTCGGTTTCCACCAAGCAGGTCGGGCACTTGAACCTCCACACGTAGGCTAGACCCCTCACCATTTCTTTCACGATGTCGCGAACGCACAGTCCTCTTTTGCAGGTATAGCACCACATGCCCTTCCACAGCATTTTGGAGTCAAATATGCGCCGTCCATCCATAACTTGATCCAGAAACGTTTGCAAAAGCGTCTCCTCTTCATCCTCCACGTCGCGAGCAGATGATTCCAAAGTTTCAGAGATTTGCCTGTGTCGCTGGGCAGCGGCTTTAGCTGCGCGTGCTGCGGCAGCATACTTTTCACGGTCTAATCTTTTTCTTTTGATAAACCTGCCGTTTTTACGAATGTTATAAGGACTTTTCACGTTAGACGGCATGTTCACTGCATCACACTCGGTGGTAGCGGCGAAAAGACCGACTGCGGGTCAGCACCCTGGGTTGCCCCAAGCGCCGTTGCCAAGTGTAGTTCTCCCTCCCTCCCCTACCCGAGCCCCCTCACCCTACGACAGTCCCCCGAGTGCACCAGAGCTTCGAAAAGACGCCGTTCTCACCTCTTTATCTTGCAATATTTAAAAAACGAGCACGGAAAACTATTTTTTCAGGTGGGCTGGACGACGCGCCACATTTCAAAGATTATTATGTCATATAATTTTCCCATGTACAATAGAACTGTACATTTAAATCTTTATTTTAGTGTCCCCGCGCGCCCAACCTCCCATAAGAAGCATACTGAATCAAGCGTATTTCAAATGAAAAATGATAAAAATTTAATGCGTTAGGGGTCATTTTTAACTGCGTAGAACGATAGATTGCACAATTTTGTACCATTTCACAAATTTTCACGAATTTCTGATAGAAACTATATAACGCATATGCTACCTTAAACTCCCAGTCAGACCACAAGGGCAGGTGCTAAGATGCCCAGCATGACGGGGTCACATCCCAGATTGGAATGGTGATCCACGCGAGATGGAATTGCAAATCGCAAGCAAGACGATATGTTGCTCTTTAAATCGTTTTTCTTCGTCTTTAATCACAACGTGCCAGTACAAATATGGAGCGTTTCGCAAAATGTGTCAGTTTAAACACAAAATTTCTACTAAATTTCGCATTTAGTTGTATTATCTTTCCCTCTGCCTCAGGGGTAGAATGTTTTTCGTCTTATGGAATGCTACCCAAGTTGCCACGCCAATCGCATCAGTCTTGCCATTTGTCTTGCCTGAGAGTTGAATCCAGGTCTTTCTCGTGTCGACCGACATATGAACCTTGCCTCATGACGTGCCTAGGAGTTGAACCCAAGCCCTACTCGTGCCGGCCGACACGTGAACATTGCCTCTTGAATTGCCCGGGAGTTGAACCCAGTGTCCCCCTCGTGCCGGCCGACACGTGGACCTAGCCACTTCACTTGCCTAGGAGTTGAACCCAGGTGCTTTCTGTACCGGCCGACACATGTACCTTCCCTCATGGCTGGCCTGGGAATCGAACCCAGGCGCTTCTCGTGCCGGCCGACACGTGATCCTTGCCTCTTAACTTGCCTAGGAGTTGAACCCAGGTACCTTCCGTGCCGGCCGACACGTGATCCTTGCCTCTTAACTCACCTGGGAGTTGCACCCAGGTACCTCCCGTGCCGGCCGACACGTGAACATCGCCTTTTGATTTACCCGGGAGTTGAACCCAAGCCCTTCGTGTCACGTATCCATCACTCTGCCAACTGAGCTACGCTGACACACCTACTGAGGCCAACCAATCTTAGTGTCATTGTACAGGATTTGGGAAGTAAACCCAGGAAAAGATTATAGCACCTAGGAGTCGAACCCAGGCCGTCACCGTGACGCTGCCGACGCCTTAGACCCCTCAGCCACGAAGTCACATGTGAATAACCAGTCCGAAACGCACCCTTGTAACAGATTCAAGCGTGAGACTGAAGAAAAATTCTGAGAGGTCAGGATTCGATCCCATGTATTCCTCGCTGGGGATGACCTCTCAACCCACTTAGCCACGAAGATAGATGCCTTTGTAAGATAGGCCCGAAACGCACACTTGTACCAAATTCAAGCGACCGATGAAAATGTTCACCTGCTTGGGAATCGAACCCAGGTCATCCCCGTGGACCGTCTACAACTTAGACCACTCGGCCACGAAGTCGCTTACGAATGACTGTCCCGAAACGTGCAGTTTGGAAAAATTCAAGCGTTAAACTGAAGAAAATATCGCGGCGTCTAGGACTGGAACACCTTTGCGCTGTGTCACAGGGAGGCACAAGAGTGCTTGAAGGTAGGCAACAATCAGTACCATCCGCGGAAACAGCCTGCGCAAATCGTCGGGTAGGCAGCCCGCGTCACTCAGCAGTGCAGTGGGCGCGTTGCTGCCTACGCCACAGGCGCTCGCCAGCCCTGCAGGCTCATTTCGGGAGTCGTTTTCGTAGCTCCGTCTCTCTCCCTCTCATGGGGCGCATCGTGCAGGTGCGAGAGAGACAGAGCGACGAAAACGACTCTCGGAACGAGTCTGCTGACCTACCCTGACTCTTTCGTTGCCACCCTCCAGGCGTGGGCGAGGAGGTGGGCCGCTACGACCTGGGCCCTCTGACGCAGTGCCCGCACTACGTGAGGATCCACCGCGCCTTCCGCAAGGTGCACACCACCATCGCCATGGCCAATATCGCGGCCATGGCCTGCACGGCCCTGCACGCGCACTACCTGGCCGGCAAGATCTGCGTGTGAGGAGAGGACTGCCGGGGCCTCGGCCGGGACTGACGTGACGGGGACCTTGCAGTGGGCGGCCCGGCCCGGAGCGCACAGCACCGCACAGCACACTGCATTACTCCCGGGCATGCGCCACGACCACAGTATTGTATTTATTTATTGCCATTAGTTGATGCTCAGATGCAATTTTAATTTCTCTGAGGAAAGTGCCGCTTTCGAATCAGCCTTGGCGGTCATTTTCCTCTGGTTGAAGATAATGAAGAGTGCCATGTGTCAAGAGCAAATTCTAAAACCAATTGCAACAGCTTTATTTGACTGTCTGTGTTAAATGAAATATTGCTCTAGTCATCCTTTTTGTTTTCTTTGCCGAAAATGTAAGAAGTAGTAGCTCTTTGGTGTGTACGAATCTAAGTTAAGGTTTTCTATCCAGTTTTGTAAATAGACATAATTAATGGTACCTGAAATATATAAGCATGACCAGAGTTGAAACTTTTGCAATCTTCTTGTGTCGTCATTTCTGATGTTGGCCCCCTCCGTTCTCATTGCCTCCATCTCCTTGATGAAACTTCCTGGCAACATTGCAGCCAGTGCTAGGAAGGTAAGCAAACTGCCTTGGTAAAATGATGCAGATGAAAGGGCACAAAAAACCCAACAATATGCAATATCTGAACATAAGAAATATATTTGAAGCACGTAGATAAATAACTGTTCAATATGATCACATGGGTTGATAAGATACTTCCAGTCTATGACACACGTGCGTGAGCATTATATCTTAAAACAAACTTCACACATAACAAAAACAAGTGATAGACAACACATAAATAAATACCTTTAAATAATTAAAAGTGCAGGAAAACAAAAGTAAAATAAAGCTCACAAGTTGATTTGTATGAGATCCACGCCAACCGTGTGAGCCGAATTCAGCAATGCAGGTATCATGGTAGTTGATTGGGATCTCAGGTATCTCCCCCTTTGATTTATGCTAGCACCCTCCAAAGTAAGCTGCTTAAATCACAAACTGAATAAGAATCTCAGTACACACCCTTTAATTGACATCTTTAAAACAAAGGTTACTAAAAACTACTCTAAAAGACAAATGGATTCAGAGTCATGGAAACCATAAAGAGCTGACAACCAGTTTGAAAACTGAAAAAATAAAAAAGGTATTGCTTGAACTATACTGCAGGTTAATTTGAAAAACGATTGACATGGAAGGACAGTCAAAATATCATACTAATAAGCACTTGGACCTGTGACTGTCAAACTATCTATAAATCACAACCACATTCAAATATACAGACAAAAAGAGAAAAGCGTCAGACAGGCGCAAAAGTATTGGTAATGCTAATAAATTAATTATAAAGCACTATTTTAATCATGGAAGTATTGTTACCTAAATGAATAGAACGTTTTAACAAACGGAATTTGGATACATGAGGGTTACTGACACTTAGTACTAATGAAGAGGCTCATGAATACATACTAGTGGAACCACTTTCACATAGGTATTTTGGTATTTTACTTCTTTATCAATAAGGTACAGTACTATCACAGACAATACTACAAAAATAATTAGGAAAACTGAACTTTTTAAAAAGATAAACAGAGGTTGGATACTTAGAGTATCCAGGAAATATTAGTCAGTGAAAAATAAAAATCAATGAACATACCCCCAAGTAAAGGGCAATTCTCATTGCAGTTAACAAGTCTACGCAACAAAACTGCGCATTAACATTCCATTGCTTTGAAAATCCTAGTATTGTAGCCTTACAGCTCCCACTTGGACCACCAAACCTTAGGACCTAACCAGAAAGTTTGAATTTTTAACTCTGTATGAATCCGCCTATAATCTTTGCTGAAATGAATATTCATGTAAGTTTAAAAGTGTTACATTGAATAAACCATTTTGTATCAGGTACAAATACACACTTTTCAATAAAGGGCCAAATAATGTATCCATGCTTGCATCTTTTACAGTTGAACTTCAGCAAAGATTTTTATAACATTATCTGAAAAGAGTTAATAGTAGAAAAAACATCTAACGAATTCTGTCAGCCATTAAGTACACTTTAAGATGTTGTATACTGCTGATCCAGACAACTCTCAAAGTTCTAAGTAACTTAACATAAATAGACTTCCTTCATCATTAACACATTAATTTGTAATTGACAATAACTTAAACTTGTCCAATAGCACATAATTTTGGAAAAACTTAACATCAAATTACTTAACAAAATCGTTTTTAAAGTAGAAAATCTTGCTGCCACACAATCAAGCACAGTGCTGCTCCATCACAAAACCCAATTTCACTAGATGAATCAAAAGAATGGCCCTGTTGCTTTGCAGCAGAATGTAGTAAATATCACAGTGTGATGCATAATCTTTCTCGGCCCGCAGTCACAGCTCTGAGAGTCAAAATTACTCCCTTAATAATTTTCTAAACATTTCTAGTTCGTTTATACTGTTAGACAACCTGTTGAAGACAATCAATGATTATTAAAATAGGTCACAGAAATGTTTCAGTCTTCTATACAGAAGAAAGAGTGAAAACCAACCTTCCGAATGCATTAAAAAGTGTCACTATTTCCCCTCTCTGCAGCTGGAACTGGCTTTTAGCTTTCTGGCCAGGCTGTAGGCCGGGAGGGCTAAGGCTTTCAAACTTCCCTGAGAACAAAATTTTCAGAGCTGCTCCAATACCTTGTACCTGACAAAAATAAAAAATTCATCAGTAAGTGAAATGCTTCCAGATGATCATTAAAATTGAAAAATAGTGCTAGGAAATCTCACCTGCAGCTTGCCCCAAAGTTTACACTTCTCACACCCGACACAATCCATGATGACAGATATGTTTCTAAAATGTTGTCTAAATTCATCTTTCAATTTTGTTGCCTGAGCCCCACCAGTAAACATAGTGCTTTCATCAAAATGGTTGGGGAAAGACCTATAACAAACAGTTATCATTAATTTAAGAGCAATCATGAAAAACAATGTCTCTCCTAGAAATGTAATCTAATCAAACAGATGCTCACTTAATAACTGATAGGAGATCTCTCACTGCATCTCTTACATCTCGATCATCTTTATCAGAACCTGTGAAAAATTCTTCATGAGTTAAGTATGGTGCTGCTTTGGCTAGTGCTCGTAGCTCCAGGAGATATAGGAAATACAGATTGCGAAGCCAGTGTGGGCCTTCGTTATCTGTAGTCAAAGGGCTAAATCGACGTTTGAATTCTTCTAGATTGGCTCCCCACTTTCCACCAGGTGAAATGAGCGATTCCTTATCTTAAAAATAAAGAATTTTTTTTTTAAAATACATGAAATTACATAAAACATCCAAATAGATGTAGCAGCAAGGTTTGAGACAAAAATTATTCGACATTTATTCTATGATCTTACCTGATAACAGATATTTGGAGCAGAGATGGATATTGATGCTTGCGTGCATTCCTGAGATGACTCGATAAAAGACCCTTTTCTCCAAGCACATTCCTACAGAAATACCACAAGATATTACCTTGAGCCAAACATGATAAGATAAGATTCATTTATTCAAAGAACTCACTGTTTAATTGGTTGGACTGAATAAATGCATCATAATGGTTTTCAGGTCTGTGGGGAAAATGAGGGAAAACAAAGATAATGTATGTCAAGCAAACACAAATATTGCCACACTACTTTGCAAGAGGATAATCACCTGAAACAATTTTCCTTGTAGATACTGTTCCATATCCTGTGGGCTGATTTGCCCTTGTACCCTGTATAACGCTCAGGGTTAAGCAACAAATCTACATATTGAGCATCCTTATCTTCATCCACTTCACAGAAGTTCTCAAGCGCATCATGAGCTTGCCATTTTTCAAATTCTTCGTAAGCAGCGGCACTGTAAAACCAATTAAAAAGATTTTAGACCATGCTTAAGCAAATATAATCTTTTGTTTGACAGCTAATTGAGAAAAACCAACTTCACACCTTATTGTAGTGTTGAGGTACCCAAGTTCTTCGTTAAGATCAGCCTCAAGTTCTTCACAATCTTCATTTCCATCAATGAACTGGTGAAGGGGAGGAAAATCAAAATGAGTTCAGAGAGGTTTCATTGTTTCAATGATATGGGAACTATTGGTGCACACCTGTCTTACCCGCAAAGACATATCTTGGTTTCCAAAAATTGAGTTCATGGAGGGGTTATACTGCTTTAAACCTGGAGGTATGTCTTCCTGAGAGTGGAACATTACAATTAATACAAGAAATAAGAGGAAAAATAAGGATGAAGTTGATGACTCATACCTCTTGGCATGCTTGCACATTACAATAGCGGATTGCACATCTACTGTCATCCGTCCAAAAAGGGCAGTCTCTTTTCAAATTGACCTAGTTTCAGACATAAAAGGTAACGTATATAAACATGAAGTAATAAGCAATATCAACTGCAACAGAAATAGTGGCAAAAAGGCAAAATGATTTAAAAGTTTGAATCGTGCAACTTAACTGTACCTTGTAAAAACGAAAGTAATCTGCTGATAATAGGCTCTGAAGCCGCGGAAAAATTTTCATGTTATTGAAGTGGTCAACAGTGTCGACATTGCAGCTGCAGTCATCAATTTGACCCTCAAGCTGAAAACATTTTAGACAAAGATGATTTTTATTCTTGGGTAGTGTCATTAGAATCACATGAATTATTCATACCAACAACAATGAGGGAAAGTTTAAATATTTGAAATAAATATAAAAATCCAGAAATGTTATCACTGGACCCAAAATAAACTGCCAGTTATTGTAGCTACAGAGTATATGAACATATGCCACTCACCTTGCAGAAGCAACTTTGGCTGGCATCTGACGTGAAGTAAGCATCACACACGTAAGGGAGAAAGAGGCAAAGAATGATGGCACAGCAATAGTATACCTCCTTCATTTTCTCAGAGGGAAAGCCGACACAATGTCACAATGCACGGTTGAGCCGTGAAAACAATGGAGACAACTCATCCACAGATTATTTGTTGACATAACCAAACACTAACCGTAAACATGATTCGTGCTGGCGGCCCTGGCGGCACGTCACGTCAACGCCCCGCTTTCGGGTGGCGGCACATTTAGGAACACCCCTTTACAGTTACCAAGTTTTAAAAACGTCCACGCCGATCTTGGAGCGGCAAGCCCTGGTCAAGGTAGGACGGCCTAAATTTTAACACGAATAAAATGGCAATACTACAAAAGTTACAAAGCCAGTTGGAAATTCGACTTGACCACTGCGACACCGTAGAGCGTGAGCGTACCCCACTCCCCGGCCGGCAGCCAATGGCGAGGGCTGCATTCCCCAGCGTGGACCAATCACAGCGCACCAGATAATCCACCGCCCTACCTCAGTCCTCAGTGACCAATGGGAGCACTCTAGAAACCAGCTGATTTGTCTTCTGCTGCGATCGCTCAACGATGCTAGCTTGTTTATGTTTATATGTACTAGTAACCTAAAAGTCGCTAAAGTGCTCGGTCGGCACAGCCTTTTCGGCACCAATTCGGCTTGGACTCGCTGAATAAATGGGACAGACGACGCACGGAGTCAGCATTTGATGGATTCCCCCCCTTGAAGCATTATGCTATCACAGCTACCATTACGACCATTGAAGTCGATTCCAAACTACTCCTGCAGAAAAATGAATTTTTCACTTAATTTATCTTTTATTCATTTATTTGGGCGCTGTTCGCTTCCCCATTTGTATAAGAAAGGTAAAAGTTCAATGTCTGGTTTTGTTTTTACCGTTGTTCTATCAATAGAACCCATCCGATTCACTAACTTTTCTTCTTAGGTGTCCGTTTGATAGGCTCAACACGGTCAACCCTTGTTCTGAATGGAAGGAAAGCCCAGGGAAATCCCATGACTCTAGCAGAACAGTTGCGATCTCGCATTCAGATTCGTGGCCCTATAACAGTTGCCGATTACATGCGAGCAGTACTTACTAGTCCATCTGGTGGATACTATATGCATAGGGATGTCTTGGGTCGTCAAGGTGATTTCACTACTTCTCCTGAAATCACACAGCTCTTTGGTGATGTAAGATTAACATCTTTTACGTGTTCATTTATGTTCATTATGATAAGATGAATTCATCTTTGTTTCTCTTTCAGATGGTTGGCATTTGGTTTATAAATGAGATCAATAAATTTCACCCTCCTTCACAACCAGTACAACTTGTTGAGCTTGGCCCTGGCCGGGGATCACTAACAGCAGATGTTCTGAAAGCAAGTTATTCTGGAATTGACTTGAGCTAAAGATCTTGAATAAAACATTACATAAATTAATTTTTCTGGAATAATATGTATCTTTTTGATTTTAAGGTATTCAAACATTTACGTGGAAAAGAAGGACTGAGTGTTCACTTGGTTGAAATTAGTCCTGAATTCAGTCGTATTCAGGCAGAAAAGTTGTGCGAAAGAAGTAGCATTGAAATCTGCATCCAGGCTGCTTCTCACTCTCAATCTGAAAATAAACCTGGTGGACGACAGTACCAAATAGACAGAGGCTCAGATAGCAGGTTTAGGATTTTGTAGTTTCTTGATTGAATTAGATATTACAGAGTTGTTCATGACTTTTCTTCATTACTTTCAGTAAAGGGTCATCATTTGGTACAATTACAGTTGGCCGACCCAGAAATTTGCCAAAAAAGAGTGATGCCAAACATTATCAGAAGGGTATTATGAAGGATGGTACTCCAGTATTTTGGTATTACTCTCTAAATGAGGTGCCCCACAATTTTTCATGTTTCTTAGCTCATGAATTTTTTGATGCTTTGCCTGTACACAAGTTTAAGGTAGGGTATATGATCAAACACATTCATCTATATTTTTAAATCAATCATTGAATGTTATTCTAACCATCTGATCTTTCCTTCTTTTCTTATTTTGTTATAGAAGACACCCGAAGGATGGAGGGAAATTCTTATCACAAACGACCCCGATAAGGGACCTGATCATTTTAAATTTATCATTTCTCGATCAGGAACTCCAGCCTCCAAAGTGTTCATGAAGGTTAAAAATAAAGTGTTACTATTATGATGCCTTCAAAAATTATAAAAAGGGTGCCTTTTCCAATTTCTCTCAATGATAACTGTTGCAGCCATGGGATGAGAGGACAGAAGCTGAGATCTGCCCAGATACTGGTTTGATAGGCCAACAAATTGCCACAAGGCTTGAGGAAAGTGGAGGAACGGGTCTAGTAGTCGACTATGGTCATGAAGGTGAATGCAATGACACATTCAGGGTAAGTTACTCTACTGTCATGCTAATATCAATGATGATAAATATCCATTATACAGAAAAGAAAACTCTCCTTACAGGCATTCAAGAACCACAAGCAAGTAGATCCGCTGATATGTCCTGGCTCTGCGGATTTGACAGCAGATGTGGACTTCTCATATCTGCGCAATTCTGTTATTGATAAAAATGTCACCTTTGGCCCGGTTTCACAGTCCCACTTCTTGAAGCAAATCGGCATAGACCTCAGATTGCAGGTAGGTTCCCTTCTGTTCAACTAAATTAGTAAAGGCTTTTAATGGTCATCATTTAACTCTTTTACTTCTTTAGATTCTGTTGGATGAATACCCAGAAGATCAAAAGCCCCATCTTCAAAGTGGATATGACATGATCATGAACTCTATGGGAGAAAGATTTAAATTTTTTGCTATGTTTCCAAACGTTTTGCAAGATCACCTAAAAAAGTATCCTGTGGCAGGGTTTCACAAATCTTAGGGTGTAAAAAATTTGATTTTAAGAGAATGTTTTCTTCCTAATGAAGGAGTGGTACACTGTAATTAAAACACAAGCTATGTAGTTATTGTTAAAAAATTAAATTGGACCCTTTATTTCTTGGAATTGGAGGAAAGGCACTTTATCATCACAATCCTTCTTAATTTCATTTTCTAGTCAATTGCAAATTTAAAATATCACAGTTCAAATTAGTCTCAGCCTCAATACTGAATTCAACCATATGACCTCCCATCAAGAGAGCACTGGCACAGATAAAGGCACAACATGTAGGAGTTTATCGGTTGTTAATTGTGAAATGCAGTGAAACCCACTTATATCAAAGCAGCATGTACTGAATTTTCACCTAAATTGATGGTTTTTCCAGTCTTTGTAATATCCTCACAGTAGTAATTTTCCTACATAAGCTGTTCTGGATTCATACTGATTTTTTTTCTCTGGAGTTTGATATAACTGGGTTTTTCTGTAGTTCAAGATGCATTGTACCACCAACTGTTGCTGCTGTGATGTCTTACACGATCTAATTCATCTTCACTGAATCTCAAGACAGATCCAATAGCATTAAGCATGTGCTGTTTAGAGCCAGCACTACTTGGTTCTAAGAAGCTCAAGACAACATTTTTCAAGTACTCCAGATTAGCTCCTTCACGAGACTGACAGCGTTCCAATCTGCAACATGAAAATAACAACTTTAAAATCTGCTAATTAAGAGCTCCTTTAAAACCCCTTGGACTATTTCAATGAAAAGTACCTTGCAACAGACTCTCGGAGGCGCAATGTCTCCTCACTGTGTCTCTCTCGCTCAGCAGCAAGAATCTTTGTAGTATCTCGCAAAGTATTTTCTAGTTTATTACGAGCCTTCCTCAGATTGCTAATGTCTACTTCTCTTCGAGCAAGCTCGTGCGCATAATGAAGAATGTGTGGGCTATCTGCTGGTCCTACACTACTCATATCAGTCTCTGATTGGAGAGTACCAAGCAAAATTCCAGGTAAAGTACCTGATAATGCCTGATCAGAAGTATTTCTGGAGGAAGCAGCATCCAACAGCTTACAGAGAGCAAAAATAAATTAATTACAATTTACATATGACCAATAGTTCCAATTTATATAAAATAGACCAAACTCCAATTACCTCAGATGTTTGAAGTTGATTTTCTGATGCTTCTTCGACCGAGCTGGAAGCCTCATTGTTTTTACCCAAAGGAAGGAACATTTGGAAACTACTCTTAAGAGTCCGTATTTCTTGTTCCTTATCTTCAAGTAAAGCAAGCGATTGCTCCCTCTGCTTAGTCAACTGTTGCTCTGTTTGAATTGCTCGAGCCCTTAATTCACCTTCAAGGTTAAGAACTTTTTCTCGCCAAGCAGCTTTTTCTGTTTCAAGTTGCTAATATAACCAGAAAGAGACAAAAAAATGCATAAATATAGAGACTGGAGCACAAACGATGAAAAGAATAATTCGTGTTCAGTTACCAACCTGCTGATAACGTGTAGCCTGTGCTTTCCATTCTTGCTCTGAACATTCAACTTGTTCTAACTGAGTATTAAGCATCCGAACTCTTTCTTGAAGACTTCTTATTTGAATTCTAAGAGCTTCTGTGACTGTTTCCTCTCGTGGCCTTTAGTTTTGCAAAAAAGAAGGGGGGGGGGGGGGGGGGGGCGGAACGGAAGAAAAAGAAAGAACAGAAAAACCTTTTAAAATGCATCGATTTAAGAAAAATAAATAGCTCAAAAAAATTGTTTTAAAATGTGCCTATACCTTGCATGGAAGAGAGGAGAATGAACTTTTGTGCTCTTTGCCTGTTCTAATTCCTGAAGCAGTTTCTCTCTTTCTTCTCTACACGCAGCATGTAGCTCTGTCTGACGATTACCAAAGTCCATAAAGAGACTGAAAATGGCATCTGATACAGTATGACATTATGATCAATCAACAGGTGCATTTAAAAAGATTATTTTGAAAAAAAAAAGGGTAGGGCAAAGACAGTACCTTCAATATCAATTGGTTTTTCAGACAAGCGGTTTGTTACAACCAGTTGCTCCTTCAGCTTAGAAATATTTTTCAGAATGTTTTGAACACTGCTAACAGAGTCTAATTCCACAGACGCTTCATCTTTTTCATGCTCAACAACATTTGGGGTAGGGGTTATACTCAGCTGAGCTATATGGTCCTAAAAAGATACAATTAATTTAAATTAAAACAGGAAAACACTACTACTTGTGGAAAACCAGCATCCAATGAAGAAAAACTGTAAATGGTTCATAATACGCAAAAAAAAACAAAAAAACATTAACTAACATTACATACCTTTAGCTTCTGAATTGCAAGCTGATCTTGTTGACGGACACGATCATAGCTTCCAACACTTTCTGAGAGTTCAGCCAAATGAGACTCTAAGTTGGCAACACGTTCCTCATGCACTGCAGCAAGGTGTCTGGCTCTATCTTCAGCCTCCTTTGCTCGCCGTTGTTCCTAATAGAGTTGACATTTCAATGTGGATTCCTCAACTGATGTATAAACATTTTGATAAAAGTAAAACCTAGCAGTAAAATACCTCCTGAATAGCTACAGTGTGTTGCTGTTTCAGTTGTGACATCTCTGCCTGCAGCTGTAAGAGTAATGGTGATGTCTCTTCATTTTGACGTAATTTTGCTTTCATTACTGCCATTTCATTGTGAGCATCACCTAGCCTCTTTTCTGAAGCATCTGCTGCCAATGCTCTGGCTCTAAGTTCTGAAATAGTGGTTTCTAACTGTTCTTTGGCATTTCTCTCCTCAGTAGTTAATTTCTGAAGTTCTCTGTAAAACAGGAACAAAACAAATAAATAAATCAATATAAGATAAACCTGAAATGCTTCACTTATACTCAGGAATTTAAGTTAATTACAAGATCATTGCTCCATGATCGGTATGTTCCCTTTCTCTCTCATGGCGCTCCACAATCAATTTTGATTTGATAGTTTCTAGCTCTGTGCGGTGTTGCTTCTCTAATTCTTTAATTTGCTTTTGAAGGTCTTGAATCACCCTTTCTCTCTGCATAATAAAGATCATTGTTAGGAATGGATTTTTAAAAAATGAGCAAAATTCAATGCATAGGCACGTACCTCTTCTTTTTCTTGACGCAACTTTTTTTTATCTGCTTGAAACCCAGCTTCCATTTTCGACTTCTCTGCAGAAAGTGTAGAGAGTGAATTGGTTAGGGTCGCTAGCTGCAGTCGTAGTTGTTCAGAAGGAGTATCTTCAACTTCATTATCTGTGTTTTGGGTTCCTTCAGTTGCAGGTATATTCTCTTTGCTTCCTTCAGCTGCTGCCTCTGCATTTCCATCTGATGATTCATCACTATTTATTGAATTACCAACTTCAACAAGACTCTCCTTGGCCCCTTTGGCTTGTGAGGCAGTGAGTGCGATCAAGCTTGCTTCTAGAGCCTCTTTTTCCTTGGACAAACTTTTGTATGCAGTTACCACATCTAAGGCAGGAAACAAAGACAGGTGTGTTTTCATTTGCACTGGGAGACTTTGGTATTGTTACCGTACAGAGTAGGAGACCTTACCTCTTAGACGGCTTTCGTATCGAGAAAGCTTAACTCTTTGCTCTTCAGCCACTTTCAAAAGATCGGATTTACTTAATTTTTCCATGTTAATTGTGATATAAACTAGAAGGTATATTTAAACACAGTAACTAGACAGTTGGAAGGTTAACCTCTTGGTAATATTCATTCATAATTTTTTTTAAAAAATATACCTTACAAATAAGTTAATCCGAATACGAAATCCACAACAGAATTTTGACATCCAAGTTTAAAAAGTACATTCTTCACGTAAAGTATGGCTGGGACGTGTCATACGTCAAACAATTAGCTGTTGACAGTATCAGTACACATCAGCTGTGCGAAGTTTCTTCATGAACATAACACCGTCGGCTGCTAGGACCAATCAAAGATCCTCTTCCGAGGCAAGGGCTCTTTTTATTTGTTTTAGTTTCTTCTTCAAGACTTTTCAGTAGAGTCCTAAAGGCCCTAAAGGGGAGATCCGCGAACCTGGAAAATGTTCTGATTTTGCTTCTCATACTCTAAGAAAGTGCTATGCGTAATTCCTCATAGTTTGTTGTGATGTTGTGTCGTCTGCTGGGGCCTCGTGAAGCCTAGAGCCCTGGTAGCACTTCGAACAAGTCCTATAAACCTCCTCAGCTCTCTATAATAGTTGATTGAAGACCCCTTCAATATCGCATGTCGACAGTTTAGGCGTTTTGAGGCTCATCACGGAATTTTAGAAACCCACGCCGGAAGCGGAAACGCACGGCGGACATTTTGTTCGTCACCGACGCTTTGTTTTGATGTTGTGTCGTCTGCTTGAGGCATCTTGAGATCAAGGGACTTGACGGCGCTTGGAACAGGCCTAAAAAGCTCCTCATTTCTCTAAAATAGTCAACTGAACAGTTCTTGAACGTCAGATGCAAACTGTTTAGACGTTTTCAGGCTCTGCCAGACGAATCTTAAAAACGCAAGCCGGAAGCGGAAGCGCATGGCGGACATTTTGGTCGTCAGTATGAGCACCAAAATCGGTCAGAAGTCAAGACGCGGTTCGCGGATCTCCCCTTTAGGGCCTTTAGGACTCTAACACGTGAAGTACTGGATGCACAATTTCTCATGAAAAATGAAACAACTTCTACCAACACGGAAACAAAGTCCGTGAAACTGATGTGATAGAAATAAAACGTGTCTTGGGTTTCAAACCAACGTTTAAAATGTACTGAGAAGAAAAATTTGAAACAATTCAATTTTTGTCACTTCGCTAAAGATTCAACTAGCTTAACCAGCCCAAGCAAATACCACACGACCGCCTGAGGTGGCAACGCCGCATGCAGACTGCTTTGTTGGCTCTCGCAAACAGCTGACAGCTTGTGCATGGCTGCGCTGTGCCAGAAAGCAAAATAGTCAAGTGCGAATGAGGAAAACATTGAATTATTTGTGATTTTTTTCATTATAAACAGCAACAATGGTGTTAGCAGATCTAGGGCGGAAGATTACTTCCGCTCTGCGGTCGCTCAGCAATGCCACGGTCATCAATGAAGAGGCAAGTAACACCTCCGTTCATGAACCTAACCTGAGCAGGGAAATTCCCAAATGACACTTACAAACACAATTTCACACCAATATGCCGTCATTTATTAAACTCTTCGCTACAGACCGTTGCGCAAATTTCAGTGGTTCCGTACGCAGGCATTGCACCGTAAAATGGTTGTGGCCTAATGTGTGGTGCACCCGCATATGGCAGTAGGCATTGGCTGTCTGTTATGATGGCATATTTTGATTGCTCATAAAGCTGTTTTATTTATCTTTACGGGTTCGTCTGACCTGAGAGACAGTGTCCTTAGTTAAATTTCACTGAATTAACCACTAAGCTACGGTTAAAGATCACCTCTCAGCGTCAGAAAAATTAAATTTACCTACTTTTCACAAGATGTTTTCATTTTCACTTACACCATTTTTAAATGAGGCCACTAGCATTAATTTTTCGCTTTCCTCCTATTAAATTTCAGGTTCTCAATGCTATGCTTAAGGAAATTTGTGCAGCCTTGTTGGAAGCTGATGTAAATATTCGTTTGGTGAAAAAACTCCGTGAAAATGTTCGGTCAGTTATTGACTTTGAGGAGATGGCTGGTGGTCTTAACAAGCGTCGGATGATTCAGAGTGCTGTTTTCAAGGAGCTTGTCAAGGTATGTGTTAACTCTTACTAGAGCATGTCCTCCAGTTTTAAAAATAATGGAAGTTTTGTTGATCATAATAATATTAATTTTCAGCTTGTCGACCCTGGAGTAAAACCATATCAGCCTGTGAAAGGAAAGCCAAATATTATAATGTTTGTTGGTCTGCAAGGTTCTGGTAAAACTACAACGTGTACCAAATTGGCATATCACTACCTCAAGAAAAACTGGAAGGCCTGTTTGGTGTGTGCTGATACTTTCCGAGCTGGTGCATATGACCAGCTTAAACAGAATGCCACAAAGGCAAGAATTCCATTCTATGGAAGGTATTTATAATCATTGGTTTCAAAATATATCCTAATATTTTCAAAAACTTTCTTAGCCCGAACGTCTGAATAAAATATGTGTTTCTCTTACCTCTTAGTTACACCGAAGTAGATCCAGTAGTTATTGCCCAAGATGGTGTAGAGATGTTTAAGAGGGAAGGCTTTGAAATTATTATTGTGGATACCAGTGGAAGGCACAAACAAGAAGAATCTCTCTTTGAAGAAATGTTGGCTGTCTCTAATGCTATTGTAAGTTAAGATTTTCCAGTTTTAATCTAACATCTTGTCCTGCTGTACCTCCTCCAGCTCATTGATGATTTTTATTTAAAAATTTACAGAAACCGGACAATGCTATTTTTGTTATGGATGCCACAATTGGTCAAGCTTGTGAGGGTCAAGCAAGAGCTTTCAAAGAGAAGGTTGATGTAGGTTCCGTGATTATCACAAAGTTAGATGGCCATGCCAAGGGTGGTGGTGCTCTCAGTGCGTAAGTATTCACCACTCATCTATCAATCATGAGCTTTTTCGAGTGTTTTACACCTTCTTTTACCCATTCAGTGTGGCAGCCACCAACAGTCCTGTAATCTTTATTGGTACTGGAGAACATATTGATGATCTGGAACCGTTTAAAACAAAGCCCTTCATAAGCAAATTACTTGGTATGGGTGATATTGAAGGTCTGATGGATAAAGTGAAGGAGCTTGATCTTGACGACAATGAAGAACTAATTGAGAAAATTAAACATGGCCAGTTCACCCTTCGTGACATGTATGAACAGTTTCAAAATATTATGAAGATGGGTCCCTTCTCACAGATAATGGTAATTTGAGTGAGGAGGCTTAGTTCTATTACAATTTTGTTTGAACAACCAGAATCATAAATCTTCATCTTCCTTTTCTTCATAGGGTATGATCCCAGGTTTCAGTCAGGATATTTTATCTAAAGGCAGTGAACAAGAATCTATGGCCCGATTGAAGCGCCTAATGACAATAATGGATAGTATGAACGATAAAGGTAAATTATCTCCATATTTTAAAACAATCTATTTTACATGAAGCAAAGGGACTGATTCATCAAAAATTGTGCTTCCATTTCTTTTTAGAGTTAGACAATAGAGATGGCGCCAAGCTATTTAGCAAACAACAAGGGCGGGTTACCCGAGTTGCTCAAGGTGCAGGTGTCACTGAGAAAGAAGTAAAGGACCTTATTGCACAGTACACTAAGTTTGCTGCTGTGGTTAAAAGGATGGGTGGTATCAAGGGATTATTCAAAGGAGGAGATATGGCTAAGAATGTTAACCCTAATCAAATGGCTAAACTCAATCAACAAATGGCAAAGATGATGGATCCAAGAGTGCTACAACAAATGGGTGAGTTTGCATTCTGGTCTATTTCTTTCCCTTTCTATGTTTAAACACTGCTGCCAAAACTAGATGTATTGAATTTAAATTTTGTTCTCAGGTGGCATGAATGGTCTTCAAAACATGATGAGACAGTTACAACAAGGCGCAGCAGGTGGTTTAGGGAATCTAATGGGTGGATTTGGAGGAAAGTCATGAAGAAAACTCCTTTTTTAAGAACTGTGAATTTTATTGTACCCAGGAATAAATGCACCCCAAAAACACTTTCTCTTTTGAGACACATCAGTACTTTTAAACTTTTTGATTGTTATGTTTTTTGGTGCAAGATGTCTCTTTGTGTTTATTGATGTTAAGTGAGAAAGGAGAGTGATATTTTGGTTTGACAAGAAAGAACTGTCTTGGGGTGTTTGCTGCATATCCATGCAAGCATAGCTCATTATTGAAGAGTGGTGGAGGTGTGGTGTTGACATAGAGCTGCAGCTTTGATCTTCCAATCTTTTTTTTTTTTAAGTTTTTTTTTGTTGTTTTCTTTTCCTGCCTGAAGTACTCTGTAAGTATTTGTCTGATTTTATTTTTCAATTGGACTGATCTTATTTTGATAGAAAGGGAAAGTTATGTTTTAACCAGAAAACATACTAATGGAAAATGTTGCTTTTGTTAAGGTAGCATGTTACTGCTACTGGTTGTTTTTATCATTTGTACATTTTTTCTGGAGCAATATGTGTGAAGGGCCATTCCATTGTTACCATTAGGAAAGGAGGCAGGTGAATGCTGGTCATTGATTTCAACCAATTGTTTTACTTTTCTAGTATCTTTGAACTTTGTCATCATGTTTGATAAGATTGCATAGTTTTCATGTCTTAAGTTTTATAGAATGTGTTTATATGTGAGTCTGTCATGAAGTAAATCACTGTGTTGAACTGTCAAAGGAAAAAAAAGAAGATAAAAAGCTGACTTTGTGCCTCGTATTTGTTTTTGATAATAAAACAAAATTTTGTCTTTCTAGTGTTTCAAAATTTGTTGCATTTCATATGAGTATAGATCAGATAGTTTCTTATTGTTTTCATGTGCTCATGGCCAGCTCAAGCTCAGAAATCCATAGGACCCATTGCCTCTCTCTTTTAGTCCATCATGCTGAAAGTATCAATCCTTGCCTTGAGATCATGCAGTCAAGCTCTAAACTGTGCGACTTCAAGCTTGTTGGTGTTGATTCCTTGTATATTAAAGAATATGTATCAGAGTTTATATCTTTCAAACCGGAGTTCAATAATGACAAATTGTGTGATGTAGAGCATATGTGAAACAGCCAGAATAAAGTCATGACCTCAAATAAAAACACTAGAATCTTATTCCATTTTAGCCATATGGGAAAACTGGAAATTCTGCTATGGTTCATAAATTTCTCACATGGCTGAAGCAATCAATAATGTTACTCCTAACATGACATGACTGTCTAAATTACTTAACAAGTTCAACTTGAATTTTTGCTGGGGCAGGAAAGAGACGATTAAGAAACCAGTCTGTTCAACAATCCCATGTACTCATGAATTCATTCAATTAACACATTGTTCCCAATCAAAAACCAATTGGAAAAAACAAAAAATTATAATGAAATTAAATAAAAATACCTATGGCCAAGCAATTCTTTGCCTTGATTTTTTAGATGGAGATGTGTCTTCATTACTCTGTAAGAGATAATCACAGATTACATACAACTGAATTAATTTTAATAAGGTTGAAATACTTCATGTTACATTATATTCACCTCAGTAGAATGTGACCTCTTAAGTTCCACTTTTTTAGGCTCAGTTTCTTTAACTTCACTGCTGTTTCTCTGACCATCTGATTCTAAGGAATTTTTTCTTTCCTTCGACCTGTCTTTAATAATAACTTTGTCTAAGGAAGAATTTGATGAAGATGATGTTGACTTTGTCAAAGATATCCTCCGCGTCTGTAGATGAGGGGAGTCAATTGGTGGCTTTAAACGGTCACCGGAGGGTGAGGAAGAACTTCCAGCTCCCACTAATGACGACGATTTAGAATCTTGTTTAATTTTGTCACTAAATCCGAACTGTAACGAACTGCAGAAAAGAAAAGAAAACAACATGCCCCATTCATCATTCTGTGCACTCTAAGGAAAGCGTTGATAATTCAGAACATGCATTGAAAAATGGTACTAACGTTTTTCTTTCCTCTGATCTTCCAGCCCGTCTGGATAAGAAACCTTCCTTCTGAATCATCTGATTGATGAGCTTGCCATGATGATTATTAGGGAAAGTTCGTTGTGGCAGGGGCATTAGATGCCGAATAAAAATTTCAGTAAGTTCATCTTTACTTTTTCGCTCCAAGCCTTTAATTTTAAAACATCTCTGAAACACAGATTGGTAAAACAAGAACATGTATTACATCTCAGAAAGTTGATCACGACAAAATGTTAAGTATAACATAACCTTTGTCGATTTCAAAAAATCGATAAATAAAATGTTCTTTCAAGGGAAGTAAATTACGTACTGCTTTCAATTCTTCTAGTATATCTTTCTCAGAAAGTAAACTGGGGCATAAATATTTAAATACGGGATTGTCTTCACACATTTTTGTGGTTATGTTTTGGTTCGCCATATTGGTTTTTGAGCAGAAGCGGCAGCGGTCGACCCTGTCTAAACCCAACAGACCCAATATGATTATAAAAATACAGATTGTTGTCTTAAAAAAGAAAACATACAACAACAAAATTTAATTGAAACGAGCCTAAGACATTTACGAACTTCTCATGCATCTTCTCAAAGTATTCATTGAGTTCACCAGTGGAGCTAGCTTTCTTAATTTGGCAGCACTGCTCTGCTCAAAGGCGCGCTAATTTCAAAATCATGCTGGGAGGGGACAATGCAGGTGTAGGTGCATTGCAGGAATGAAGGATTGCAGTCTTTCAGTTGGAGGCAGTTACGTGTTTTGGTAGAATGGATTAGATTCCTCAAGAACTTAAGACGAATTACACAAATGAATTACAAGGATTATTTATTTTAATAAATAATTACCAAATTTGGCACAGCGAAACACAACTTTAGAGTACGTCATTATCACAAACTGAGCCATAAATATGATAAGTGTCATTTGTTCAGTACATAAAAATTATTAACTCTTAGATTATGTGACAACAAACACTGAAATCACTGGAAGACAAAACTAGATTATATAAAAATAACGTAACTGAAAGTTTCTAAAAACTTTCACACTTATTCATAAAAATATACATACTGTACTTTGTCCAAAAGTCAGCAAGGGTCTATACAGTCCTAATATAAAAAATGGTACTGATTGAAACTTCACATTTTCACATTAAATAACATGAAGCATTGGCGTTTAGTTGAAAAACATCATGGAATGTCTCTACAATAAATAAATATCTCATAAATCAAGTGAGAACTAATCCACTTGTCACACAGCCTTGTTTCTTTAAATACTGTTTGGTGAATGAAGCAATAATGGTACGAAACAAAATCGGACTATTGTCTGTCGTGAGTGTGAACTGGAGGAGAAACTTCTTAATTAATTTGAATCAGTTCGTTTGAGAGAAAAACCCGACCGTGCCACAAACAGTGAACCTAGCGATCGGATTTGCCGATCTCTTCAGCTTCCTTGATGGAGTCCGGCAGAGACTTGTCTTTGGTTTCAGGGAAGAACAAGGAGAGGACTCCCCCGATGATGGACGACACCGCGAACAGCGTCAGCGGCAGGCTGGCGTTGATTGTGGCCTGCAGCACATAAACGGGAGGGGAGTGAGTTTCCGAAGGGAGCAGGGAGCCCGACCCCAGCAGTCATGTATGGCCTGAAGGACCACGACTCACCAGCAAGGGCGTTTGCGGAGCCAGCATGGAGCCGATGCGGCCGAACATGGAGCAATAGCCGAGTAGCGAGTGGCGCACGTTGGTGGGGAACAGCTCGGCCGTGTACACGTAGATGACGGCGAACGAGATGGTGATGGCGAACTTGCCGATCATGAACGTGGTCAGCTTCGTGTACAGGTAGTCTGCGGAAACACAACACCATCCACGTCAGAAACAAAACAACGACGGTCAATCAGTTTTCTTCTACCGAGATGCCGCGGCCGCGGGACGATAGCGCCTGCGATACTCCGGGTAGGCAGTCCCGTTGCACACGCCGATTGCGAGGGCTGCCTCTCTCGCCCGCGCTCTCACTCCTCTCTATCTCCCTCACCTTCAGGGATGACGAGGAACGAGACGCAGCAGGCCCCGGCGATGATCATGGTGCTGGACAGGCACGACCGTCGGCCGAAGATGTTCATGAGCCACAGCTGGGCCAGCAGCGCGGGCAGCTCGATGAGCGTCACCAGGATAAAGTTGAGGTAGTCGTTGCCCGCCATGGACACCGAGTTCAGCGACAGGCCGTAGTACACGAAGGTGTTGGCCATCCTGGGGGGAGGGAGGACAATGAGTCACACCGTGCGGGAAGACGCAGACAAAATTATTTGAGAAAATAATTGCTTAGAATTTCTTACCAGCAGTATGAACAGTTGAGGAACCGGAAGAGCAGCCTGGAGGACTTGAAGGTGTTGAGCAGGTTGCTGAAGGTGCTGCCGCCCGCCTCCGCCTGGTCCTGCCTGTCGAGGTCCTTCTGGGACTTCCCCAGCAGTCCCTTCTCAGAGTCCTTCTGCTTGTCCTGAACCCAAACAAATCGCACCGTGACTACTTCGGCTTCGGGCCCTTTTTCGGGTCACACCACACTAAATCCTTTTGTACGCACCGTGTCCTCCGACTTAACCTGCACCAGGTCGACGCGGTCCTCGAGGGCCTCGTTGATGACCACCCTGTTGAACTTGGCCACCTTCCGGATGATGCTGTCCGCCTCAGCGTAGCGCCCCTTCGACGCCAGCCACCGCACGGACTCGGGGGTGGGCCTGGCCAAAGCAGAGAGAGCAATCACACCACCGCACCACCAGCGTCCGTCGCGCTGTCTTTCTCGCAAGCGAGTGCGAGAGAGTGTCACAAAAGAAACTCACCACAGCAGCAGCAAGCACAGGAAGCCGGGGATGTAGATGGAGCGCAGCAGCCACCGCCAGTCGAACACCGCCCAGGCCACGGCCCCCAGCAGCACCTGCCCCGCGGAGTAGAAGAGGTTGAGCACGGTGCCCGCCACCACGCGCTTGTCCGGGCCCACGAACTCCAGCGCTGCGCCCACCAAAAGACATCCATTAGCCTCTGTCAAGAGTCTTGCAGCCCACAGGGGCAACACTGGTAAAGTCTCCCGCACTCACCCAGGATGAAGCCCGCGCTGAAGACGCCCGCCCCGAAGAAGGCGTCCAGGAACTCGAAGGTCAGCATCATGACGAGGTTGGTGGCGAAGGAGCGCACGATGCCCATGCAGCACGTGATGCCCCACGACCAGAACAGCAGCGCCTTCCTGCCAAACCTACGCGGAGAAAAAACTAATGAAATACTGCCTTCAATACAGGCCACAGGGGCAGATCCAGAGGGGGAAGGGGTGGTCCCCTTTAGAGATCAGATAGGCCGCCTGGAGGGTACGCAACGCAACCAGCACTGCTTTGAGCCTGTTCGGAAAAAAAGCGCTACTTCCCCCTCTCTGAAAAAGCCTGGATGCACGCCTGCTCGGATACTGCAGTACCGGTGCAGTATGCCATGCTGGCCGAACAAAGAGTCCAGCGGAATGCCTTCCCAGTCCTTGAAAGACGTGAGTGACGAGGCGGCGAAGAGAGGCGACCTTGGCGGGAACCACGTGCACGACGCACTGCGACGCACCGCGACGCACTGCCGCAGCCCGCCAACGCCGAGCCGCGGCCAGCCACCGCCAGCCACTCGGACTCCGGGGAGGCTTACCTGTCCGAGAAAAAGCCGGCGAAGGGGAGCCCCGCGAACAGGCCGATGTTGTTGATCGTGCCCACGATGGACAGCTGCCACTTGTTCTCGTCGCAGACGATGTTCCACTGGAGAACAAAGATCCAAAGTTCAGTAAGCCTTTCAACCGGAGGGGGGGGGGAGGTTCGTGCAGGTGCAAGTACCTCGCTGGCGATGGAGTTCATCTGGCCGGGCTCGAACACCCAGTCCTGGCAGCGCACCACCTCGGTCCGCGAGAACAGCTCGGCGGGGCAGTCGGAGCGCGACCCATTGGGCACCGCGGGTCCGGGCCGGCCGGCGGGGGCGTAGCGGTGGCAGTTCTTGGGCGCCCTGCCCTCGTGCGGCACGGCGTGCACCAGCCAGTCCGGGATGTACTGCTGGCGCGGCAGCCCGGCCGCCTTGGTGGCCTTGGACGCCACGCCGACGAGGTCGCCGCCCTGGACGACGTGCCCGCCCAGGGCGCTGGCGAGCGGGCTGCCCAGCCCCTCGCACTCCGGGATGCGGCATCTGGGGGCAGAGAGAGAAGAGGTTATAACTAGAGTTACAGTGTCACTGAACGAAAAGGTTTTCCAACCCCCAGCCTGCCGCCTCGCAGGTGGACTGGGGTTGGCAAGCCTTCCTGGCGCGCCGCGGGAAATTTCGGCCTACTCATGTCACAACACTGTTGTTTCTGAGCGTGCAGATTAATCGGTGCTGCGCGCTGCGGCTCCACGCGCGGCCGCGACACCGTTGGGGCCCAGGTACTCGTGGCGCACTGTACGCTAACCTGTTGGCAGGGCGGCGGGGCTCTCACTTTCGGGGCGAGAAGGAACTAGAACCAGTGCGGTGCCGCGGCGTCGTCGGATAATCGGACACGGCGGACACTCAGCACTGAGGCTCTGGACGCGGGCCAAAGACAGCCAAGGCGTTGGGCAAGCAGAGCAGTGTGCCACGACATTGTCGGCTCCACTCCTACACCGGCGGGGCGGGGCGGGGCAGCACTTGGCTGTCGCAGCGCGCGATTCCAAACACAGTCGGTTTCGCCGCTCGCTCTCTCTTTCGCGCGCAAAGGGGCGTCTCCCAGGGGGTGCGTCAAGCGTCGCCTCGTCGCTCTGTCTCACTCACACTCACGGAGCTCTCCATGAGGGTGCGAGAGAGACAGAGCTTCCGAACGGCGTTCACGTCGGGCACATCGGAAACGCGCGTGGGAAACGGGATCACGGTGGCGACACTGGTAGACTGGTACCGCAACGCGTTACGTGCGTTACGTCATCGCCACGGCGCCACGGCCAGGTAGTGCAGCGCCACGCCGCCACGCGGCGCACACGCCCAGCCACGTGGGCCGTCACAACACGGGGCGACACACTGGGGCAAGGAATGCCACTTAACCGAAGCGTTTAAAGCGGCCTTCAATTCGGTTATCTCCGCGGTCGGGATTAGTGCCGGGCGCTTCATCGCTCTGTCTCTGTCGCCCCTACGGAACGCCGGATGCGAGAGAGAGAGAGACAGATAGGCGAATCGATTCGGAATCGCTCCGCTGGGTTTCAATTTCATAGGGAGGCCCGAGCCAATAAAGCTTGCTGCGGTATTAGGCCATAGCAGCCCGACTCCAAGGATCGCGTCTGTGACGAGGAGCAACAGCGCGCACACTGCCTTGCCGTCCGTCGGTCGGTGAAAAATAATTCAAAACGGAACGCAGAAGGCCGAACTGCACAAAGGCGAGCCAGGGCACCAGCAATGGGATTCCGGACCGTGCCGTCGCCGCTGTCTCGCTCGCTCTCATGGGGCGTCGCGTAGGGGTGCGAGAGGGACAGGGCGACGGCCATATCGGCGAGCCGCACGCGCAGACGCGCAGCATGCGACAAGCCGCGCGACGAGGCAGTGGCGGATCCAGGGCGGAAGGGGGTGGGCCGTGTCGCTGTTTGCCTACCTTTGAGGCGCTAGAAGTCAGGGGGGGGGGCAAATTGTCCCCCCCCCCATCCGCCCCCCTCTGGATCCGCGCTTACGCTAAGCAGGCAAGCGGCCGCGGATGACGGCCTTGCCAAAAACAACAACAAGAGATCCTGGGAAAAGCGTCCGGTGTCTGGTTTTGGGCGGTTGCAACCAGTTCGCTCGTGCCACTCAAACGTGCTCCGTCACTAGCCGCGTGCTACCGGCCGGACTCAAAGGTGCATCGTCTCACCGGTGGCCCGGTGGCCGGCACACCGCTCCGTCTCTCTCGCAACCGCGCAACGCCCCACGAGTGCGAGGGAGACAGCGCGACCGCTCGGAAGCAGCTGCTGGACACGTCGGTGGCATGCTGCGGCACACTGATTCAGAGAGTCGTTTTCGTCGCTCTGTCTCTCTCGCACCTGCACGGGACCCTCATGAGTGGGAGAGAGACAGAGCGTCCTCGGCGCCGCCCACGTGGCGGCCTTGAAGGTTCGCAAGGCCGCGGAGCCGCGGGGCAACGAGGCAAATCCAGAATCCGGCCGGTAAAGGCCGGCAAACCACTTTACCCAGTTAGCCAAGTTAGCGGCCAGGGCAGCCAGGGCAGCCAGGGCGGATGGCATGGCCCAGCGGCCCAGCACCGCGGGAACCAAAAAGCGGATCCAGTGGGGCCGACAGGACAACCGACCTCTAGACAGCCGCCTCAAAGTCGGGCAGAACGCCACACTGTAAGCAGGCAAGACGTGCGACTCCGACCGCCCTCTCCCCCAGGCCGGCTCTGGACCCGCCACCGGGCGACGCCCACGCCCAGTCCCACGCCGCGTCTGCGCTGGCGGTGGCCGTTCGAAGTACGAGTCACACAAGGTGGCCGTTACGTTAAGTCACACTGCCACTCGTGCGCTTGCAGTGGGTCAAGGTCACCGCGACACGCCGACGCCGTGCACGCTCCTGCCGAGCGAAGAGCCGTCTCGTCGCTCTGTCTCTGTCGCACTCATGGGGCTCTCCGTAAGAGTGCGAGAGAGACAAAGCCGCTCTTCTGAATCACTCGGCTGGCACCGCTGCCAGACAGCCTGGCACTGCCCCGGCACTGCCCCGGCAGCCAGGAAGCACACCCCGTCCCCGCCGCTGCAGAGTCGTTCTGTCGCTGTCTCCCTCGCACCCACACGGGACGCCCCATGGGTGCGAGAGAGACAGAGCGACTCTCGTATTCCGCACGCGAGAGACAGCCTCGCCCGCTCCAGCCATCACTCACCTGTATTCCAGATCCTTGGCCGTGAAGACATACGTCAGGGTGTAGATGGCGGAGAACAGGATGGGGAAGCTGATGGCGACGTAGTTGGCGAACTGGAAGCGGCCGAAGTCGCCCAGCTGCAGCAGGATGGTGTCCAGGTCGGCGCGCGTCATGGTGGCGGCGGTGGCGGCCTGGTGGTGGCGGTGCTCGCCGTCGAGTCCAACAAGGGGGAGGCGCTGGCGGGCCGGGCGGTCGGTGCCTGCCGCGGCGGCTGGGTGCGCTGTTCTGTTGCTGTGCTGCTGCCGCTACGCCGAGGCGTCAAGCATAGCCTTTACTCTTCTGCAGGTCCAGTGCTGCATACCGGCCGAAGACGAGTCTCATGCCTCGATCTCGCGCCGCACCTGCAAACCACAAGTTGGTTACTTCAACTACCGCAAGTTGATGAATTCAACTAGCAAACGACGCGTCGGCAAGGCCGCAGCCCTTGTAGCAACCACCCACCCGTGTGCCCAAGTTCAAGTGTCCCGTCCAGAAAATGGACCAGAAACGATTTTCCAATTGCTGGAAGCGGGCATCATGAACCGGGAATCGTGTGTGAATGTGTGTGAGAGAGTGAGGGGGGGGGGGCTTTCCAGCGACGGCGCGAGGGAGGGACGCCGCCAGCTGCGGTATTGACGCAAATAATCTTATCAGTGCAGGGCAGACGGGGCAGCTCATTTACCAGGCGTCGTAGCGTTTCTGGTGGGATCCAGTCACGGGCAGACAGCAAGGCACGGACGCGGCATGGAGGGCATGACCTCCCCTTTGCCCCTGAGACGACTATCGCCCAAGTGTCTGGCCATTCAGTAACATTATCCGCCACTTTCATGCGATTGTGCGAGGGGCCTAGCCCTCCGGCACGCGGCGCGGAGCCCGAAGCTCGGGACCCACATCTAACTAGTGAATTTTGGTTTCTAAATGTCCGCCCTGCGCGACAAAGTTTTGGATGGGTTTTCACTGGGGGAGGGTAGTTTCGACTGCCACGGCCTCACCAGACGCTGTGCATCCCTACGTACGTACACGCTAAAACAAATTGTCGTTTTACAGTGAACAAGCCGCCGTCTAGCGCACTCGATTCGCCGCGCCGGCGTGCGACGCCACTAGAAGCGGCAAGCGGCGCGCTGGCCGACTGGACCACTGTCTGGACCCGGACGGGACGGCAAATCGGTCACGCGACACGCACAGCGCCGCGCAATCACGACCAAGTGGATTCAATTAGGCAGCGTCAACACAACACATGGCCGCGGGGATGACCCAAGCCATTTCGCGGTGCGGCCCTGCGGCCCCCGGCGCCTCTGGGCCTACAGCCGACACGGACACGGCGTTGGCGCACAGGCAAGGGCGGATCCGGCTTCGGTCGCAGTTTTACGTTTGAACGAAGCGTGCGACTGCGCCTCAGCGTTCCCATTGAAACCGAACGCTCCTCCAAGACGGGCCCCGAGGCAACGGCCCCTGCGCCTGTCGAGTGCACCTTTTCGTCGGGTACAGTCCGGTGCAAAGAGCAGCAGAGCAGCGCAACAGGTAGGCCGTCGCCGAGCTAGCTCCGGACTGTACGTTGGACCGGCAGCAATGCGATCAAAATTTCGGAAATCCGGCGATAGGCAGAGAGCAATGACCGACAGAGAGAAAAACAACGAACGAGGGAAACGCGGTGGTGTCGATTCCTTCCCCAGTGACGTCACCGACGGCGACCTTTGAGTCGACTAGGCGCCGACGGCGTGCTCGGTGCGCGGCGGCCCGGACCAATTTAGAAGGAACGCTCTGCTCTGCTCTCATGCACGCGTGTGAGGATACGAGAGGCTATCGGGCCCCGATCCCAGCAAGCCGGCCACGCCGGCCACGCCGGCCAAGCCCCACTCCACCAGATAAAGACGGACGAAAGCTGTGCCCGGCGTAGCGGGCGTAGCGGGCGCCCGGCACGGTGTTCGTCTCAGTCTCATTTCCCCAAACGACGGACTGGCGCGTCGCCCTGCGCAGCGCGGGCCTGCCTTGTCGGCCAGGGGGAGGACCGGCAGCAAGCCGATTCTTCTCTCTCTCTCTCTCTCTCGCACCCTTACGGAACACCGAATGAGTGCGAGAGAGACGGAGCTTCGCCAAAACGGACCGCCACCTTTCTCGATAGATAAGATGCACGTATCACGCGATGGCGGTGATTAGCGCCGCGCGTGCACCGAGACGAACCGCCGTCGCCCTGTCTCTCTCGCACCCGTGCGACACGCCCCATGAGTGCGAGAGAGACAGAAGCTCCGGCAAATCGGCAAGATGAGCAAATAGGGGACGACCGGAGCCTGGCGCCGGCGTGCACGACGGCGTGGCCGACTGCAGACTGTCGTCGCCGTCTCCCTCGCACCCTTGCGGGGCGCCGCATGAGTGCGAGAGAGACAGAGCGGCGGCAGCAGCCGGCCAGGGTCATTCGCCCCCGGGCCTGCACGCCCCGCACGCCCTGGTACCAGCCTACAGTGCAGCGTGCGCCATGCCGCCATGCGCGCGGCCGTGGCGCGGCGGCAGCACAGCAGCACCCGTTTTGCATATCGATCGAGGCGAGGGGGCCCGCTTCGCCGCTTCGCCGCTTCGCCGCTTCGCCACTTCATTTGGCGCGGGGCGGGGACCAATGCCCGCCGCGCCGGCCGGGCCGGGCCGGGCTAAGCGCAGCTTGGCGCAAGTGCTTCGAGGATCAAGCAAAGCCCCCAGGAATCACAATCAGCGCGACAATTGCACCCATCCCAGGAGCCGTTTCACTGACGAGCCTCTTGCCTACTAGGTCACAGGCCAGAATTCAGAATGTTCTACAGAGTGCCCGACATGTCTTCATAACTAGAGGAGCCCTCCGAAGGTAGGCAACTTTTGCGATATCACCCCTGAATCCCTCTCTGGGCCCGCCCTTGTTTCCGACCTCCGACCGCACAAAACGAAAACGCAAGTTGCGGCGCCACTGGCGGACATTCGCCGATTACGGTCGCCCTAAAGTCTGATTCCGAGAGTCGTCTTCGTCGCTCTGTCTCTCTCGCCCTCATGAGGCGCCCCTTGGCCGGCCGGGCACTCGCCGGCGCGCCACTCTAACCGTGCCCTACACTGGGACACTGGCACTCACCAGGACAACGGCCAGCACGGCCAGCTCGCCGGGAAGGCGCTGAAGGCACTGACGGCGGCGAGGGCGCGGGGCGGAGCGCGGCGTGGTGATGCCCGGCGAAGTGATGCCAAGCGTTGGAAGCAATGCGAAGCAGCGCGAGGCAATCCGATGCGGCGCGAAGTTCCCCAGCGACTGGCGGGCTGGCGGGGCTGCACGGCGCGGCGTGCGGCGACACACTCGTACACACGCGACACACACACAAACACACACGCCACCGATATGTCGACTCCTACTGCTTCTCCTTCTACCGCTGCTGCTGCTGCTTACTCCTGCCGCGAGCGGCGCGCCACACAGAATACTAGCAGCTGAGCGCGCGCGCCGTCGCCGTGCCGCCCCGCCGCGCCCCACCGCGCCGCGCCCCACGCCCCACCACACCCCGCCCGCCCCGCCGCCAGGAGAACGTCTGCCGCCGTGTTTACTGGAGTGACGTCACGCCATCCCCGTTATCACGTCGCAGTGACGTCACGAGTCCAGCCAGGGCAGCCCTGGGGAAGGCCCATCGGGCGGGGAGTACGCGACAGGTGTCGAATCTGTCGAGTGCAAGACCTTTTAAATGCACGAATTTGAGCACCACAGGTGCAATTACTCGTTCGAATTACAGCAAAAAAGAGGATAGTTCATTGCATGCTCACAAAAACTAAGGTAATATTAGTATAAAAACAAAGATTGCAGGAACAAACGAGCGGAGATTTTTTTGCTGTGCAATGATTTAACGCATTCGGGGTGGAGGGACGACGGCACGACATCTTCGGTGCCACTGCCCTGAGAGATTCCACGGGGCAAGTGGACAAGCACATTTCAATGGGCGGCTACCGACGGCCACCAGGGACCCGTGTGTACAAAGTACGTGCAAGCTGTCAATTTTCAATTTTTGGCCTACTGCCAAAAAAAAAATCCCAGCTCAAAAGAAAACTGTCATTTTCGTCGCCCTGTCTCTCTCGCACTCATGGGGCGTCCTGTGAAGGTCTGAGAGAGACAGAGCGGCGTCAAGGCTCTGCGGCTGGTTGGCGGCGTGGCACGCAAACGGGGGTTGCAGCGACTGAAGATGAAAGGGCCCAGCACTCACACATTTACATACACACACATACTACAGATACAAACATGTACACACTCCTCACACACACAGGAAACGGGCAGTGGCGCCGTCCCGGCAGGACACAAGTAGCACTCTATACTTACCGCGTCAACTTGACCGACCAATCGATCAGTGCGATCGGGTGATCGGCCAATGATGGCGGCGCGTCGTGGCGGGCGTCGCGGCGCGTCGTCTGCGTCTGCCGCTCTCCGTGCTCCTCCTCCTCCGCCGACGGGGCGGCCGGGTGCAGCGCACGCCGTCAGCCTGCAGCGTCTCGAGGGCCGACGACGTCAACAAAGCAATGAGCGCCTCTGCGCGGGGTGCGGGCCAGGACGACACGCCGCCTTCGACACGGGCATCACGACGACGACGACGTGCTCGGACCGCCAAGCCAGCCGCCCTCCGCCAGACCCAGAGGTGCGACGCGTCCGGGCGTTCGGGGTGGCTCGGCCGCTGCTCCGCTCGCCGTCTGACGCAACACGCCGACGCGGGAGACACCGCCTCGCCTCCGGGCCTCGCCAGCTACCGCGTGGTACGCCGGCCGGCCGCAGGCCCGGAGAGCGCGCTCGCGTCGCCGGAGAAGGGAGGCGCTCTGACGTCACTGCTGGGGGTGGCGTGGAGTGATTCTTCGGTCGGTCTGTGACGCACTCATGGCGACGAGACGACTTCGTCCGGCCTTTTCGGCTGCCGAGGGCCGAGCAGGGCCGAGCCGAGGGCGAGGCTGACGCTTGCCCCTGCCGCCCCTGCGCTCGACACTAGCGTGACGTCATCCAGCGTAATCCTGCGCCTGATTCCAGGGATCGTTTCATCGCTCTGTCTCTGTCGCACTCATGGGCCGTCCCGAAGGGGTGCGAGAGAGACAGAGCGATCGTTGGGAATCGGGCGGCCGAGGAGCCAGGCTGCGCCTGTGGGCCTGAGGCTGCGCCGGGGTTTTCGGGAAGTGTCCGACGTGCTTTTGTTTACCGCCCAGGGCGTGTTTGTAAAAGAGCACTATCGAGACGTAGTTTGCGCACGGCGTGTCGGGGTGTGGCGTGGCGGGGCGGGAGACAGTATCAGTAGAATTCCACTGATATCGCGGAGGTGCTCGGACATCGAATTCTCTCGGCGCTCCCCATTCATTAAGGAGCCAACTGCTGACCCATTTTACGGCCTGATAGCGGCCGACCCTGCATGGCACCTCTTGGCGCCCCAGCGGCCCCGTGGCCCCAGCTCCCTCTGGCTACCTCTGGCCTTCACGGGGCCTCGCCGATTTTGCAGTGCACCAGGTCATCCATGCCTGACGGAACGCACGACTCGATTCAAGGCTCGGTTGATGGACGAAGACTTTTATGAAGTCTCGCACGTTTGCACTGCCTGGGCACACACGTACTTTCTACTCTGTTGTGTTTTTGAACCGGACAGCCACAGAAACTCCGTCCACCCTGAAAAAATGACTTGTTGATCCAAGACTTGCATTGCAGAGGCGGAACCGTGGTATCTGGTGCGCAGTTCGAGAGGGTGTCGGAAGTCTGAGGGTGTCCTTCCGCCGTTGTTCGAGGTACTCTGCATCGTCACGGATTTCCCAGACGTGTTGATATTTACTTTTCGGCAAGTGGATCAAAGTCGCTGGCGACACAACACACACGTTCTGGCAGATAGCTGGGTGGGTCGCGGGCCGGGTCCCGGCCGGGGCGCTTGGACACCGTGAGGGCTCTGCCGGGCTGCGTGATGTGTCTTTGCTGAGATAAGGTTACCACATGTCCACACGGCAACCGCGTGGCTCACGCCGAGTGGCAACCTTATCAGCCGTCAGGCAAATTCACTGCAAGTGGCCAGCCGAGGGCCGCAGAAAACGCCCACAAATTGTCGCGACCATAAACAACTTTTTGCTTTGCGTCAGCGGCCGCGGAAGACGGGGCAAATCAAGCGACGCTCCCCGACCTTTCGCCCGGCAGCCAATCGCCTCCGGATACCGCGACTTTTGCAAACTACGCGCAACGTCGGAAGGGCAGTCACACTGGAAGCGAAGACGCGCGCTGCACACAGCACAGTAAGCTTACAGTGGAGGAACGAAGAAGGGGCCGCGGCGACGGGAGTCGAACCCACGGCATTCGCGTTGCCTGTCGCGTTCGCAGCGCTGCTGGACTGTCACGTCCCACTGTTTTTTTGTGGTTCGAAGCGCGCCAAGGACGAGGCGCCACTCCACGCACTCCACGCGGGCGGCCAAGGACAGCATCACAATAACACTCACTTTTCGCGGAACGCTTCGCCGCGCTAGCCGCGCCGAGGAAAGGGAGTGGGGACGGATTACCTATCAAACGCTGCTTTCGACTGAGCGCCGTCATCACTTACGCACTTCCGTTCCAGAAGTAAGTACTGGTGACTGTGTAGAAATGGTGGTTTTGGCGGAGTTCAGTCAGCCACTGCGTCCGATCCAAGGCGCGCCAAATTTCTAAAGTATGAAATAAAATACGGAAAACGACCTCAGCAAAAATAAAAGAACGTCTCGAAGGTTTTGCGCAAGCGTTCACACACTCTCGTCCTACTCAAGTTCGACACCCGGGAAGGCCCGCCCGCCACGCCACTGGCACAGCATCCCCGCGAATCTAAATCTCGTTTCAGTAATGAGCCAGCGACCCAATTGAGGGCCCGATAAGGCGTCTTGTGTTCTCTGTCGAGCTGCCCCGCTGCCCGCCGCGAGCGCCTCTGGCACGCGTGGCGACCTGACTGAACCAACACTGTGGCCAAAATTTGGACTCCAAACGGCGCTTCTTTATGTCCCCCCTCCAAAAAAGGCCACCTCTGGATCCGTCACTGGGCCCTACGTGTCACTGCCCTTGGCCAGCCCGGCAGCCTTGATTGGCTCGAGTGTACGGCAAGGAGGCTCTTGGCTTCACCTTGGCCAGGACTCGGGTAATCTCGCCCCGGGAGCGTTCCCCCGCACTGCAAGTGGGTCAGAAAAACAGATTCGCCGCGCGCGGCGCGCTGCGTTTTCCACCGCGCCGACGGAACCCTCCACTGCGGCCTATAAAACGCCCATGTCATGTCGCCTTCGTTTCAACTTTCAAGCATTTTCCACTGGCTGCCGCTGCCGCCGCTGTCGAGGCGGTTTGTTTACAGTGAGCGCGCGTTCGTCCCTGGAGCCGGACAGCGCCGGTAGATTCCAGGCGCTTTCCAGGAGCGCCGCCTGATGGGGCACTTCACGGCTGGGCTGACCTAACGCCGCTCTTGCGTCCGGCACTGCGCTGCGCTGTCTCCCTCGCACCCTCACGGGACGCCGCGTGAGGAGACGAGTGCGAGAGAGACAGAGCGACGAAAGCGCTGTTCGGAGTCAGCCCGGCGAGGCCCTCGCCGGTGTGACCTCACAGTGTTGTTTTGGTTCCGTCGGGTTCAGCGTCCTTCCGGTTGCGAGCGTGAGCGTGCGCGGCGTGGCGGCGTGCGCGACGTCGCCCCTCCACCGCGACGCGCTGCACCGCGGCCCACGCGCCGCGACACGCGTGTCCCGGACTGCACGCCAGTGGCGTGGCGGAAAGAAGCGCGCGAAAATAAAGAGAGGAATGGCATCAGCAACAAGAGGGACGTCGGGTAAATTTAACGGGCCGCGGTTTGACTGTGTTTGACCCAGATTGTTATCGCACCACGGACACCGGTCTGTAATTTGGAGGTGTCGTTGCATAAGGACGGGGACTTATCTAGCAAGGACACCCAGCTGTCCCTCGTCTTTTCTCTCTCTCTTTTTATTGTATTTACAACGGTATACTACAGTACAGACAGGGTCCTGCAGCTTCGGGGGAATGGCGCGGCAGAGCGGGAAGCTCTGCACTTTCGGAGTGGCGTGTTGGAGGAGTCACTTGCAGTCCACGTTGAACCACCAGTCGCACACCAGCACCTCCTGGCTGAAGATGGTGCCGTTGGGGCACAGCATGGCCTCGCCCCGGCCGTCACCGTGGCACACGTAGAAAGCCTGCGAACAGCAACACGGAGGCTCAGTCGACAAACTAGGCACAGGACGCCTTCGAATGTGCACTTGGCGTCAAAGGCACCACACGACAGTAGTCAGTGAGGAGGGCATATTCTTGCAGGCACGAGCTAGGCGAGGCGAAGGATCGTTTCGTCGCTCTGTCTCTCTCGCACCACTATGTCGGGGCGGCCCATGAGTGCGACGAAACGTTCCTCCGGAATCACTGGGCAGGAGTCCATAACAAATAATGGAGCACAATCCAAGGATGCGTCCAGCCGGAATGGCAGAAGAGGACGCACAGTGGAAATTCCCACCTAAGAAGGAGGTTCATGGGGGTGGCCGTCCTCCTCCGTGTTGCCAGACAAGTCGGCAAACACGGGCTGTTCCTCCTCATGCCTACTACTAGGCAACTTCTTGCCACAGCTGTTGAGCACCTTTGTTTGGGCTCCTTTTGGCTCCCTTCACGCATCAAGAAGACCTCAGTTTTTCCGCTGCAGTGCTGCGCCTACACTGTGAAGGATGTGCTGCCTACCCCGCGGGCGCGTTCCCCGCGCGGAGGTTGGGTTGCCTACCCGCCGGGCGTAGCGTTGGCTGTGCGGCCGCGGCCGTTGGGTTGCCAGCCACCCGGGCGGCGCGCCAACGCCGAGCCTCGATAGCCCAGATGAAAGTACGAACCTGGCAGCCGCTGGCGGGGTCGGCGAAGTAGCCCTTCTGGCCGAAGTCGGCGCACGTGAACCTCGTGGAGGGCGGCCTGCTGAAGGCCGGGTAGTCCATGCCGGGCACGCCGGGGATGCCGTCATACGCGCCTGCGCACACCACACGGGGCCAGTCAGACGGCGTCGTACCTTCACGGGACGCCCCATGAGTGCGACAGAGACAGGGCGACGGAGACGACTCTGCGTCTTTCCGCCCTCTGACGCGTTCGTATGGAAAATGGAATGCCTCTCCACTTCCGCGCGAGTTTCTCCTGTCCGCGTCGGTTTGGTGTTTTGTGCGGCGAGGCTCGGGAGATAAACGACATCGGCCGAACACTGCTTTCGTCGCTCTGTCTCTCTCGCACCCCTACGGGACGCCCCATGAGTGCGAGAGAGACGGGGCGACGAGACGCTCCCGATTCAGCCAGGCTTCCTGGGTGCACACATGCCCGCCCGGCTCATGCACTGTGAGTCTATCGACGGCGCGGACGGCGGAGCCATCCATTTTACTCGGAATGCCATTCGCGTTTCCCCGTCGGCCTTCTCTCCTCGGCGCTCTCATCGCTCTGTCTCTCTCGCACTCATGGGGCGTTCCGTGTGGGTGCGAGAGAGACAGAGCGACGACACGCCGTGCGGAATCAGTCTAAGCGCCTGGAGGGCTTAGACGGCCTGCAGCAGAGAACAATGCTCCTCAACTTGGGATCCAGAAGAACGGAGGGGCAAAAAGAGCCCCTCCCCCTTTTTCGCTTGCTTCTTGATGGCCGCCTGAAAGGTAGGCCACACTCCGCGCCACTGTGAGTAGGCAGAAAGTGCTACGTCCAGAGCCTCGGCTCTGGATCCGCCACTGCACTGCAGCGCGCTGCGCCGCTGCGCCCCGCCGAGCAGTTCCTCCGGGAGCTCCCCGCCGTCACCGGCCGCCCTATCCTGACACAAATCTGGCGGCGCTCTGGCGATACGCGCCGCGATACGCCGCCATCGTCCGCGCCGATCTCCGCTTCACAGGCTATCTCCCGCAAAAACGCAGCGCCTCCCTTCGGCCCGACGGCCCTTCGGCTCGAGGAACCGCCCCAGCGATCGCACCGCGAAATGGGTTAGTGGGGCCTGGACGCGGTGCGGCTTGATCCGCGGCCACTTCATCTGCGCCGTTTCTTTGGACAGGTTGGGTCGGTTGGAGCAAGCCGGGGCGGCGCAATGGTGTCCGACTGAGGCGACTGTTTTGTCGAATCGCGGAGGTCTACCTCATGTCTGCGCGTCTGTGTTCCTATGGTCCTCCACGCACAGACATGAGACTTGAAGAGGGCAAGAAAAACGGCACGGCCAGATCAGGGTGACCCATTTTTGTCATCCTCTGTCTACTCTATAAGGCTAGGCGCGGTGACAAAGACAACTGCGGGTCGCGACGGCGAGACGGAGATGGACACAGAGAGACAGCGACAGAGACTGCATCGCCCGGGACTAATCTCGCAGGCCTATCGGCGCTCGACACAATGTAGAGAAATTGCATTCGCCGGGCGATTCGCTTTCAATGGCTGGGCCACTTCACTGGAAAAGAAGCGGCGCCGTCTTTCGCGTCTGAGTGTGAAGGGGTCCGAGGACTCCGTCTCGTCGCCCTGTCTCTCTCGCGCCCCTAAAGAACGCCTCGCTGGTGCGACGGAGACAGAGCGACGAGCCCGCTCCCCGGAGTCAGTCTGCTCTGCTGGCTGCACCCCGGCAGAAAGTGCAAAGTGCTCCAGTGCCGGCGGACCGAACCGAGGAGGGCGAAGTGGAAATGAAATTCAATTAAAACGACTCGCGGACTCCCGCGTTCCTCGGACCAGCCAGGGACTCGCCCGGACAAGCCGGCAGGAGCGTCTGCCGAGCTTACAGTGTAGTAGTCGAGTCCTTCAGTTACAGTGCAGCAGTGTGGGGCGTTTGGCGTTTCCGCCATGGAGCGTCTGTGTGCTTTATGTCATGATCCGGAATCGGTATAGGCCACGACGCTGCGCGCTGCGCGCTGCTGCGCTCCGGAGCCTCATGGCTGACATAAGGGCCGTGATAGCATCGGCTCGTGTCATGAGTTGCCTTTGCAGTCCGTTTGCGGAGCGATCCCATGGCGTCCTCTTCCTCACGCAGAGCGCTTCCGAGTGTCTCTCTCGCACCCCAACGGGACCCCTTACCAGTGTGACAGAGACAGAGCGACGCAACGACTCGGAATCAGTCTGCTTCTACTACGGCGGTAACGCGGCCTGCGTATAAATTCCAGCCGCCCGCGCGGCGCGCGAAAATCGAACCGCTCAGATTGCAGTCATTTGCAGTGCTGTGCCATGGAGGTCCGCTTCGTCTCGCGGGCCTCCACTGCGGCCGGTGCCCCGCAGCAGCAGACTGATTCCGAGAGTCGCGCTGTCTCTCTTGCACTCATGGGGCGTTCCGTATGGGTGCAAGAGAGACAGATACAGCGGCTGCAGCGCGGCGAGTCCCTTGGCTTGTCCCCACGGCTGGCGCGGCCGGCTGTCCGATCGCCGTTGCCAACCTAACAACTAACTTCCCGTACATCGCGGTGTTTTGTCTCTCGGAGAGCTAGCGGCGATTTGCAGCGGCAGCGCGCGGCTGGCTGATTCCGAGTGGGGTTCCGTTCGCTCTGTCTCGCCCCACGAGAGCGAGAGAGAGGGACATAACTCCCTCTCGGAATCAGTCCGCTGGCCCGCCGCCACGCTGCCGCGCCGTGTCCCAGCGCCAGGAGAGCAGCCTCATCGCTCTGTCTCTCTCGCACCCCTACGGAACCAACGCAACTCCACGTGTGTGGGAGGGAGAAAGCGATGAAAGCAGTGTTCGAAATGTGCAGGCAGCTGGCAGTGGCCGCGCTCGGCCCGATAACGCCGAAGGCACGCCAAAGGGACGCGGTAGGGCCGGGACGCCGATGTCGCCGCCATGTCGCCGCGGAGACCGCAGAGCGCTACCGGTACACCGGTAGTGGGGCAAGGAAGTGCCCTGCGCCTTTTCCTCGACTTGCCCTTTGACCTACATCCCAGGTCCTGTCTGTCCTATGATGAGACCTAGGTATCCTATACTTCGTGCATCATGTGTCCTGCGGTCTGTGTCCCACGCCTCCCGCGTCCTACGTCCTGTATCCTCTGCGCCGAGACGCACGCCCTCCGTGTCGCGGCCCACGGCCTGTGACCTGCGGCCACTGTGGACGTGCCCGGCTGGGCGAGACTTCGCCGAGACTTGGTCAAGCTGGGTGCCCCTCGGTCCTGAACCAACCAAGTGGCACGGCAAGGGCCGGCGCGCGCCGCGCTGGGACGCTCTGGACGGGCAAGGGAAGCCTCGGTGTCTTGGGCAACAGCTGCGGCCACGCCACGCCACGCCACGGTGAGCTGCCTAGTAGCGCGTCCCGGCCGTCCTGGCCGTCCTGGCGCGCACATCCCGCCATTCTCCGAGTGGAGCGCGGGCCGAGCGAGCCGAGCCGAGCCCAGGCAAGGTCCTCGCGGTCTAGTCCGCGGAGCCGAGCCGGACGCCCACTGACGCCGCACTGACGCCGCCGGCGTCGTGTCTGTGGAACGGCGCGGTGTCCGGCGGACACCCCGCGAGGCGCAAGGCCGTCGCCTCCACTGATTAAAGCGCCACATTTTGAACACGAACGCGCGGCGCGCCAGGGCGGCCTTGGAAGGGCGAAGCGCAGCGCGACGCGAACGCGGAGAAAGCAGTGATCTAGTCCGACTTTGATTCTCAGCACAGCCGGTCTGACGCAGACGGGCGCAGCTTGAATGAAATGAAAATCTACGAGTCCGTAGAAACAAGTGCCTAAAACTCGGAGCGTTCGGCTCCCCTTCGGTTCCCAGGCCGGCCCCGCGTTTCGCGTTTCGGCGCGGCCTCTGTGGACGGATTCCGCAGAGGGTGGCCGTCGGGCTATCTCTATCTCTCTCGCACCGGCACGGAGCGCCCCTTGAGTGCGAGAGAGAGACGTCCCACTCGGAATCAGTCTGGTGGCGGTCCCGCCGTGTCCTGCCACTGCCGCCCTACCCGCGCGTGGCGATTTGCTTCCGTCGCGATTTCTCATCAGCGCGTTCACACGGCCACAATGGTCGGGCGGGGTGGGGCGGGGCGAGGCGGGGTGGCGCGGGGCGTGGCGTACTCCCCAGTCCAGTGACATTACGAGGATTATCCTCGGGAATAGGAAACTCTTGCGCCGCCACCGCCTCTCGCCGCCGACTTTCCAAAGGACGCCCAGCAGTGACATAAAGGCGGGCCGTTTCGGCCGCATCGACGCGAGCTGCCGGCAACGACTTAAGCATGTCCGCCTGTCGGTAGGCAAACAGTGTGGTTACTCACCCAGGAGGTCGCCGGGAGTCTGTCCGGGCCGCACCCTGTAGAACATGCTCTCGGCCACGGACAACGGCAGCAGCCCGCCGGACAGCCGCAGGTCGGGCTGCAGCTGCAGCTGGAGCTGGCGCAGGTGCTGCAGCTGCGCCTGCAGGTTGCTGTCCTGCTGCAGGTCCTGCAGGTTGGCGTCGACGCGGTCCTGCCGCACGGCGAACTGCCACGTCCTGGAGGGCCGCCACTCCAGGGCGTCGTTGAGCACGGCGCGGCCCTGCGGCGTGGCCTGCGGCGCGCCAGGGCCGGGGCTCGGCGAGGACGCCAAGAAGGGCGCCGGGGTGGCCTCCACCACGTTCAGCTTGGTGAACTCGACGACGGTCCGCGAGGGCGGCGGCGCGGTGTCCTGGGGCTTGCTGCTGGCAGCTGGCGCCGCCGTCGACGGCACGAAGATGGGGATCCAGGGGCTCTCCCCGAGGAAGTAGCTGGCGGGGACGTCCTGCAGGGACGGCGTCAGAGGTGCCTCCAGCCGCACCGTCTCCTGGGGGCCGCCGCCGCCCGCCGCGGACCGCTCGTCGTCTCGTGCCGGTGGCGCTGCTGACGACGTCGTTGACGGCGCTGGCGGCGTGCTGGACGCCCAGGTCAATGGCAATGCGGACGCCACCGGCGCCGCTGGTGCGGCTGGCGGCAATGGCGGCGAGGACGGCGATGGCGGGGAGGAAGACGTCACAGGGGACGGCGTCATCGGCGCGGCGTCGTTCTTGTCGGGCAGCGGCGGCAGCAGCACCTCGGCCGGCGGGTCCTTGCGGCCGGCCGTCGGCACGAAGGGGATCTCCACCTGCGGCAGCGTGGCCCCGGGGCCGTAGCGCGGGAAGATGCCCGACAGCAGCGGCGTCTCCAGCGGCGCCTTCTCCCGCGCCGACGCCTCCTCGCGCTCGGCCGGCGGCGCGGTGCGCAGCGTGGCGGACACCCTCACCTGCTGCGTGTCTCCTGGGGGCAGGGAAGGGATCACGACGACCGTCAAAAGTAGCAAGTATCACAAAGAGAGGGGTGCACTTGTCTTGCCCTGTACCCTACCCAACTTACACGCAGTCCTTAATACTTGACTTACCTGCTGCCTTCTTTTGGAAGCTCTTCTTGGCAGCCGGCTTGCTGCTGGTGGCGTTGTTGTTGTTGGTGGTGGTGGTGTTGTTGGTGGTGGCGTTGACGGGGCGCGGCGTGCTCGCCACCTTGCCCTTGGGCGCGGCCTCGCGCGGCTTGGCCCGCGGGGACTTGTGCGGCGCCGCCTTGCCGGAGCGCCTGTTCGCAGCCGGCGGCGTGGTGCTGGAGGCCGCGGGGGCCGTGGCCGCGGTGGAGCTGGGCGCGGCCAGGGTGTCCTGGAACTTGTAGCGGCCGCGCTCGCTCGACGGCGGGGTGCCGGTGACGGGTGGCAGGAGCCACTTGACCGGCGCGAAGAGGGACAGGCCCGTGTTGGGCTTGCTGAGCGTGCTGCCCTTGCTGTCTTTGCTGGCCGTGCTGTTCCTGCTGTCCGTGATGGCTGTCCCGACTGGGCTGCTGCTGCTTGTTTTGCTGGCTAAACTGGCGGTGCCGTTCGCGGTCGTGCCGTGCTTGCTGTCCTTCCCGCCGTCCTCGCCCACACTGATGGCGGCGCTGCCGTTCCTCGGCGCGATGCCCGAGGACGCCGCCGGGGTGAGGTCCCTGATGACGACCTTGTACTCGCCAAGGATCGGGTCCTTCTTCACGCGGGTGATGACGGTGCCGTTGGTCGTCGTCCTGGCCGAGAACACCGAGGAGGCCGTGAGCGTGGCCGTCTTGGCCGGCGTTCTGGTTGCCGTCGTCGGCTTGGCGGCCTTCGGCTTGGCGGTGGTCTTGACGGACGCTGCCGCCGCGACACCGCTGCGAGGCTTGCCGACGGCGGGGGCTGCCTTCACGTCGGGTAACGACGGGCCCTGGCCCTGCGCGAACTTGGCGCTCTTCTTCCCGTAGGCGGAGTACGGCACCTTGGCGGAGAGGTGCTTGCTCGGCGCCCAGGCGGTGATGTTGGCCATCATGGCCGCCACCTCGGGGGTCATGGCGCCGCCGAACGCGCGCTGCGCCTGCTCGACCTGCTGCACCAGCGTGCGGTTGGCGTCCTCCTTCATGATGCGCAGCACCGCCTCGTCGTCGAGCTGCTGCTGCTCGCGGAACGTCTGCAGGGCCTTGAGGAGCTGGTCGGCGTCCCGCAGTGCGCGCACCAGAGCGCGTATCCTCGCCACCAGCTGCTCTGGGGACGGGCTGGACACCTCCAAGGAGGCCGCCGTCGTGGTGGACGGCGGGGACGTCGACGCGGGCCTGGTCGAGAACGGTCTTGGAGGTGGGGCAGGGGACCTCGGCGCCGGTGTTGAAGTCACCGAGGACGCGGGCAGGGATGTCGTCGGTGACCTCAACAACGTCGCTCTCGGCGTCGACGTCGTCGGCGTGGGCGGTACAGGCTTGCCCGAGGCCGTCGGCGAGGGCACCCTCCTCGGCGTTGGCGTCGCCGCCGTCACCCTGGACGCCGGAGCCACCGGAGGCTTCGTCGTCGGCGACCTCACGAGCGTCGCGACGACGGACTTCGGCGGCGGCGTCGAAGACAGCGACGAAGTCGCGGAAGGCGCCGCCGCCAGGCCGCAAGGCAGTAGCAGTGGAGCTGCGGACACACCCACCAGAAAACGTCTTTCACAGTCCCAAATTGCTTCCATTTACCGACACAGCAAATTCGGAATCAAGTCACGTCCAACGCCCATTCGAACGGTCACTCTGTCTCTCTCGCACCTCTACGGAGCGCGCCATGAGTGCGAGCGAGACAGGGCGACGCAAGCACGGTCCAGAGTGCGCCCGCAGGCCGATCGGACGTAGTCGCCGTAGGCCGGCACGTAACAATCACTTCTCCCCGGAGGCGCGTAAAAGGTGACGCCGTGTTTTCTTATTCCACAATTTTACAGTGGCCACGTTTCCGCCGCCGGCGCCGCATTGCATTGCATGAGTCGAACGCGAGCGCGAACGCGGCCCGATGCATTGAAGATCGAATTGTTCTTTCTCCGCTCTGACATTTGCAGCATTGCGGCCCGCGCGCGAAGGGGCGCCCCACATCGACGCTGCCGTGCGCGGCATACGCCGCGCGGCACCGCACCAACAATAAATGCATTCACCTAAAAAAATTGAAGGTGTGCAAAATGCGTTTCAAAAAAAACGGGGACGAAGCGGGGCTCGGGACTCGGGAAGCGCGGTATAGTGCAAGGCAAAGTGTCATCAGCTGCTGTGGTGTATTCATGAATTACGTAAAGGCCTGGGCCGCCTGGAAAGAACAGTCCAGGCGAGACAGTTGCTTAACCCGTTCAGTTAATTTTCCGTAATTTTCGCTGCAAGAGTCTAAACCGAAACCACATCTTCAGGCCGAGAGCACTTTGTCTGCCCGAGAGCATTCAGCTGGAGCGCCGTACGCGGAGGGGATAGGCAGCCCGGTACGCACGTCCGCTCGACGGGACTGCCTACACTGCGCATCGCAGGCGCTCCGCCGCTCACGTCGGGCACGGAAACCAACGACAGTGGAGTCACGCCACTGGTATTTTGCGGTGCGGCCATACCTGTGGTGAGTAGGAGGAGGACGCCGAGGAGAGCCATATCCTGCTGGGAGTCAGTGGAGCGGCTGGCGTGGCGGCGGTGGCGGCGCCGGTTCACTATCCATCACACGCCCTGGGACCTGGGCCCTGGGCTCGCCGACGACGAGGACGCCACTGCTGGAGGCTCACTCGGGGCGCCACCGGGCCGGCGCCATGGCTGGCCGACGGGGAGGCCGGCTTGGCCTCGGACACGGCGGCGGCGACGGCCTTCGCCGGCGTGAGGGTGATGGGCACGACGGCGACGGGAGCGCGGCGGCACGCACCTCCAGGACGAGCGGGTGGACTTGGTCCACGAACTGCCCCAGCTGCTGCGAAGCGGGTTACTAGTGTCACTGCAGAGACGCGATCCGCGCGGAGCACGAGGAGTGCCTGTTGTTGGCGGACGCGGCGGCCTGCAGGGACCCTCTCGCCATGGCAGCGCTACGCCAGCGGGGAGTACCGACAGTGCAGTGAGGTGCAGTACCGACAGTGCCGCCGCGGAGGGTGGTGGACCGCGGGGAGGGGGGGGGGGGGCTCCGGTGGGCCGAGCCACCCGGCATCGGCACGCGCCGCCCCCACCCCACCCAGCGGAGAAGAGAAGGGGGAGTGAGTGAATGAAGAAGGGAGAGGTTAATCGCCGGAAAGACGCCCTCGACGAGACTGTCCCCACTGAAACGCTGGATTTGAGGTTCGGAACTCAGGTTCAAAGGTTCAAGGCTGGACTCTCATCAAACGGCTCTGTCAAGCACGAGCCTCTGCCTCGCGCCTGCGTGTGTCGGTGTGACCACCACACCCGAGGGCCGCCGCCTCCGGCAACGCTTCCAGGATGCCTCCAGGATGGCGGCGACGGTCTCGTGTGGGACAATGTCCGTCCAGGACAAGACCGAGCGGTGGCTTCCACGACAACCATGACGTGCTCCATGACAAGGCGCGGTGCGCGTCCACCCGTAAAGCTGGGAGGGGGGGGGGGCTGGACCGTGGCATTGTTCACGCCTTGCAGTGCCTTTGCAGTGCCTTGCAGTGCGGGATGCTGCTTTGGAGGGACAGCACAGATGCATGGCATCATCGGCGGAGAAGCTACTCCACCGACTGCGTCGCCATCCGTCCCGTCCGACCCATTCCCAGTGTGTCGGTCTGTCCGACCGTCCCAATTACAAGTGGTTGATTCTCGAACCATGTAAAAATTCACTCGGAACAAATAAACTTACTGAAAACTTTTAATTGTGAGCTCTCTCATCTTGTTCCTCGTGAATTCATATTGGTTCAAGTTCGGTTCAAGAAACTCCCATTTTTGCGGTGTACTGTACGGGGGACTTACCAGTGTGGCTGCCAGCCTTTCCGATCACCACTTCGTCCTTTGGCACTTCCCACGTGACCGCCATCGTTCCGCTGCTTTCCTCCTCCTCTTCTTCCTCCGTTCTTCCTCATTCCTTCCCCCCTTCTTTCTCCGCTTCCCATTGTGACGTCCGCGAGCCGCCGCCACCGCGCGCGTTATCGCGAGATGCGTCAAATTAGTTCTCCCGCCGATGCGCGCCGCAGATTAGGCAAAAGGTAGAGGGGACGCGCGCGGAGAAGGAGAAGGGGATTTTAAAATTTCTTGTCCGAGCAGCGGCAGCAGCCCCGCGCTCGCTCGCAATAATAAGCAGGCCAAACAATCGGCTCCACATAAGGACTCACTTTGTCCGTCGTTGCGTCGCCGCGTTGCCCGCTCGGTCCGCTCCAGAAGGGCCGGCCGCCGCCACCGCCCACTCCCACGCCGCGCAACGCCACGCCGCGCCCTTTACAGCGTATTAGGACAACGTGAGGCCGAGCGCGGCGAGCCCCGCAAGCCGGCCGAGGAAATGGAATTAGACTACCTTGTCGCGGCGGCGGCAGTACTCTGCCGGAGTATTGAGTGGAACGCCGCGGAAAGTGGGGCGCAGCCACACTCTAAATGTCTCGCGAAGAAATCACCCATGTTACGTTGGTGGTTTTTCTTCGGATCACGAAGGATTTTTCTGAGTATCTCACGATGGAAATCGAGAAAAGATTCGCACCGTGGACAGGTTTCGCTATTGCTTGCGCCAAGTTCACAGCAACTCAGCTCAAATCATACAGTAATTAAGTTAAGAGTGTATCCAATTTAGGACACATTTCTGGACGGTTCCATTGAGACGGTGATCCCCGAATTTGACACAGTCGCTGGCCAGAGACCTCGCAATGTAAACATAAGCTCGGTGTTGTCATTCGCCCTGGACTACGACACCGACCAAGTTCGGCCGCGCGGTAGGACGACGGCCACACCGTCGCCCCTCGGTCGCCCCGCCCCACTGGCCGCTCTCCCAGGATCCGGCGCTTGTCTTAAACACCGGCCGCTTATTGCCGGGCTGCAGGGCAGCAGGGCTGCACAACCACTTGCCAAAGATCCTCATCAGCTGCAGCCGCTGCAGTAGCGGCGAGGCGGCTGCAAGAGGCGAACGGTGAGCAGCCAGGGCCCAACAAGGGGTCATAGAGCACGCCCCGCCCCGCCCCGCCCCGCCCCGCCCCGGTCAAGGCGTATCTATAATGCGCCGGGCAGGGGCCCAGCCCAGGGGGTGTTGCGAAAAGGGTCGAAACGACGTCGTTTACGGACCGCCCAGCGGCTGGCTGCGGGAGCAGAGGTCAGTGGCGGACCCTTCCGTATTTACTAAACCAGCCGAAGGGAGCCGAAGGGAGCCGAAGGGACGTCGCCGTGTAATACTCGTGACGTAAAGCCGCTGTCCGCTATGCGCCCCGCCCCGCCCCGCCCCGCCCCGCCCCGCCCCCTGGCCCAGCAGCCGCTTTGCCCCTGACGTAATGATTCGTATCCGAATTCTGATCCGCGCGGAAAAAGGAAAGATAGCGGCGTGGGCGTGTCGCGGACAGAGAGGGCGCAGCGGGGCGGGCCTCGTGGAAATCTGTCATCATTGCGAGAGGGAAGGGGCAGCCAAGTCGGGGAGGCGGGGGAAGGGTGGATGGAATTTCCAAGGGTTGGAGTTCGAGAACTATTCGGGAACGGTTCTAGAACATTCTGAAGGGAGAAATAATCCATCACGGTGTCGTAATCCGCGGTCAACGTGCTCAATGCGTTGTATTGTTTGGTAATTTGGATGCTGCGTGTTCTGGAGGAAGCGCGGGAGAAAGAGAGGGAGAGAGAAAGAGCGAGAGCGGGTGGAAAGAAAGGGAGAGTCGGCGCCAAGGTTCCAAGGTCCACGGCCACGGCCGGCCCCGGCCTCCCCGCGCGCCGAGCGATTCCCAAGAGTCGTGTCGTCGCTCTGTCTCTCTCGCACTCATGCGGGGCGCGCCATGGGTGCGACGGAGACAGAGCGACGCCACGACTCCCATCCCGCGGGGCGCGGCCGCCTCCCTCCGCTCATTGTCGCCGCGAAACAAATCAGCAGCAGTCGCTCTGTCTCTCTCGCACCCGTGCGCCCCGCCGCCCCGCCCCGTGAGTGCGAGAGAGACAGAGCGGCGAGGCGATTGGGCAACGGGGCGCTGCGCCCAGCTCCGCCCCGGCCGGACCAACGGCACCAAAGGCCGGACGCGTTCGGAGAGAATGCCGCGCCAGGATGCCGCCGATGCGAAGCGCGAAGCGCGAAGGCAAGGGCTGCTTGGGCAAGGCGGGCCGCGCGCCGGCCAGCAGGCCCACCCCGAACTCTGTCTCTCTCGCACCCCCACGGGACGCGCCGCGAGTGCGAGAGAGACAGAGCGACGAAAGCGCCACCTGGCGCGTGGCCTTGGCGCCTCGGCGCCCTACAGCGCTATCGGCCGGCCGCAGCGAGCCGTGGCCGCGCCCATTCACTGCTTGTAGGTCTCGACGCGCCACGCGCCACGACGCGCCACTGGAGCGAGGGCCCTACACTGGAGCCAGGGTCCTAAGGCGGCCCGGCTCAGTCTCGCAGCACCCACACGGGACGCCCCGGAAGAGCGAGAGAGACGGAGCGACGCGGGCACTGCTCGGGATCGAGCTGCTGCAGTTCTTGCTGCAGTCTGTCGTTTTGAAGGCATGGCGTACGAGTGGAAACTGCGCCGACTGCGCCGACTGCGCCGCCACAGCGAAATACATTCGGAACGCCGCCGCCGAGCCCGGAAGCGAAAAGGCGGGGTGGAGGGGGGAGAGGGGAAGGGGGTCGTGCCAAACAGTGTAGTCGTGTGTGGCGGATGGTGGATCGACTCAGACTCTGACAGGACTCCAGCAGCGCGCGGGCGGCAGGGCGCGGACCCCACAGGACCATGCTCATGGCCGTCTCCATCCTCCTCACCGTCGGCCAGGTCGCCGCCGACGCCATAGGTACGTGCAGGAGAGTCGCTTTAGTCGCTGTCTCTATCGCACTCATGGGGCGTCCCGTATAGATGCGAGAGAGACTTTCACCCTCTGCCACTGTGCCGGCAGATGGCTTCGACTTCGCCGACGAGTGGGCGCACCGGCAGGCCGGCCTCGGCCGCTGTCAGATGATCGTCACTTCGGGCTACGGCTACCGCCAGTTCATCCCCCTGGAGGCCGCCACCGCCCCGCCCTCGGACGACCCCATGAGCGGCTACCCGTCCCCGCTGGTGGCGGGCCCGCAGCCCACGCCGGCGGCACGCCTGCTCAACGCCACGGAGGCCCCCGCCGCCCCGCCGCCGCCGCGCCGCCCCCGGCCGCCACGCCGGCCCCGGGGGACAAGCTGGTTCTGCGGTTCCAGGTCGGAACGCCACGCGAGCCCCGTGCCCGCGTAACATCCAACTGAAAGTGCGGCGGGCAGGACGAATTTGAAGCGACGTTGTTGTGGCGTTGTCTGCTGCAGGTCCTGGCCGAGAGCGACGCGCACATCCTGCTCAGCTCGCAGAGGCGGTCGGACCGGGAAGCGTACGAGGCGAGTATTCGCGGGGCCGGGGCGTTTTCGCCCTCTAGAGAGTCGCGGGACGGCAGGCGAGCATTGCAGCAGAACCATCCAACGGCAATGGCAATGTGCAATCAACATCCTCCGCGGCGGCCGCCACTCCCGCCCCTCGCCGTCGTCCGTCCTCGGAGCGATAACATGCCGAGACTCGCCGAGTGTTTTCAAAAACAAAAACAAAAAACGGCCAAACAAAAAAAGGCCGCTTTGAAAAAGTGTGTATACACGATGCACGCACATGCATGCGATAGGTCCTGCCCACTGGAGGGCGACGGGTGGGAGGGGGGTCATTCACCAGGGCATCCAGCAGCCCTGTTATCCCCCCTCCCCCTTTCCCCGCCGCAGCAGTGAGATAGAGCGGGAGGTCAAAGGACCGCGTCAAACGTACGCACTTTCCTGCGAGGCCGCGCGCGAGCGAACGCGAACGCAACAGCCGTCGCGACTGCCGCCGTGCTTTGGCTCTTCGGCCGTGCCGCAGGTGGTGCTGGGCGCGGGCAACAACTCGTACACCGACTTCCGGCGCCTGCCCGCCTCCATCCCGCCGCGGCGCGCCTTCAACTACACCACGGGCGTGGTGTCCAACCAGGAGCTGCGCGCCTTCTGGCTGCTGGTGGACATGGGCACCGGGCTGCTGGCCGTGGGGCCCGACGGCGGCGCCCCGCTGCTGGCCTGGGTCGACCCGGACCCGCTGCGCATCAAGTACTTCAGCCTGTGCACCTGGACCGAGGTCCACGGCACCTGGCTCTACGGCTGCGGCAAGGCGGGTACGCACTGTTAAGTCTTTGGCTCTCTACCGAGTGGGTGCAAATAGTGACTGTCGGAAACTTGTGGTATAGGAGCCCCCCTGCTGGACGCGGACTGGATGACGCCGGAGGAGCGCGTGCGGCAGCGCGTCCTCACCAACGACAAGAAGGCCGCTCCGCACCACGCCGTCGACGTGCACGCCGAGCTGGCCGTGGGGAGGGTGGCGATGGTGAGCAGCAGCTCATGAGGCAGTTTGCCCGAGGGCTCGGACCGCGCCCCGTTCCGCGTTGACCGTTACACTGTTGCAGGACGACGTGCTGGGGCTGCTCGCCCTGTCCGCCACCATGCATCTGGTGAGTCGAGAGCGGGTCGAATCGACTCGACACTCGAGACCTCGAATCGCGAAGCGCCACACGCAACGCGCCCACGCCACTGTTATGCGAGCTGAGACTAATCTGCTCGCGTCATTTCGTATTTCGTTCAAGAGTTGGCGCGATGAGAGGCTTTCGTGGAACCCCGAGGACTTCGTCGGGGTCAACAGCACCTCCGTCTCGGCGTCGGACGTCTGGGTGCCCCACGTGCGGACCACGGGGTGAGAACAGAAAAAATGCCGCCAAACAGTGTGCGAACTTTCGAGAAAACTAATGTCTGTAGATGAATTAAGCTTAAAAGCAAAGCATTGGTGGAGGTTCCGAAGCGCCTGCGAGGTAGGCCACCCATCCGCTCCGCAACGCACCGCTGTGGAGACGGTGGCCTACCTTGCGCCTGCCGTCTTCACAGTGGCGAGGTAGGCCACCGGCTCCACAGCGGTGCGTTGCGGGGCGGATGGGTGGCCTACCTCGCAGGCGCTCCAGTCCGCAAGACCAACGCAGAGGGGGCCTTTGCAGCGTGACGCACCTGCAGGGGCTGGCGGCCTTCGGCCAGGCCTTGGGCCAGGCCCGGCTGCAGGTGTCCTCGTCGGGCGAGGTGCACTGCCGCTGCCCCGTGGCGCTGCGGGCGGCGTGCGCGCTGGCGGCCGGCACCTACACGTGCGACTTCGGCCTGGGGGCGGCGCCGCCAGTCAACCTCACCACGGCAGCCCCCTCGCAGCGCCTGTACGAGGTTGGTCGTGCACTGTTAATCACCGGCCAACAGTGTGTACTACACTGTGGCCGATCTATATTCCGATTTACGTCGATAGATGACCGGCCACCGGCCCGAGCCAACCCTCCTGAGCCAGGACGACTGGGCCGGCGCCTCCGTCCACGCCGACGGTGACATGGAGGGAGCCGAGACGCAGATGGTGCTGAGGATACGGCTGCGCCATCGCGGCTTTAGACTCGGCTGCGTCTTCTTCGCCGCGTTCTCCGGTGGGCCATCATTCAGCCGCCCGCCTGACGATTCGTTTCGTCTCCATCGTGCTCATGGGGTTGTGGATGTTCTGGCGCAGGCGTGTGCGTGTGCTGCGTGGCGACGCTGCTCGCGGCCGCACCCCGCTTCCCGGCACGGCGCTGGCCTCCCTCAACCTGGTCATGACCGCCGTGGCGCTCATCAGCCTCCAGGCCGCGCTGCCCCCCGCCGTCCACGCCACGGCGCCTCAGGGTGGTGGGTGCACGAGCTGTCTCTCTCGAACCGCTACGGTACAAACAGAGTGCAGCCCTCTCACTGCCCTTCGTTTTCGTTCCAGTGGCGTGCTTGTCGGCGGCGATGGTGCTGGCCGCCGCCGGTCTCTTGCTGCCCACTGTGGCGGGCGCCGCGGACTGCAGCAGGGGCAAGCCGCCCGCGCTGCCGTGGTGCCTGGCCAGGGTCATGCGGAGCGACGCCTTCGCCAGGATGCTGCTGTGTCGGCCCACCCCGCCGGAGAGGCCCAGAGTGGGTGACTCGTGTAGTATGGCAGTGCTGGAGGCTGATTCCGAGAGTCATTTACGTCGCTCTGTCTCTCTCGCACCCATGAGAGAGGCAGAGCGACGAGAGCGGGCATGCCGTGGCTCATCGCCGTCGTTGCCTTCCAGTGGCGGGAGTGTCCGGGCGGCGGCACCGAGCAGGTGCTGGAGATGCTCAACAAGCTGGACGAGGAGGAGAGGCGCAGGGACTGGATGATGCTGGCCACGGCGCTGGAGAAGCTGTGCGCCGTCCTCTGCCTGGCGCTGGCCTCGGCCGCCATCGCGCCCAGCCTGGCCTAGCACGCCCAGCACGCCTTGCACCAGGAGCCCGCCTGGAGACTGATTGCCAGAGTCGTCCAAATTTGCATATTGAAAATATTTAGGTAAAGGAGGTCTGTGATATTATTTTAGTGTTTGATCTTAAGAGAGCAGCTGACTCTTTTGAAGAAGAAAAAAATCTAACAGATAATGAATAATATTTTTCATCTGGTCACCCCTTTCAAAAACTGTTTCTCAAAACAAAAGTCCTTTAGTTGGAATCTTGGTGTATGATGACAAAAAATGAAACACGTTATAAAGGGGAACAAGCTTTTATTCATTTTTTAATGAAACATCTATGCAATTGAACCAAATTAAGTACATAATTAAATTTTGATGACAAATGTTGCTTAATTACAAATAATCATTTAATGATTTCTTTAGTGATCGCTTGCATATGGTACAAAGCTGCTACATTCTAACAGTTAGTGATTAACATAAACATTAAGTCAATGACAAAACCTTTGTTGTACAACAAGACAATCATTCAAAATTGATGAAAAGATGTTCTTCAAAAGAATAAAGGCATCACATATGGTAATTGTTAAGTCACTTCATGGCTCAAGCTAAGGTTTCCAAAAAGTTGTATCAAATACAGACAAATCAAAAAGCAGTCTAGGATTCAGGCACACCATACAGGCTTCCCTACTAGAACACTTCAAAAATACTTCAAATGTTGTGCTTGAGGAACATTTTGATCATGCATTGTATTTGATGTTCCGAGGTATCATTCTAAGGAGAAAGATGTCAAGTTATTTTTTCCCTCATAAGTCAGATTAGCATCCAACCTGTATTGTTCCTTAGAATTTTATCTCGGAATATAAGATATCGTCATGGAGTTGGTATCAGATCACAACAGAAGTATAGCAGATTTGGGAGATTTTCCTTAACTCTCTCACAAATGCGCTTCGTAATTGTAGGAACACCACCAAGGTACAAATAACGCAAATTAGGGCAGAAAAATGAAATCATAAGGGCAACACAATCACCCAAATAATACCCATACTGCAGATCCAACAATTGCAACTGTTTCAAATTGCGAGAACCAGACAACCATGACGTCAGTGCTAATCCTGTTACTCTCAATCGTCTCAGCCTAACAAAGCGGATTTCCTTTAAGCTTCTCATCATAGAAAAAGTACCCCAATTCAAGTTGCGGCAATCTCTGAGACTCACATGAACAAGGCGAGGTGCATCATACAATTTCACCATGGGTTTGTCACTTATCATGTACCCAGATAGATCAAAACCCACAAGCATTGAATGCTTCTTTTCAAAGAAATATTCTAAGTCGACATCTCTTACATATGAAGCTCTAGGTAGGGACAGCCAATTCAGAATTGGACACTGATCACATAAATCTCGGAGGTCATTTCCTTTAACATTGGTGGCATCATGTAACTCAAGAGTTGTCATCATAGAAAAATGGAAAAGATTGGGAATTGCACTTGTCAGGAGAGGTCCCTGAAGCCGAAGGTGCCGAAGTGTTTCACCACAACCTTCATGCAAACCATCAAGCAGCTCACTACTGTATCCATGGGCAGGTTCGTAACAATCTAACTCTACAGTACGTAGTTTTGAATGGTTAGTAATTATATCTTTGAACAAGCGAAGCAACTGAGTGTCACTGACAGTACCAGGGTGCCTAATGCGAATACATCGAATAGCAGGAGCATTAGATACAATATTACAAAACAGACTTAAATTGGGATTTTTCACGTCCCAGGTAAAGAAGGTATCCTTCCACAAAACTACATTATTAAGAATTACTGATCTAAACCTTGTGCATACAGTGCACAAATCCCGAATCAATTGAGTGGCATCACAATAAGAGAATATAAGTGCTAAAACCTCATCTGGTAAATCCAAAATGTGAGTTAATAAGGCATCAACGCTGTCTGTCTCTTCTGTTTGAGTAGTCTTGTCACATTGGTGGTGTAGTTGCTCTTGAAAGTTACAGGTAACAACACATTTTTTACCAAAATCCACAGCCAAAAAAGAAGCCATTTTGAGATAGGGAAAGGGAATGTAAACTGATTCAGAACCCCTCAAAAAATATTGTTTTAGAATAGAAGTCAATCACAGTCTGAATAAAGGCTTCTTTACAGAAATGTTATCCTCTTAAAAAAGGTGAGGATGCTTCTTGATTTCTTCCACTATGCCAGCTTCAATGGCTGGCAGAGACATTTTGTCGCATTCCAAATTGAAGCTCAAGTAGACGGGTTTACCCAACTTCTTCGACAGCCGAGAGCCGAGATTCATTGATGTCATGTTCAGAACATCTCCCATTAATTTTGTCTGAATAGGATCATGTTCATATGGTGTGGACATGGACAGCGCCAGATCCTCTAAGACAGGCTGAGACAGAGCTCCGACCCAAATAAACAGTCCCTTTTCAAGTTTCAAAGCTTTAACTACAACTCCCTGCTCGCAGGCTTTGAAGTGGAATCCATGGGACACCAACTTTGGTTCACAGTATTCAATCGACGCTACTTCCATTGTTCTGCATCAACCTGTAATAGAAATAGAAAAATTCGTCAAGTAAACGCAAAAGTAAATATGCATTGAATAATTCCGAAGTCATGCGAGAAGCAGAGGCTATTGCCCTACCCCACCAACTCAAATAAACAAAAACAAAGACAAAACAGAAGTGACTTCTCCGTACCGGTAACTACGTGTCTTGCGAGAAAACTTGACAGTTTAATGGAACACGTCAATCACAACTGATACGATAAGATCGTGGCAAAGCGTAAGACCACTACTATATCAAAAATCTCCCTTTTCTCACCATTTTCAAGTCGCCGTCAGTGCAGGCTTCTTTTCTTACCGTCTGCTATGCATGGGTACGTTCCACTTAATGGGGTCGGTCTCGGCGGTGCCATGGCGTTGTGCATTCGGGCGCTTCTGACCAGCCTGCAAATAGTGCCAAGCAAACGGACCAACGGCGCTTGCGCCAACAAGTGTTTGTTTCTGTGCAACGCTAGTGTTCAGTGCAGCAGGTGCATACAAAGAAAGACCGTTCGTTTTTCGTCGGTTGAAAGGAATTTAAAACTTTCTTCTCTCGAAATGCAGCTTTAAGTAATCGCAACCTTGAAGCCCAGTGTAATATCTACATTTATTCATCGTTCCAAATGTCATGGGACTTTGTACGAGACGGCATTTTGTTTTAACAATATGCATTTTGCAACTGGTAAGTTTGGCTTGCCAATTAGGCCCTAATGTTATGAATCACTACCGAAGCATTCGCTCACCACTCCTTTCAATTCTCTGCAGTTCTTAATTTCACCGATTTAGCCTTCTTTAAATTTTTACATTTTAAACTTGAAGGGCATCCATAATTTTATCTCCTGTATCTTTGACCGTTTGGAATGCCAAATGTTTAGAGGTTATCTAAACATACTATTTAAGTAGTCCTTTGTCTGATACTTCCTCGCTGTGTTTCTCATGAAAGCTTCGCTGTTTTCACTTCCCAATCATGTCCTAATCAAAATTGCTCCTAATTTTTCCAGCTCTGCACAGTGGAGAGACAGGTGTTCGATTTCCTGGGAACTCTGTGGGGTCCGATTTTAGCAAATTTTTTCCAAATAATATTTGTTATTTTTGGATTTTTTGGAACACATCAGTTTAGACCAAAATATGTCATTGCTGTAAGTATTCGAACTGAGTTTTCATTCAACTCAAAATTTTCACGAAGACTATAATTTTATGGCTTGTTTAACATTCCTTGCCATTCATATTAATTATAAATCTCTACTTTTGTGTTTTTAGTATTCAATATGGAGTGCCCTCTGGATTGGTTGGAATATTTTCATCATATGTTTCTACTTGAATGTCGGACTTGACAAGGTATATTTTTCTCGTTGGTTTTGTTGTTGCATAATTTTTATCAAAGTATAAACTCCAATTACCTCAATTAATTTTAAATTCTATCTAGACTGCTGGATATGTTCTCAACTGGAAGGACTCCGGAAGTATGAGTTGGTGGGCAGTGAATGGATTTGGTTGTCGGCCAGTACTATCAAATACTGCTGATCCATCAACTGACTTTATCGGACCGGACTCCGTGACTGGATGTCTTCTAAATTATGAATATGTTGAAGTTCTTCATGCTGCCATCCAAATTATTCTTTCTGTAAGTGTTTTCAATTCACTAATTTTCAATTGGAACATACTGCTTTGTTTTATACAAATTCCTGATTGATTTTTTATCTTTAAGGTTTTGGGAGGCTGTGGAGCGATTCATGTCCTAAGGATTTTGGTGGATGAAGACGACAGTTGTAAGTTTCACTTGATAAATTTTACTTAAGCCTATTGGTGCGGGTGTTAAATATGTTTAATATCTCCCACGCATTAAGGTTGCACACCCATAGCAGGTGGTTGGGTCTTTGTCTCTTCTGTTCTCTATCCTATTACATTGGATAAATTTGAAACTTGCATCATTTAACTTACAGCTCAATTTGTCACTGCATGTTTCTTATCGTATTTACAATTCTAAACCAGTCAGTGTGCACATTTCTACCTCAAATCAGAAATCATGATTCTTTTTGACCGTTCAAGATCCTAATTTGGTATTCCTTGCAGTTGATTTTATTGGTGGATTTGACTCACAAATGGTGTGGTAAGTTTGTTCAGAGCATGAACTTTATCAATTTGGTATTACAGAAGAGCACGTTCACTAGTCATTGAGTTTCCTTTCAGATCTTTATGCCATAATTTAGTATTTCGCATAACTGTAGGGAATGCATTAACTGTTCCTGAATCCGATGAAATTTAGTGCTGCTGTCACTCATTTTAGGGGTACTGCAGTGTTGCTTTCATAAATTTGATTGGTTTTGAAAAGATTTTATCTGTTGCCTCATGTAGGACTTCTGAGTTTCAGTTTAAAATAATGTCTTATCTATTATGCTTTGTTGTTGCAAAATGGGTATTATTTTGCATGTAGGCTGATGACAGGTTGTTTTTTTCTTTGTGCGTGTTTTATCATTACAGTATTTCTTATCATTATATTTTTAATTGTGCTCTTCACATTCTGCATTTCTAGTACTTTCTGCCAAATTTTTAAGTTCATCATGTTTTAAGTCTCACTTTGTTAAGGTGGAATAGGGGATGGGAAAGACATGTATTGAACTTTGAAGAACATAGATCATATTTCAGTTAGTGTTGACCATTGCATGATTGATTATCTTTATTTTCTAGTTTTTGTGAATGCCCCTGTTTTTGTCTTAATTTGTATTGCAAGGAAGTGAATTTAATAGTGCGTTTTGAGTATATTATTTGATTTTTCTACTATCTTCTGTTCAAAACATTATTTCAGCCTTGAACTTAAAAATTCCTGGACCACTGAACTACCTGAGAATGGCAAACTAATCTCACATTATGCAACTGCACTCATCTATGCATGTACTCTTTTCTCATTTCCCTTGGGACTGGCTGTCTTGGTTTCAGTTGATTTTCTTGGGGGCTTTGATACGAAAAGTCCGCAGCACTTGGCACTCCGGCCTACTTATGTCCGTGTGCCCACCAACAGCACCCAGTCATTCTTGCGGTCAAGTCAACTTCGCTTGGCGATGAATAGACAAGATTCCTTAGGTCAGCCAAGAGCTTACTCTCTACCTCGCAATGGTGACTCTATCCGAATGTGCCGCTCTGACATGTTTGTGAACAAAGCGGGTATCAGTGGTAGCAATGAACGGAAAAACTTCTCCCCTGATGATTCTAGAAGAATGCCACTTCATCAGCAGCGAAATTTAAAACCAAGACCCCTCTCAGTTCATGTATCAAGGTTTGACTGATTTTCACCCTCTCTTTCTTGTAATAATTTGTAGAATTTTGAACTGTTGGGCTAAGTTGACTATCTCAAAGAATTTGGGGGTATTAACTCTCAAAGTTGTTACTTATGTGCCATAACTGTCCATCTTTGGATGGTGCGTGCCATTTTCTTAGTATTTGTCATCCTTTTCCTCTATTTCCAATGGGACCAGAGACACTAACTAAGACTACATTGTAAGTTCCTCTCAATAGTTTTACCCCATCTTTGGGCTCCTTATTTAACAGTATGGTCACTGAAAGAATGAATTCAAAACAAGGTGGACATCATGGGTAAAGAAGAAAACAAGAGCTGATCAGCATAAACAGCAAGGAAAATCATTAGTGCTAAATCGAGTAATTGACCCTATCAACTTTAAAGTTAAAGTTGATTTTTAGTATCCTTTATTATCATTTTCAATGTCTTCTGACATCAATTCATGATTGTATGTATTTTTAACTTTAGTGTGTGATGCTAGTGTATCTTATCTTAAATTATTATTTCTGCTCAATTCAATTCATCCTAAGTTTTAAAAAATGCAATTTGCCATGTATTTTGCTAGTTCTCTTTATGTTCTTTATGTACAAAGTGAGCCTAGTGAGTTATTCCAAGACTGACCCAATTTCACGTTCATCATCTCTACTGTCTAACTAATTTGGACACATTTTAAGGAACATATCCCATTGTTAGTATAATGAATATTTTCAGGTACTGACTTGGTTCCATCACGAGGAGTGTCAATAGCCATTCATACAGAACTGAAACCCAAGTAAATAAGATCAAATTTACGTTAATATTTTTGCTGAATTCTGTTAATTCTTAGTCATTTGTATTTTTAAATGATCGCTGATTGGTCTTGTAACTGCTGTTTTACTTAGAGCCCTCAAAGCCAGCTCATCTAAGCTCCTTATCATAATTAACTGGTTTAGTGGCAAATTTTCCCTGGGTTTCAACTTTGCAGTTGAGTTTTCAATGTTATTAACATTTGCATGTCTTTCTTACTTCATTTATGCTTTGTCTCTTGACTGTTTGTAAATTTTCTTGTCTTTAAAAATTCCAGACATGTGATTTATGGTTTACTGTTTTTATTACTATCTTAGAGTAGGCATCATCACATATTCCTCTCCTAAAGTCTTTGGTAGATTTAATGTAAAATTCTTGTGGCTTTGTACTTAACTTTCTAATGGGAGCTACTTTCAGACAGCTGATTTCAAATGATCTTGTGGTGACTACGTAACATCAACCAGACTTTGTGATTCCCAGTGACATGTGCAATGCACGTTGTAATTTACTTGTTCTTTGCGTGAAATTGTACCACTGCCTACACAAGCCTGTAGTAGAATGATAAGTCTGTTTTTTTGTATGATTAGTTGTAATTTACTCTTTCAGGGTGTTCCCCTTGTAGCACACGTTTTCATTGCCTCATGTACGGTTAAGTGTTTTTTATCAGGACTTAGACTTTGCATTGAGGGATCAAGAGCGATGTAGTGCTGTACTGATTTTATCTATTTTTTCTTATTTGTTTTAATTTATGTATTTCTTGCACAAACACTCATGTTTGCCCTCAACTCTTGCCATTTATCTAAACCACGAACTGGCTTTGATAGTGATTAGATGAGTCATCTTGATGCAAAATGGTTCACTATTAGCCATTTCCTATCTGGGCTGGTGAAGAGAGAGAGAGAGCATGTGTAAGTTATTTATTTTATTTTTTGAATTGAATCTTAATCAGTTGTAGAAGTTTCACATTCATTATTCTAACAATAATCCTATGGTGCTAATTTGTTAGTTTGTTAATTTGCCTGTGATACTGATATCATGTTTGGTTGTTTTCACGGATTTTAAAAGTTTTTATTATTTGAGTCAGTGCTGTCAATCTTGGATTTTCCTATGTATAATGAAACCTTGTAAAGAGTTTACGAAGACAAATACAAGATGTGAAATCTAACATCGCTGTTTCTGTTATTTCTAGTCACTATTCATGATCACCGCACCAGTTCAAAGCAGAGCCAATATAATTTTGAGCACTGCCTATGTTTACACTTCTGATAAAGTTTGGTTGTGGTTAGGATTGAAACAATCTTCTTCCCACTTATTTCATCTATTTCACTTACTCTCGGTGGTTTGTTTCTATGCAGTGCTGCTCTTGCATGGTTACTTGGATATTTAACAGTCTCATTTGCATGCTAAACCTTCGCATGGGTTTTTCCACCAAATCCTGAGTTTTTGTAAATGAACTCACATTTGTTTATGTTTGGTGAATTTTCATCCTAATCTTAATCTTAGGCCCCCACACTTAAGCTTGATTTTCATTCTGTGCGAGTGCTTCCAGATTCAGAGGAATAAGATCTGAATAAGCACTGTTTCAATTAGAATTTTAAAAGTAATTATTGACATCATACTGAAATTCTCAAAATTTGGGATTCAAGGAAACAAATTCAAATGCCAACAAAAAATTTACTTTTGTTTGTTTTCTGACTTGACTTTTATTTTCTGCAGCATCAAGTAAGAAAGGTGGTGCTGCAGTTCGTCCAGCTTCGTTGTACTCAATTGAGTACACACCTCATCCTCATGAAACCGATCGGAATGATGAGCAGTTCACAGAGGAGGATGAAGACGAGAGCTTGGATGGCAACCCGAGAAGCCATGGAACATTACCAGGTACATAAATATATTCATAATTTTTTGAAGAATTCGAAGAAATGAGTTTTGCAATAAATGTATTCTTTGCTTAGGTGGTGCAAGACTACCAGGGCCTCAACTTTCTCCTCGGCCCATGACACCAAGGCGTGTCAAGAGGCGTAGTGTCAACTCTAGGGGCACATCAGGCTTTAGCAGTGGAGGCACCTTGAGGGGAGCTTCTTCTCACAGCCAGCATCCACCAACTTTACAGAGAAGGCAAGGTGGGGGTGGCACATCTGCAAGATCTTCATTAAGGTCATCAGGCAGGAAAAACAGATCTCAACCTCAGCATCAGAACCCAGTGACAAGACTTCTCATTCAGCAGCAGCAGCAACAGCTTCACCATCACCTGCCACCTCAACTTCCTCCACAGCTGCCCCACCAACTACCTCCACAATTACCACCTCAACTGCCACCGCAGCTACCCCCATCTCACAGCATGGGAAGATTAGGTGAGTAGTCAATTTCCCTTGTTCATTTTATGATAATGCAATGTATTTCTTTTTGTACTAACACTCAGTTTTTCATTCAGCAATTCCATCGTATTCTGGTGGCCTTGGAGATTCTACCACTTCTAATGAATCTAGACCTGGATTTGTGGAGTCAACATCCCACACAGATTTGTTAATATCACAAGAGAATCCCCCATCCAGTGCTATGATTATGGGCACCAACAACTGGAGAAAATCGGGACATGTGAACCCTCTTTATCAGCAGAGCTCTAATCAATCTCTGGCTAATCATGATGATGATGAAGATGACACATATAACCGACCTCCGTCTGCTCGGTCGAGTTACTCCAACTATCATGGAGCTCGTGCTCTTGGTCACCTCAGCCCCTCCAACAACTATGGGCAGGCAACTGCTCAGGTGCCTGTCGTCAACTCCTACCGACGCAGTCAAAATAGCGGAAGACAATCTTTAAGAAATGCTGCTTTCTTAAATAGTGGACCTCCAGCGTACCGCTCCCAAGGAAATCTAGACTCAGAAACAGTCATATGACAGTAGGGAGAACACTCGGGTACAGTCAGAAAAGTGGGAACAGCAGGGGCATTTGTTTTGTTTCCCTCAATCACAGTTTAATGGTGACTATATGTGTGAAGAGTTATGGTAAATTACAGTTGATATCAAAATGAATTACAATCTTGAAGTTTGTTGTCATGATCACATTTAAAAATTTAGACTTGCACCTTGTATTGGTGAATGACATTCGTATCCCGTCTTTTTCACTGAACCCGTGGTGTTCTCTAGCATTGTTCATCTAAGTCAAGGGTACACACCCTAATTGAGGAACTATGCACCATTTGCTGATAGGAGGCATTTTTCATGGAAATTGAGCTTTTCTTATAAGCATATTGCTTTTACTTTTCTTAACGGTGAATTAAAAGTTTTGAAAGTGTACGGAAGAAATGTTAGTATCATGGAAGAAAATTTTAAGATATGACTGATCCTCTGAATGAACTGAAGTATGTAACCTTCAAGTCAATATAGCACTTTTATGAGATTTGTAATTTATTTGTATAAAAGATGTTGTTTTCCTTGCCTCATAATTATATCTTAGCTTCTTTAATCAACATGAACTTGTTCTTTGAATTTGCAGTTTGCAAATGAGACTCTTTGACACAATGTGTCACATGTATTTTGATCAATTTAACTATAGTTGCGTTCTAAAAGCAAAAATGGAATTAATGTCTATATATGACAGTATTGTATTTTTAATTTCACTTAAAAATCAAACAAACATACAAAAAAAATACTGTATCTGTGTTTTCATTTTGTTTGTCAAATGTTGTCGGTGAATAGTTAAGGAAACTGATCTCGCTAGCTTATGGTATATTTGTTGCCATAAGCCATCTTAGTCATAGATCTACAAATTATTCTAGGTACCTATTGACTGAGTGATTCATAGTTTATCACTGCCGTGGGAAGGACTTGCACATGGCAGCAATTGGGGATTGGTTTTTGTTGACTGTGGGCCCTAACCACAAGTGTTGGAGCCGTTCTCCAATCTCTTTCATGTGCAGCCCAACCCACTAACTTTTTATGCATCAATCAAATTATGTTGGCTTTAATGTGTAGAGCATGACAGTATTTTTACATATTACATTTACCATGTGTCTTGAAATCAGGTATAGATTTTAATTGCTGTTATTTTATTAATTTGATGTTTTCTCTGTAATATAGTGTAAAGATTTTATTACCAGATTTCTTGCCTTATATGCATTACTAAATCCCACCCTATGTAAACTGAAAGCACCTTTTGATCAGCATCACTATCTATGCTTTCCAGCTTTTCCACACTACCTGTTCTTCAAACTCTTAGCTAATGCTCTACTTGGATTTTGGTGATTTAATAAAGATCTGATATGGGCAGTGTGATATTGTGTATGTTTAGATCAACATTTCATACTGTATGGAGGGATAGGTGTGCAATGTGGTTTGGAAGAAATCTTTAGTTAGCCAATTGTAGCACTGAATTTTACATGTAACATCCACTGTGATATGTTGGAATAAATAGTTCATACATAAACTTCAGTATTAGGATTTATTGCCCCATTTACTTTACAGACAATGAAACATTATAATTAAAACTTCGATAAAAATAGTGTTACTAACACATAACTTATTTCATAAAATACAAAATTCTTACATAACAAAATGATTAAGCAATAATAAAATCATGCAGTAGAAGGAGAGTCACATGTCAAATCCATGTCGCAGGATCCCTGTGAACCATTGTACAGCTGCGAGCCATTAACTTCTGAGTACGTATTTGAAGGAGAAGGAAGAGGCACCTGTAACAAGAAGCAGCCAGGATAAATGAAAGGCCCTATTAATACGCATAGAAATAGAACTAGAAAATCATTCGAACATCCACAGAGTCTTGACAGTGCCCCCTAATCAGTGGGGAGGACCTCACCTTAGCTGCTTCCTTCAGGGCAGCAATTGATGGGCTGGCGAATGCAGAGTTATCGCCAAAAGCGGCAGAAGCATCGCCGAAAGAGAGGACGGGAGATTCTAACGGCGATTGCGAGTAGATGGTCGAGAGGCTGGTGGTGGATACTACCGAAGGCCGGTGTCCCTTGTGGGGGAGGAACTCTGGAGAGACTGCGATCTCTGGTGTCGCATCGGACTCTGCTCCTTGCGCCTCACGCTGGTCCTCGTCCAGTCGCTTGGGCGTCGAGGTGTCCTTCAGCGCTCCTCGCTCGTCGTCCTCGGAGCGTGGCGCGGTCACCGCCGCGACCGCCGCGTAACTCACCGACTGAGTCTGGGGGACGCTCACGGGCTCGGCGTCGGCCTTCGAGATCTGGAGGTCCTTGAAGTCCTTGAGGTCGGCGGGGGTGGGGGCCTCCGCGCGCTGCGTCGTCGTGGCGGCCTTGGGCTGCTCCGGCACCGGGGAGTTGGGGAGCGACGGCTCCCCCACGGACCCCGCGCCCGACGAGGACGTCATGGAGTCGTCCGCGCCGTTGGCGAGCATCGCGTTGAGCTTCTTGCGCTGCAGCTTGCCGCTCGCAGTCCTGGGGAACGGCGACGTCACGAACACGATGCCGCCGCGGAGTTGCTTGTGCGGGGCCACCTTGCCTGCAACAGCGAGCGCGTTAGTGTCAGGCCGCGGCGGCGGGGCGGGGCGTGGTTCGGCGGGAGAGGGAACTACCTTGGATGAACTCCTGCAGGTCCTCGGCCGCGACGTGGTGGCCCTCCGCCAGCATCACCAGCGCCCTGGGGGCGTCGCCGTACTCGTGGGGCACGCCGACGACGGCCGCCTCGCTCACGGCGGGGTGGGTGATGAGCAGCGCCTCCAGCTCCGAGGGGGACACCTGGCCAACAGACTCGGTCAAACACCAAGGAACGTCTTCCCGCCACCGGTCAGGCCAGTCAGGCCCTGCGACTTACCTGGTGGCCGTTGTACTTGAGCACGTCCTTGAGCCTCTCCACCACGTAGTAGTAGCCGTCCTCGTCTACGAAGCCCAGGTCTCCGGACCGCAGCCAGCCCTCGGCGTCGAAGGCCTCCGAGGTGGCGTCCGCGTTGTTAAGATAACCCCTCATCACCATGGACCCTTTGAAGCATAGCTCACCGCGCGATCCCATGGGCAGCGTCTTGCCAGTATCTGTGTCCACGACCTAAAAAGAAAATGAAACAAAAAATTGAGGGGCATTCAAGCAAGATATAACCGTGTTCACTCACAGGGCCTTGTTAATTCGAGTTACTGAAGTTAACTCACCTTGCACTCCATGGTGCTGACCAGCGTCCCCGGAGAGCCGGGCTTGTCGGCGCGCACCTCGCCGCAGAACGTGGTGAAGGTGGTCTCCGTCATGCCGTACGAGTGGAACAACTTGACGTGGGGCAGGCGCGTCTGGAGAGCACTCTGCACCAGCGGCGAGATCTGCGCCGCCCGGACCAGAGGCGCTGCAGAGTCTTGAGCTTGGCCAGCTCGTCAACGGGGTGCTTGCTGAACGAGACGAGTAGCGAGGACACCACGTGCAGCACCTGTCGATTAAAACAGCCCGAAAATAAATTGATTTGGAATAAAGGCTACCAGTGAGAGTATATTTTCGGAATCAGTCCAGTGTTACCGTGATTTTGTGCTTCTCCACGGCGTCCAGCAGTCCCGCCATGGTGAAGCGGCCGAGCGCCACCACGGGGACACCGGCGCACAGAGCCATCAGCATGAGCAGGCCGCCGAAGGCGTGGAAGTAGGGCGACACGCCGCCGACCACGTCGTCTGGCTGGATGAACTTGTCCCTGCAAACACAATGCCACAGCGGCGATGAGCTTGGCCACGCCCACATTGATTGAAACGGCCATTCGGCGACACTGCTTACCCGAGGCTCAGGGCGGCCAGCAGGTTGTCGTGGGTGATCATGACCCCCTTGGGCATGCCCGTGGAGCCGCTCGAGGGCAGCAGCAAGGCGACGGCCGACCCGCCCTGCGGCTGGGGGAGCCCGTCCACGGCGTGCACCAGGAACTTCTGCATCGGGGAAGTCCCGGACGACGGCGAGCTGTCACTGAAAAAGACATTAGTCAATCGGAACATCTTTAGCGGAGGGCAGGCAGACCATCGTGCAAGAAATTGCAGCTAACCCGTAGACAGCGCCCAGCGAGGTGGGCGTCGGTGGCGGCGCGTTGGGGGTCACGGCCACACCGCGGCCGGGCGCCACGTCCATCACGGACAGCACCTGCACGTCGGGGACGCACGTCGGCCCCGTGGGGGTCGTCGCGTCAGCCGCGTCCGGGGCGGAGGCAGCGCCGCTCGGCGAACAGGGCACGGACGACGCCGACCTGCGCAAGTTCATCAAGTGACAGTGTGTCTCGCACCTATGCGGGACGCTCCATGAGTGCGACAGGGACAGAGCGACGAAACCGGCTCTCGAAATCTGTCCACAGCTATAGAATCCTTACTTGGCGGGGCTGACGAGCATCTGCTCCAAGGGGGCGATGCCGGTGGGGAGGTCCTTGGCCTTGGCGTCCTGGCCGTCCACGCTGCCCCACACCAGCACGCTGCTCACGCTCGACGAGCCCTTCAGGACGGCGGCCACGCCGGGCTGGTTGGACACGGCCTTGGACACCAGCGCCACCGTCGGCAGCGAGATGGACACGGCGTGCTGGACCTCGCCTAACAAGATGGCACGGTAAAAAACGTAAGCCGAACAAACCTGCAGACTGGTTCCAAACACTTCGGCTGCTCGCCCCGCGAGTGCGAGAGAGACAGTGACGAGCAGTGTACCCACGTGGAGTGCTGCGGGGGTCGATGAGGTGCGCGGTGGCACCGGTCTGCAGCACGCCGAGGAGCACCCAGGGGTAGTGCACGCTGTTCTCCGCGATGACGAGCGCCACCTCGCCCGCGCGAAGGCCCCTAGCCGTCAGCCCGGCGGCCAGGGCGGCGGCGCGCTCCAGGACGGCGTCGAACGACACCGTCTCGCCCGTCACCGCGTCCACCTGCAGCCACACCGCGCGTCAGAACCCCAACACTGTTCCTCTTGCGTCCAAGCGGAGCGCCGCGTGAGTGCGAGAGAGACAGCGCGACGGAAGCACCGTTCGCCGAATAACAAACACAAACAAACACATGGCGCCACTCACCTGGGCCACCTTGCTGCCGTGGTCCTTGACGCGCGCCGCGACGTACTCGTGCAGGGTGCAGTGCGTCACCTCCACGGAGGGGACCTTGTTCTTGGCCTGGCTGTTCCCCATGCTGGCGAGTTGGAGTCAAATGCGACGCGTTGTGGCACTGGGGTGGCTGACGGCGCGCTGCAGAGCCTGGCAGAGCCTTTCCAGTGGCGTGGACGGGACGCTGGGTCAACACGGTGGACGCGATGTCACTGCACTGCGGTCCCGGCGGTCCCGGCTGGCTGACCTTTGGTGACTCGGTACGCTCACGCTGCGCTGACGCTCCGCACCCGGCCACGGACTGACTGACCGGTGACCGCCACTGGCTGCGTGAGGCTGCGCTGCACCGGCCGCTTCGGACGCCGCCGCCCTGCCGACGCCGATGGGCCGATTCCCTCCGCGGCTGCGTCCGAGCCGCCGTCTGTTTTGGTGGCATCGCTCTCCGACGCGCCGGCCTCGAAGCAAGCGCGCGACGAGGACGGCGTGCTTCTCGGACGCGGCCCCAACGAGCCGAAACACGGTCGAGATCTCGGGGACGCCGTCTCGGTCACGTGGGGTCAACGACTTGCCGCCATTGGCTGCCGTTGGCGCTCGAAACTGGGAGGCACTCGAACGAGCAAGGGCGGGAAAGGCAGGCGAAGTCGTCTGCAGGCGAGGGGAGGGGTGGAGAGGGAAAGAAGAGAGAAGTTTCAAGTAAGTGTGCTGTTAACCGTTCGCCGCGTCCGCCGCCGCGGCCCGCGGAAGGCACGACCGCGTAAACGGCACGCAGGTGACCAGGTGTGAGGCTGGCCGAATTAGCGCTCAACTAGTCCCAGGTGTGCAGTGCTCGCGCGCACGCACACACCTTCACACACAGAGCCGCTTCACGACCGCAGGACTTTGGAAGAGATACTGGCTGCTTGCCATTTGCACGTCCTCCAAGTGCACCCCGCGGGCCTGGAGGCTTGGATGCTGGAGTGGCAAGGAGAAAGTGACCGCGACGACAGCCTCTTTGGGGGTCTTGTGCGCGGCGAGGCGAGCGGCACGGCGTGAGGCACGGCGATACGCGGGGCTCGAAGTCCGGCACCCTGGCTGCCCCTGGCCGCCCTGCCACTGTATCGCCCCATCATCGCCCCGCCCCGCCCGCCGACCTTTCCCTTGACGGGCCGCGGGGCCGTTGGCCGCACTAGCGGCAGACTCATTCCGAGAGTGGTCGTTTCGTCACTCTGTCTCTCTCGCACTCGTGGGCCGTCCCGCACGGGTGCGAGAGAGACAGCGCCGAAAACGACCCACGGTATCAGTCTGCTGCGCGTTGGGTGGCCCACCCGCCAGGCGCGCCGCAGCGACGGCGGCCTTCCGGTTGGCGATCGCAGATCCAGAGTGGATCCAGAAGAGAGTGAGAGAGAGAGGGGAGCGGGAGGACCGTGTCCGCGCCACGGCAGCCAGCGCCCCTAAGGCACAAACGCCTTGCGGTTTCCAAGGCGTCACAAAAGCGCGTCTTAACTAACGTCGAACCAAACTGAGCGGGGTAAGATTTCCATTAATGCCTCGTCCGTTCGACCATGGCTCGACCGCCACCCCCGCTCCAAAACATCGCGTCCTCCTCGCGCCCCCGTGACCCTCATCCTCCCGAACGACGTGTCCGCCCCGCCCCTCCCCCAGCTAATCCCTCCCCGCCAACCCCTTCTCGATTCCGGCACCGCCGGCACCGCCGCCACCGCCTCCGTGGCGAAATGTCACTCCGGGTTGGGATTCGGTTCGAGCCGGGAACAAGAGGAGCGTCACGAAATGCGAAATCTTGCCGCCCCGGCGTCGGATGGCCGTCGGATGGCCCTCCGGGGACCGCGCCGCGGCGGCCCGGTGCCGCCCTGGAGACTGATTCCGAGAGTCGTTTCCGTCTCTCTCGCACCTATAGGGGACGCCCCGTGAGAGCGAGAGAGACAGAGCGACGAAAACGAGTCTCGGAATCAGTCTGCTGGAGGCCCTGGAGGCCCTGGAGGACGCCCTCGTCGCGGCGCCTCATTGGGGCCGGCCCGTTGTGAATGCAGCCATTGTGTCTCGCTGTGGCCCCGCCGGGGCCCCAACACCGAGGCCCCACCGAGGAGCCCCCTGCCTTATCTTTTCACTGCCGCGGTACCTTCAGCAGGCTGACTCTGAGAATCGTGTTCGTCGCTGTGTCTCTTTCGCGCCTGTACGGGACTTCCCATGAGAGCGAGAGAGACAGAGCGACGAAAACGACTCTCGCAATCAGTCTGCAGAGCCCCGCGAACCACCACGACGAAGTCTACGAAAACGGCGCCCAAAGCCAAGCCCGTTTCGCTAGGCGTCCCGCGGTATCTCGAACCGCCCAAATAACACCCCTCCCCCTTCCTCACCTTGACTTCCCTTCCGCGCAGAAAAGAGAAAAATCATTTCTTTTGAGCCGCGCCGGCATTGGCAGAGTCGCTGTTAATTACCCCGGGGAGTCGACGCGCGAAGGGTGAGAGAGAACGAGAGAGACAGAGAGGAAGAGAGGCAGGTTCGAGGGGAGCGGGGAGACCGAGTGCGAAAACGGGCGCGGGAAGTATGAAAAATTCGACCAATATCCTGACAAGACATCTTGATTGAGTGCCTCGTCTCGTCTGGGGAAGTTGGCAAAGTATTAAGAGCGTCACCTGGGCATAAGTAAGCAATCCACCACCTCCGTCAACATGTCTCTGTCGCTCTCACTCACGGGGGCGACCCTTAGGGGTGCGACAGAGACAGGATGAGGCGATTCTTCGGAAACGCTCGGCTAGGCCTGTTTCTCAACCGCAGTGCCGATGGCTTGCTCATGGCTTGCCGAAGGCACGGAGGCACCCTAATGAGCGGGAGCGAGAGAGAGGGACAGAGAAAGAGAGAGAGAGCGACCCTGTGGCTCGCCTGGCTCCGCCGGGGTGGAAGGGAGCAGGGAAATTATTCGAAGCGAACAAAGAGGAGCTTCGCGTTGCTTCGCGCTGCTTCGCGCGTCGGAGGCACGGAATAAATGGCAGCGAGACAGAACTAGTGGCGAACAAAACACCGAGTTATGAAGATTACAGAGGGCGAAAGGGGGAGGGGGTGGAGTTCCAGAGTACCACTTCTCTTTGGCCACGCTTTCTCGATGCCGTATATTAATTGACTCGCCCTTCTCCGTGACCTCGCGGCCTCGCATCAAAGTGGCGCGACGCGTATCGTTTATCCAGTGGTGCGGATGGGGCAAAGGCAAAGTGCTTCCCCCTCCCCCTCCCCCGCCCCGGGGGCCTCGCCGCCAGCGCCGCCAGCGCCCTCTCAAGGAGCCCTTCTGCGACGTTGCAGAGTTTAACTTGTAGTTTGTTGCCTTCCGGATGATTTGCTTGCATTTTGTGCACCGCCTAAAGCGACCGCGGCGCATATATCGCGTTGCCCCCTAGCCCCCATTCCCCTTCCCGCCCCCGAACTGTAGACTGATTCCGAGATCCGTTTTCGTCGCTCGCACCTACACGGGACGCCCCGTGAGTGCGAGGGAGACAAATGCGACGAAAACGACTCTCGGAAACCAGTCTGCTGGCCCAGGAATTTATGACGGAACTTGCCTAGCGCAGTGTGTGGCGCTCTTTCTGAACTCGAGTCCATCCAGCAACCGAAATGGAATGGAGTCCGCAGAAAGTAAGTCACGTCGAGAGAGAGAGAGAGAGAGAGAGAGAGAGAGGTCCCCGGGGCGTTCGGGACGCTCGCAGTGTTATTGGGTGTCGGTTTACCGGACGTGCCTGCCCGGCGGCCATATGCGTCGCCGCGTCGCTCCAGGACAGTGCTCGGAAAATAGTGCGGCCGGGTTAAGTTTTCATGGCCGATTCGTAGGCGTAACTCTGTCTCTCTCTCTCTCCCCCCACCCCGGGGACGAACGCCAGTACGCCAGTTGGCAATTTGGCCGCGAGCGTTCCGCGAATCCGCGACCGAGTCAGGTGCAGGGCGTGCCACGGCGTGCCACGCGCGGGGCGAGCGAATTGCGTCGAAGGTGTCCCGTCCCGTCCCCTCGGCGCGAAACGCGAAACTTTCCCGCGGCTTGAGTCAAGTTGGCTGCAACTTTCCGGGTCCCGGTCCCACATCCCCTAATAAGTCTGAGATAACCTCGCGCCTCCGACGCGTCTCATGCAAATCCCGATCCAATAAAGCCTCGCCGCAGCCTTGCCGCCGCCTCCGACTCGCCCCGTGCCGTGCCGTGCCGTCCGTCTTCCTTTCCGAATGAGTGAGCGCGGCGCGGCGCGCACCTCGGTACAGGTGGAACTCTCCACCACACCGCAAAATCGCACCAACACTGACAGTCCTGGACGCGGTGACGGCCACCATCCCAGAATTTCCAGCAAGCACCCGAAGAGCACGAAAGCAACAACACAGACGGCAGCACGCTAACTTCACAAAACATTCTGCTAGCTCCAAATCCGCTTCTGCGTTTCCCGACGTCCTCGCCGAAGTGCTCCAGTCACAGTCACCTGATTCCGGAGGGTTGTTTCGTCGCCTGTCCGTCTCATCTCGCACTCCCAGGATGCCGATGAGTGCGAGAGAGACAGCGACGAGACCATTCTTCGGCATCCGGCGGCGGCGGCAGCCAGACGAAACGAAAGCGGGGTGGAGATGGAATGGAGGCACGGCCCCAGGCCAGGATTCATCTGCGACGCGTCGATCGGGACACGCACGACCAACGCGAACAACCACGCAGGTGACACGACGGGGTCGCGCTGTCTCTCTCGCACCAACAAGGACCGCCCCACGAGTGCGAGAGAGACAGAGACAGCGCGGAATCGGTCTGCAGGAGGCTGGCAACAAACACGCCGCGCCGCCACCGCGCCGGATACACTGGGATACACACGCTGCGCCACGCCGGGGGGCTGCCTCCGAGTGGAGCGGCGGGCCCCTCTCCCTCCCACCCCTGCGCGCCGCACTGCGAGTGCGAGAGACCCGCCGCTCGGACGCAGCCCGCTGAGGTGGGGGTGCGTCGCTGGGCAGTCGCTGGGGTGGCGGTGCTGGCGGCGTGGCGTCCTTCCCTCCCTCCGAGCCGAGCGAGCCGTCCCTCCCCAGTGGCACGCAGACCGTCGCACGCGGAGGACACACTGCTTCGTTGCTCTTCGGTTCGCGCGGCGCCGGCGCGCTTCGCGTCGTGGTTCTCGTCGTCCTCCATGGCGCCATGGGCCACCCCGGCCCGGCCGCGGGGGCGGGTGTCATCGCGGTGCTCGGCTGGACGCCGACCAGTCCGTTAAGCACCAGGGCGTTGTGTGGTCCGTGTTTGTGAGTGTTTCTGGATACTCAGCGCGGAGGCCGGCGGCAGTGCTGCACCAGCACAGGATTACCAATGGGCTTTTGAGGTGCGTCGAGTCAGTGTTTGCGTTGCGCTGCGTGGGCCGCCGTCTCGGCGAAACGCTCCCGAATACGCGGGTAAACAAGGCGGGGCGGAATTGGCGCGCTTTGCCCGCCAGGTCCACCAACGCGTGCAACTTGAACAGCTCAATTTGATAATGGTTGATGGCGTCCTGGGGAAGTCCGCCACCGCTACCACCAGTGGGCTGTCGGGGACTGATTGGCTGAGCCCTCTAGCCAGGGCTTAAGTGCTGTCACACTGCAAACTTGAAGTGACATTAGGTTGGCACTGGAATCTCGAAACCACAAATGTAAATATTTTAAGGCAGGGTTGGCAAACATTTCGAACAGCTCTGTGGCCAAAACTGTATAGACGCGTCCATAGTCGCTAAACGGGACTTGAACCGAACATGCGACCCCACCAATGGATTCCTCGTTAGGAGAGCAATCCGTTGGTGGGGTCACACGTTGGGTTCGAGTCCCATTCAACCCGTCCGGAATTTTGACCGCCTCCACCGGTCTCCTGGCCCAGTGTGCAACTCGGCGGACCATGTCTAACTGTTCCCTGCCGACGCGACGATTTGCCGATATCCGTCGGCCCCGGTCGGGCCCCGGTCGGGGCCCGCCTTTCAGTCAGAGTGAAATGGGGCAGCGGCTGCAGCGCTTCTAGTGCAAAGCAAACAGTCAAAGCGGTCGCCGAGTTGTTTTCCCGGCTGCGTCTCCGCGAAGCTCGGCGGAGCGCGCCGCCCCGCAGTCTCTCTGTCTCTCTCGCACCCACGCAACGCCCCACGAGCGCGACAGAGGCAGAACCAGGCGGCGGAGGCCGCAGACAGAGAGTCTCCCCAGGACGGCGAAGTGAGTGGTCCCCGGCCTTTCCTGCGTCTCCCGCGGCCACGGAGACGGTCTGCATGGCTCCGCGACGCGACGCGCACAGCGAATTGCCCCGCAGCACCTGTTGTGTTTCTGCTGGTTTATTTTGCGTGCCGTTCGTTTGATGTGCGTGGCCCGAGCAGACCCGACCGCCGCCACCGGCTGCGGCAGGCTGCGGCGCATGGACCAAACGCCGTACCCCCTCCCCCTCCCCCCAGTGGAAGGACGTCCGCCGCGGCCGCGCTGCCGCGGGGCTCGCCGAAGCGTGACGTCTGGGGTCCAAACAGAGTAGTATTCCGAACGGAGCTGATGGGTTGGCGGCATTGCACAGCATTGTCGATCCGTCTAGCTGGTTTTATGTCCCCGATCCATCTCGTCTCGTCCGGCCATCTGGCCACCACCACCCACCAGCCGCCGGACCGTGCGCCAGCCGCGCTAGCCGCGCTAGCAGGCCGAACAGGCCGAACGGACAGAAGCACGGGCAGGCGGACAGAAGGGCAGACAGGGCAGACGGACGGACAGCAAGCCGGACAGACGGACGGACGGACGGGCGGAATCGGCGCGCGATAAACGAGCGCCAACTATCATGGCATGGCTGATTTCATTAACCTCGACAATCGGATTACCAGTCCCGGTCGGCACACTGTTGGCACCGCCGCGGCGCGGCCCCCCGCTGCCCCCCCGCGGCCCCAATCGGCCCGCCGAGGCGGTGAATGGCGTATCAGCTGCCCCGAACCCCCAGTGGAAAAACGAGTGGAGAGAGTCAGTGCGAGGATAGGAAACGCGCTGTCTGGAAAGGTCGTGCATTAAGCAGGCTCGGACCAGAGCCGTACATTGGGCTACAATGTACGGCTCTGGCTCGGACTGGCCCCCAAAAGGCCCCAGCGGATATGACCGCAAAAGGCATCATTATGTTTTTACCCTTCAAGACCAACTTTGTGAGGCTACCGCTCCCAAACTAGTTGCGGTCAATAGCCTTCTCGATACAGGGCATGAAAGAGTAGGGTCTTAAGGATACTAGGACGTCGAGGGAGGCCTTTTACGGCGACTAAATTGGAAACAGTGGCCACCCAAAGTCAGCAAAATCAGCAAATTTCCGAGATTCGACAACTTTTTGACCAACTTGGTCGGAAAATCGTTGCGGTCAAAGCCAAAATCGTTGTGGTCAACGTCTTCCCGATACAGGGCATGAAAGAGGAGAGTCTTAAGAATACTAGGGCGTCGAGGGAGGCCTTTTACGGCGACTAGATTGCACACAGTGGCCACCCAAAGTCAGCAAAATCAGCAAATTTCCGAGATTCGACAACTTTTTGACCAACTTGGTCGGAAAATCGTTGCGGTCAAAGCCAAAATCGTTGTGGTCAACGTCTTCCCGATACAGGGCATGAAAGAGTAGGGTCTTAAGAATACTTGGACGTCGAGGGAGGCCTTTTACGGAGACTAGATTGGACACAGTGGCCACCCAAAGTCAGCAAAATCAGCAAATTTCCGAGATTTGACAACTTTTTGGCCAACTTGGTCGGAAAATCGTTGCGGTCAAAGCCAAAATCGTTGTGGTCAACGTCTTCCCGATACAGGGCATGAAAGAGTAGGGTCTTAAGAATACTAGGGCGTCGAGGAGGCCGTTGGCCGCAACTAGATCGGACGCAGTGGCCGCCCAAAATCAGCGTAAACGGCTACTTTCGGAGATTCAGTCACTCTTTGGCCAACTTTGTGACGTTACTAGTCCCAACCCGAAGGCCCCAGCAGATTTTTCTGTCTGTCTGCCCTGGCCAGCCCGAGCCTGGCATTAAGGTGGCGGACTGCGCGGTCTGGTTGCCTGTCGGGTTGCCTACCGGCCGGCGGCGCCGTGCAGTGGCGACGGCACAGTGCACTACGTCGCCGCCCCCCACCCTTCCCTCCCCTCCCCGCCGCGGCGTGACGTAGGATGTAGTGCAGGACCTCGCGTGCTGCCGGGGCACGACGCCGGCCACGCGACAAGCCGGGCGATGCCGAAATCACCCCTCCCTATCGAAAGAGCCTCCCCTCCCGAGGCCTCCCTCCCCTCCCTCCATTCCCCTCCCCTCGGACTGCACGCCGCTGGCACGAGCCTACCGCAACCCTACGCGCGCCCAGCGTAACGCAGTGCGCTGCACGCACGCACACAGACACTCACACGCACGCACACACACTCACACGCACGCACGCGCACCCTTACTGCACACGCACCCGAGCATCATTCGATACGGCGATCGATAGTTTTATTAAATGCACTACCCCCTTCCCCTCCCCACCCCTTCGGCCCAGCACTTCCGGGGCTGCCCCGTGATTCCAGGCGCTTTTCTGCCTCTCTCTCTCTCTCTCTCTCTCTCTCTCTCTCTCTCTCTCTCTCTCTCTCTCTCTCTCTCTCTCTCTCTCTCCTCTCCTCTCCTCTCCTCTCCTCCTCTCCCTTTCTCTTTTTCGGTGTCGGTGGGGAATAAAAAGTCAAGGTGTGTTTTTATGACTCTGCGATATTTATGCTTTCCCGCGCCCCGGCTGTAAATAATCCCTCTCGATTCGGCTCGATGCTCGATAACAGAAATGCGACGCAAATACTTTGTGGGCTTGTATGTGCGCATTTTGGGTTGCAATGCCGCCCGTCGAGGCTCGCTATGCCGCCCTGCTGCCGCCACACTGTAGGGCGCGGCGTTACGTGATATCTGGACCGCCGTTTTGTATCGCCGGCCGATTTGCTGGGCGATAACGACCCGCGTTGTGCTGGGCGTGATTGATGGGCGCGCCTTATCCTTTCGCCCACTGCACTGCAAAAAAACAACAAATCGCCAATATTGGATTAATTTTTTTTTCCGATTTTTTTTGGGGTAAGTGCGGAGCCATACGGTACATCAACGGTTTGTCGGTGAAACTCTGTCCCGTGCCCTGCCGCCATGCGACCGACCACCCTGCTTCCGACCACACACACACACACACACCGATCTCGTCGGACACCCAATATTTAGGACGCCAGCAAGTTTATTTTCTTCCCGTTTCCTTTTTGTAGTGTGCGCGCCGCCGCCCTCCGGCCGGTCATCGCTTTCGGATAAAACTCGCCGAAATCACTTTACCCTTCACACTGCTGCCGCTGGCGGCGCTGGCATGGTGCGCGACCTACCCCGAGACGCTAGACTCATTTTTCCCCCGCTTCTTTCTCCCGCAGTCGATCCTTCCCCCCTGCCCGCCCCCCTCTCTTTTCTGCCCCCCGTCCTCTTTTCCGAGTCGCATCGACTCCCTTGCCAAGTTTGCTCGTGCCGTCATCAGGCACCGCTTCCTAGCTTCCTGACGTGCACCGCCACGGGGCCAGGCCCGGCCCGGCTGGAGGCCCGGCTGGAGGCCCGGCTGGAGGCCCGGCTGGAGGCCCGGCTGGAGGCCCGGCTGGAGGCCCGGCTGGAGGCCCGGCTGGAAACCCAAATATTGAAAAAAAAAAGCATAAAAACAAGACAACAGGATTAAAAAAATCATCATGGTAAACCGCGGCAAACGGAAATTTTATTGAGCGGACTCCTCAAACTGGAGGGGTAATCTTTCCATCGAGTTGGCCGAAACTAGGCGAGCGAGTTTCATCCGATTGGAACTTTTCTTTTTGGCAGTGTACCGTTCCTCCACCGTCTCTCTCGCACCTGTGAGGGACGCCCCGCGAGTGCCAGAGAGACAGGGCGACGAAAACGACTCTCGGAATCGGTCTGCTGCCGATCCTGCTGTGGCAGTGTAGCAGTGTGGCAGTGTAGCTGCCAGCCCGATTGACTTTACAACGAGAACGCGCGGCGCGTGGGGCAGACGAGATAGTAGCGGCCTGGAATGGACGGGGTACATACACCAGTCGGGGAGGGGAGGGGAGGGGGGACGAGGGAAAGAAGCGGCAGAGGGGAAGGGAAGGGGGTGTTTAAGGGGACAGATGAACGCGCGAGTTAAAACCAAGGGGCCCAGGCGGCCGTGAGAGAGAGAGAGAGAGAGAGAGAGAGAGAGAGAGAGAGAGAGAGAGAGAGAGAGAGAGAGAGAGAGAGAGAGAGAGAGAGAGAGAGAGAGAGAGCAGGGGGCGCCTGTCGACGGCGGTGTGCTTCAGGGCGTGCTGCACGGTGTGCAGGCGTGGCAGCTCCTGTGGACTGTTTCCGAGAGTCGTTCT